GAAAGGAGAAAATAACTTGGTATCATGTGATTCAGTTAGAATGAGACTAGAGAATGGATAAAGAAAAGATGCAGATGCAGGGATTACACTAAATTTGAATACAGTGGTGCCTTGTACTTCGAATTAATCTAACTTGGAATGATCTAGAGTTTGAATGTCAAGAATCAATATAAAATTGTTCTGCAGTTCCAATGATGCTTCTAAGTTCAAACTGTGAACGAAATGAAAAAAAAAATGCGGTCACAGAGAAAATGTCATTGGTTGTGCACCCAAGTTGGAAAAAAAAATACAGTACAAGACACATTGCCAAATCCCCCTCAAAAAAACTCCCCCTCACTTCTAACACTCTTACCCCACTGTTCTTGTCACTTTCTGAAGCCATTCTGGAAGTCCTCTTTCATGACTGTCTTTAGTTGTGCTGTTGTGGCCACTTCGCTGTCCTGACTTGAATTGATTCCTCTTGTCCTGTCTTGAATCAATTTGCCTTGTCTTATATCGATTTGTCTTGAATTTGTCTGGAAGACTCACAAAAGAGGACTTCCAGAACGGCTTCAGAAAGTGGCATGAACAATGGGGTGTATTCAAAGCCAGAAGTATTTGAGGGGCATTAATAGCAATTACTGTACTGTATTACTTTTACTGTATGTTTTTTTATTTAAACATTAACGGTATTTTTTGCTCACACCTTGTATATGACTCAAAGTTGCTGTTTCAGTTTACTGAAATAGGTATTGTTTAGGGTCTGGGAATGGATTAATTATTTCTAATCGGGAAAGTTGATTCGGAGTTTGAACGATTCAGATGAAGAGGGTTGGGAGACGTCTAGAGCATAGGTGGAGGAAATCACAGGATAAATCTGATCAAACACACTTAAGAGCCCAATACTGGGCCTATGCTGTGGTGGAGAAATTCTTCTCCGCTTCCATTGCCTCCTCACAATGCCGTCCGGCGGAGCTCTTTCGGGTGGTACAGGGGCTGGTTCATCCATGCCCTAAGAAAGATCCCGTACCACCCTTGACAGCCCGTTGTGACGACTTTGCCAAGCATTTCAAGGAGAAAATCGCTCAGATTTGTCACGAGCTGGACTCCACTAGTGACTCAGAGCCTTCTGGGGAGGTGCCAATGTTGCCGTCTGGTCCACAAGTGATGGATGAATTTCAGTTGCTGCAGCCTGATGATGTGGACAAGGTGCTTGGACAAGTACACCCTACCACCTGCTTACTGGACCCTTGCCCATCTTCGCTACTCAAGAAAGCCAAGGACGGGATAGGAACCTGGATCCTGGAGGTTGTAAACGCCTCTCTAAGGGGCAGCCGGGTACCTGACCCTTTAAAGGAGGCGGCAGTCCGGCCAGTCCTAAAGAAGGCATCCCTGGATCCAGAGATGGCCGGCAATTATAGACCGGTGGCCAACATCCCGTTCTTGGGCAATGTGTTAGAGCGGGTGGTGGCGGGACAACTCCAAGCACTCTTGGATGAAACTGATTATCTGGACCCATTTCAGTCCAGCTTCAGACTCAGGTATGGTACTGAATCTGCCTTGGTCGCCCTGTATGATGACCTGTGCAGGGAGAGAGACAGGGGGAGTGCGTCCCTGTTGGTTCTCCTGGACCTCTCAGCAGCTTTTGATACTATCGACCATGGTATCCTTCTGGATAGGCTAGTGGGACTGGGAGTTGGAGGCACTGCTCTGAGGTGGTTCTGCTCCTATCTCAATGGCCGATTCCAGAAGGTGGTGCTGGGGAACTATGGCTCTGCGCCATGGCAGTTATGCCATGGAGTTCCGCAGGGGTCCATTTTGTCCCCCTTGCTATTTAACATCTACATGAAACTGCTGGGAGAGGTCATTAGGAGATGTGGGCTGCGGAATCATCAGTACACTGATGATACCCAGCTCTACCTCTCATTCTCAACCAATCCAGGTGAGGCAGTGGCTGTGCTGAACTGGTGCCTGGCCGAGGTAATGGGCTGGATGAGGGCCAATAAACTGAAGCTCAATCCAGACAAGACGGAGGTCCTGTTGGTAGGTGGTTCGGGGTGAGGGACCTGGACCTTGTCCTGCATGGGGCTGCACTTCCTCTTAGGGACAAGGTTCGCAGCTTGGGAGTGCTCCTCGACCCTGAGCTGTCATTAGAAGCTCAGGTGACGGCGGTGGTGAAGAGCGCTTTCCTTCAGCTTCGGCTGATCCATCAGCTGCGTCCCTACCTGGAGAATGATTGCCTGGTGGCAGTGACACATGCACTGGTAACTTCCCGATTAGACTTCTGTAAAGTGCTCAATGTGGGGCTACCCTTGAAGACGGTCTGGATACTTCAATTGGTGCAAAACAGAGCTGCCAGGCTGCTGACGGGGACTGGGCGTCGTTCTCATATAACCCCAGTTCTCCGTCAGCTTCACTGCCTCCCCATTGAAGTCCGGGCCCAATTCATGGTGTTGGTTATCACCTATAAAGCCCTTAACGGCTTGGGACCTGGTTATCTAAAGGAATGCTTGTGTCCATATATGCCCTCCTGCCCCTTGAGATCGGCAGCAGAGGCCCTTCTCCGGGAACCCTCCGTGAAAGATATTAGGAGGGTGAGTACCTGGAGGAGGGCCTTCTCTGTGGTGGCGCCCCACCTATTTGAATGCGCTCCCCAGAGAGGTCCACCTGGCGCCATCGTTATTAAAGTTATTTTAATTTTTAACTTATGAATTGTATTTATGGGATTTTTAGGTATATGCCGATATGCTTCTGGTTTTTTAACTCTAATTGTATAAATTGCTTATTTATGTTTATTTATTATTGTTGTAAGCCGCCCCGAGCCTTTTTGCGAATGGGGCGGCGTAAAAATGGTTTAAATAAATAAATAAATAGTCTCCTGAAACAAATTAAATTTGAAGTATGAGGCACCATGTATATGATTATAGAAAAGGAAAAACAATATGTGAATGAAAGAGATACTAAAATTTATAAGACTGATCCCAATTCACATAAAGCAACATGGGAAACATATTTGAGGAAGGACATCAGTAATGAAGTCCGGGAATATATTTGGACAAATAGGTCATTAAAATGTATGCCAGTAAGAATAAAGGAAAACTTTTTATAAAATTGTATGGAAGTGGTACCTAACTCTGGTGAAGCTGAACTGTACAGATAATAAATATTCCAATTTACATTGGATACGTGGTCGTGGACTGGGTATATATTTTTATATGTGGTGGGAATGTGAATATATAATGCAATTTTAGAAAGAGGTTTTTAAAGGGAGTAGGAAAATAGTACGTTTAAATATTTAAATATGCCTTGAGATTGCAGTACTTTCTATAGTTGATAAAAAGCAATGGAGTTGGAATAATACAGAATTGATAACAAATTTAATAGCTGTGAAATTAATCATAGCAAAGAATAGGAAAGTAAAATAGGATTACCAGTTATGTGATTGGTACAGAGAAGTCTGGAATATGGCAATTAATGATAAATTAACCTGTGATATTAAAGTGAGCTTGTAAAAAAAAAATAAGCTCAGTGAGACATGGGACACATTTATTGAGTATGTGTTTTTAAAAAAGGAAAGATTTCAACTGCCAAAAGAATCATTGCAGTTTTGGAGGAGGAAATGTCCTGAAAGAGTTTTTCTATCTGTAACGTGTATCCAATGGTCCTGGAGTGGGGGCACAGTATTTTTAAGATTTATTTGAATTCTGTGTTTAAATGCATATATTGTTATTTTAGTTGCTTGGTTATATTTTAGATTGAAAACTAATATTTCTTTTTAAAAAGAGACAAGTGCAGAACTATAAAATTATTTTGTCCACAAAGTATTGAAAGGCACACTCTGTACCTGTGAGCTTTCAAGTTTGGGGATACTGAATCTGTGCCAAAATTAGTGTCTGTAGGAAAATGCAATACATTTCCATACAGTACTACCATCTTGAGTAGGTTTGGTGTAGTTAAGCAAGTGATACAGACAATAGTTTGCAATGTGAAAGTTTCCCACTCAGCTATGTTTCATTAGTTGCTCAAATGTCCTGAGTCATTTTGTGGACAGTTTTTACTAGGCTGGCAGTTATGGACTGATCTACCCAGTTTCCTGAAATTTCTTCACAATGTCATACAAAAGATTTGACTGACATGTCCAGATGTCTCACAGCAGCTGGACTATGGCCCTTGTGATTTATGTAGGGAACTCACTGGCTTTATCTTTGGATTGGTACTTATATATCTCACACAATCTATTATTAAATCAATAAGCCTTATAACCATCAGTGTGCATGTGCTTTAAAAACAGTTATATAAGCAAGAGTCTATTGCCTATGGTTGCTGCAGCATGGTTATGCTATTGCTCAGTCATAATTTGATTGATTGATTGATTGTTTTTATATACCATCCACCACAAGTGTCCAGGGATGGTTTTCCAATAAAAGTGACACAAAATAAAGTAGATCACACCTTCCAATTTCCAGTAAATAAAACCCTCCTTAAAACCAGTTAAACATTCAAATAGTGGGAAAATAAAATGGTGATTGTGCCGAAAGGCAATGGTTAGTGTAAGTATTAATGATACAGGCAGAAGTTTATGAAATTCAACTTTTAAATTTTAAAACACGCAAGACTGTGAATTCATAGCTGTATGTGCACACTAAAACCTGCAAATAGTATCTGATTAAGGTTTAGAGAAAGCAAAACTGGTACCAACAGTACTATTTAAATATTCCAAATCTCTTCTATGGCTTCCAATTTATTTTCACTACTAATCCAAATTCCTTCCAAACTCTCTTGTGATTCTCGGTGTCCTAAAATACACTAGAAAATCCACATGATGTTTTATGACAGCAAGATTCAGTTTTACTAGTGCTAGAATCTGAAAGGATGTGCTAACCACCATCAGATACATGCTACTGGCAAGACAAAAACCTCTGGAGCATCAATGAATTCATCCGAATGGTAGATGCTAAAGCTTTAGATTTTACTGCAGGAACCTTACCCATTTGGAATTCTATTCTTCCCTTTTCTTTCAGGCTTTGTTCTGGTCATTGGGCTGGTGACCTTCTATCGCATTGGACCCTACACTAGCCTCTCCTGGTCTTGCTACCTGAACATTGGAGCTTGCCTACTGGCCACACTGGCTGCTGCCATCCTCATATGGAACATCCTTCACCGACGGGAAGACTGCATGGCACCTAGAGTCATCGTTATCCGCCGCACCCTAACTGCTCGCTTCCGACGTGGTCTGGAGAATGACTATGTTGAGTCACCATGTTGAGAACATGGGGTGAAAAGAGGAAGATTCTCCAGAGGAGAAGTTTTACAAAATGGATTCATTTCTATAAATATGAAATGTAATTTAAATGTTGAAGAAAATCACAATGTTCACTTTTCAATTAAAGAAGCCCAGCATTATTATTTGGATGGGCATCATCTATCTATCTATCTATCTATCTATCTATCTATCTATCTATCTATCTATATATATAAAATATACATGTACATTATACACCATCATTCCCTGATGTACAGTGCAAAATTATTAACAGCTGAACCATCCTATTGGATCTTCAGCCAAAAACAGGGAACTTCAAATGGTGGCAGACCTACACTAAATGAGTTTTGTGATATGAAATGTGGAAAAGTTAATTTGGTATTCTAAGTTCAAACCTTATATCAGAAAAAAGTTATCTTTCACTCTAATATAAAACAAATTCAATGGTTCAACTATAGAAGTCATCCTTTCTGGAAATTAGCTACAGTCTGAAAGAAGAGACAATAGCTTTCCCCAACTGAATGTTTTAATTAATTTCATACTATTCTGTAATATTTCCGTAATATTTGCTATATAAAAAGACAACCAACCTATATTTTGAGTGCTTCCAATACAACACTTATTGAGGCTTGGCAAACCCTTCCAATCCAGAAATTGCTAGTGTAATTCTACTATTCATGAAACATGATGGGATTTTTTTTAAAGGAATGGGAATTTAAGATGTCACTCCTTTTCAAAAAGCTTTGCATGCACAGTTGGCAAAGCAGTACCCTAAAACCCACTCCCCTGTAATGTTCTCTATTTATATAGTTACATTAATTCTCACAGCAGAAATTGTTAGTTCTCTTACCATTGCCCCATAATATTTATTCAACTGAACCCAACCACTGGGATTTTCGTATTTGGTGCTCATTTGCTAGATTTGGTTCTGGACATTTAAGATGTCTAATCAAATACTTTTGGGAGGTACAGGGGTGGGGTGGGAAATACTGCCCACTGAATTTACTGAAGAGGAAAAGGTTATTTCTTATTTATTCAATGGCTGTATAAAAACTTGCCTTGCAGTAATACAACCCAAATAACTTGTTAGGGGTAGCACTAAAGTGTTCACTGTGAAATGGCCAGGACCAAGACACAAAAGAGAAGGATTTGAAAAGCTTAAGTGACATCCGTATCTTATCAACGCGTAACTGCTGAACACTTCTCAGTTGCATTGCCTTTTTAGTCAAGGATCAGATTACTGCTGGAGAAGTTACTATGAGCATTGCTAGTTGGAGAGAAGACCTTATCCATTTAGGCTGCAATCTTATACACAGTTACTTGGAAATAAGTCCCAATATGTACAGTGGGCCTTACTTCTGAGTAGACATGCACATGATTTTGCTGTTAATGTCTCTTTCTCGGAGACTTTGGTAATGTATCTGGTTTAAGTCTGTGTTTAATGTTTCGCTTTGCCAACTCCCTCCTCCCCCATTCTATTTTCTTCAAAAAGGAAATAATCAAGCTGGCTCTTGAGTTTCATTATAACATAATGAGGGCATCAAATATGGGACGCAAGGGAATTTTCATTCAGCAATTTAAGCCAAAACACTCCAGAATGTGGATAATAAGGTTAGGAACTATACTTCGCAGTTTGTAGCTACAGACTAAATTCTTGATATTATTCACTTTTATTTAAAAAATATTGTCTAGTTTTCATGGATGCCCTGATATTTTTCAGTACATAGCATGAACTAGCAGAACAAGAATACGAGCAAACTCATTGTTTCTTCAAGGGTCCTGGGTACCAATTATCTTTTACAGGCTACCCAGATGTTTGTTTTTAAAGCATGAAAATCCTGTATCAGTGTAAGAGTTCCAGGATATGCGCAGCCTTTATACCAAACACAATTTGCAATCTCTAATGCCATAAAAGGAATACACAATTTATTACAGAACACTGAAGCTCCATTGAGTACAGTGTGTCATAATTCTAAGAACTGTGTAGGATCGCCTTACAAATACTGCAAGTTAGAGCCAACACAGTTAAATCATAGTGCTGTTACATTTTGGAAAAAGCTGTGAGATTGCATCCCACTTCAGGGCAAGCATCAAGAATTTCTTAATTCAGGCTCATAAACTCATTTTTCTAGGACAATACAGATTGATTATATCACAAAAAAACATGGGCTTTGTTTCAATTTGCCGGGCGTTGTTTTTGGAAAAGCTTTGTATTGGCTGAAAATTAAATGTGCTCTAATTAACTGTCATTTTAAAATGGAATGAAAATATTGGAATATTTAAGATATATTATTTCTGCTAATATTGCAATAACCATATTATAATAATGTGAACTTAAGAGGATGTGGAGGCTCTGTGACTGTAATTTTTGGAATCACTGTGTTTATTTTAGAATTATAAATAAAGTTGAAAATGTTTAATTGCCTTCAAGGGGGAAAAAGGCAAGAGTTATATTTTTCAATGGAAACAGACAAATGGCCTGGATCCAACACATGACTTTAAATGTGTCCAAATATCACTCTCTTAAGAGGATTTTTGACTTTTTTCCATCGAATGGCAGGCCTTCCTCCAATTTTAAAGAGAGACTGCCACAGGAGTGTGTTGTTCAAGAAAACCATCTGGAACTTCCATCAACATGTGAATTGAATTTTTGGCCAAGACAGTATTGGAACCTATATATAAAAATCTCATGGATGTGCAAATAATCAATTGCATAATTTAAAACATCAGTTTGCTTTCTGTTGAACCTTTATGGGATGTTCTACATGCTCATGCTCATGCAACATAAATATAAGAAGCACTCCAACAATTAATTTACTCAAGAGGTAGACTATGAGAACAAGAACAAATGCTAACACTTTGAAAGGAACATAAGTATACTGGGTTGACTCCAGATTTGTCCTCTTGCACGCAGAAGAATCCAAGATCCAGGGAAGACTCTTACCAGAGGACATTGAGGCATGGCAAGGGGAAGAAGTTTTGGACAATTTCTCCTTCCCCCTGTAGCCCTAATGTCACCACCCACACCCTTCCAGAGAATCTTCTTATCCTCTGGAGTAGCTTGTCAGAGGACAGAAGGGACTACAGAAGGAATAGTGAATCAGCAAAGATCCTCCTTTTTCATCAGCAGGAAAATACCTTGAGCAGAGTTCTGCTCATGGTAAGCCAGGATGGAACTCATTAGCTAAAGAAAGACAAGTATGCAAATCCAAACTTTACCTGAGTTGCTTATGAACAGGTATCTTTTGTATCTAGTTGATAAACAAACTGCTTGACAAGCAAGAGAGAAAAAACTACAAATGAGATGCTCCAGGCTATCAGGAAGATTGTTTAAATACCTCAGCTCACAAATGCCTCAGTTCACGACCAAATCAGGTCGCAAACAGAAATTTCAGAAAAGAATCGCCTCAGTTCACGAACTCCACATTGGGTGACAACCACAATCTTCCCCATCTCCCTCGCACCTGTCTCCTGTGATGCGCATCCGCGATCTCCCCCTCCCTTCGCCAGCACGATCGCTATCACACTTATGGCTTGGACTCTCCCTTCAAACAATAACCTCCCCCCACTTAGGTTAGTGTTCTCTACTGTACTGTACTTTGATGTTCTTCGTTACTTTGTTTCAAATTTTTGTGGTTAAAAAAATATTTACAGAATGGATTAACCTTATTTACTTTGAACCTTATGGGGAAATCTGACTTGGGTCATGACCAATTTGGGTCACGACCAGAGTCCTGGAATGGATTAAGTTCGTAAGCCAAGGTACCACTGTACTAATCTTTGAATAGCATACTACCAAGCCTATTAATAGAACATTCCCTGTGCAGCATGCCACCACAAGCCAAACAAAATATTTCTGACAGCAGCATCTATTCATACACATATATCCCTTTTCAGTCATACAATATTGTTAACTGGTTTCTCTTAGAAAAGGAGAGGAGAGGAGAGGAGAAGAGAGGAAAGGGCGAGCCAGAGGTTTTACTTTCAGCCTTTGGAGAACAGTAGAGACTTACAGCAAACCTGCACATGACACAGATGACTGGAGATCAGGGTATCTCTTTCCTTTTAAATTAATAGCAGCTGGGTAATCTTAAGAGTGAACTGGATACAGAACTGTGGCATGTCTGTAGGGGGTGGGAAGTAAACATAACTGGAACTACTTTCTAAATTAGCTCCCCCTCAAGGAAAAACCTGCTCTTTGTCTTGTGGGGAAAATATGCAGATGTCTTATCTGACATAAGTAGCACCATCTGCAAGCACCTGGGGAAGGGAAAGGGAGATAAGGAGTGGGAAAATCAGCCTAGGAGAATCTCCTAAAGCACACTGGTCTTGCATGTTTACAGAAAAAGTCCTACATGTCCCAGCATTACCAGTCAGCAATGGGGAATGATTGCTGTGGAAGATTGCTGTGGAAGACTGGGCACTGTGAGACTTCTCTCCTGTTTAGAAGTGCATAAGATGAAGGATTTTCTGTATAAGGATGTCCTTCAGCTCTCTTTCTGCCAACAACATATAGTGATTTGCACAATCAGAGAGTGGTTAACAAACTACCATGACTTGGTAATCACCCTATACATACTGACTTCTCTGTATCTCTCTAATTTATTATTACATTTATATGCTGCCAAACAGTCCAAAGGGCTTTCAGACATGCAATTCCAACACAGAGGGGGTGGCTTGTCAACCACACTAGAATACACAGCTTATTCTAGGGTTGTGTGATGGTTTCTTAACTACCATAGCCAGGATCAGCACGCAAGACCCACAGATCCCAGAACCCCTTGTGGCTAACATGCCATAGAGGGCTGTAGGGATCATACAGACCAGGCTAGAGTCCTTCCTTTGCTAGGTCCTCTAGCAAAGTCTCTAGAAAGTTGTCTCTCAGACACTCTTTTCACTTCGCCTCACTGTGCGATCCAGGTACAAACCCTCTAGATGAGAAAACACAAGGCAAGACTGAAGCAAACATATATACAATAAACATACACATAGTCACTGCAACACAGTCCCAAAGCAAGAGCAACATGAATAAACCAAAGAACAGCTTTATTTTGCACAAAGCTCTCAGCAAGTTTAGCATCCAAATAAGATGGAGATAAAGAGTAAGAGAAACAGACAAAATTAAAGCACTCAAGCAGTAAATAATGTCAAATTCTGATCCTACCTTTTGATGAGCTTGATGGATTTGAAGGCCTCATCCATATTCCCAATGGTGAGGTAGAAGCTAAAGTTAAGCATAGCATCACGTGTGGTCTTGTCACACTCTTCCAGTCCAATGAAATCTCGCATTGGCCTTCTAGCTACCATCTGACAGAGTGGTTCCACACCAGGCCCTGCTTCCTCTTTTTTCTCAGCTTCTGGCTGAAAGGTAAACACCAAACTCATTCGAAGGACAGTGCTTGTGATCATCTGTAAATGAGGCAATCACACAATAAGGAAGAACCTGAAGGATGCAATTCCATGGCCTCCTGACATTTGGGGGGCGGGGTGCACATGATTCTTCAGAGTCCCCGCACCAAGGTCCTCGAGGCTTGGTGCTTGGATTCCAATGACTGAGCTCCCACCCCATCCTGCAAAGAAAGAACCAGACTGGCAGCCTCTTCAAGAACAGAAATGCCCCATGGAAAGGGAGAGAAAGGGAATGCTGGGTGGGTGGAAGAGGAGGAGGCTGGGGTTGTCTACATACAGGCATTCCTACTGGCATCCTCACCTCCTTCCCTTCCAGACTATGGTGCTTTATCTAAATAGCTGAACCCAGCTGTCTAGAAAAAGGCACAGGACAAGGTGCCACGGCCATAGAGAGAGCTGCTGCCACATCTCACTCTGGCCATCTGGTGTACTGAAACCTTCCATTTCTAGGGCAGGGGCAAAAGAAGTGTGCACCAAGGCACTTCAAGGGCCACAAAATTGTACTTGAAGGACTGCATATGTCTCAAGTTGCCCAACCACCTCTAAACCTCTCTGCATTTAATCAGGGCCTTTTCACTGGTGGTCCAACATTATGGTACTTTTTTCTGGCTGATTTACACCGAACCCCTTCAGCAGAGGTTTTCAGAAGACCTGGAAAAGTTACTGCTTTACTACCCCTTTTCCTTAAGACTGTGAAAGACTTGTGTGTTTTATAGCAGCCCTCTTCTAAGATGTATCCAAGCGAGGCTTTTATCATGCAATCACTGCACCTCATTCATGGAATTTTGCAATTTGTGCTTCCAATGGCATCTTCACCTTATCACTCTCCTGCTTTTCCTACAGCTTCTCCTGTCTTTTTTTTTCTTTCCAGAAAAAATTGCTAACGATTAAAAAATGAAACATCTGTGCAGTGTATTTGGCGTGGTCATGCTAAGAACACTCCATCTGAAAACACTCCTAATAATTGTAGACCTTGCTGATATGCCTAATGAATGTTAAAGATCATACTGTCAGGGTTGAACCCCAAAAAGCACGCTACGGATAAGCACTTTGAATAAATAAATAAGTAACAAAAAGAAAAATATAGTATGGAATAAAGAGAAGTTAAAATTAAGGAAGGCTATCAGATGATACTTACATAAGGTTTATAGACAGATCCTCTCCAAAACAACAACTACTGGCAAACAGAAATGAAAAAAGAAACAAAATGACAGGAGAACACACAAACAAACAAACAAACAACATGAAGAATAAAACAGACAAAGCAGAAATAAGGACAAAAAATCCCCAGAGTTTAAAAAAACAAAACAAAACTTGGATTTATTATGTAAATACTGAAGCATTAGAGCATGCTTTCCAGTTCCTTTTTTATTCTCTTTTTCTTTTGAGTCATGTATTATAATTTAAGTCTGCAAAGTAGTAATCTTTGTACAGAATCTTGAAAAATTTAGGCACTTACTAAATAATTATACCGTACCCCCAGTTTACCTTGACCTGATCCAGTGCACACAGAATGTGTCTAGTTTGGAGGCAAAGGAAACATTTTAAATTACGTTCTCCTTATTTTTTGACTGCTCACCTTTTTGGCAAAGTAATAATGCGGCACTTCCATGCCCAGAAGTGACTGGTAGGCTGACGGCAAGAGAAAGCTGTCTTGGAGCAAAAGCCCATGCTCTTCAGTACAGAAGAAGGATATAATCAGAGCATTCATCTGAAAGGGGAAAGTGAACACTGTTTGGGTTCCATGGCACAATATCCTTTTTAAGGCTTGTTGCTATTTTCCACTTTCATCTGGCTGAGTTTTCTGTTAAGAAACAAAACACACACCTGCTACAGGTTTCCTGTCAGAATGTTGTGGGCACTAAGTTAAGCTCAGCAGCCTCAATACTGCCTAGCAGCAGCTCTGCAGTATTTCAGGCAAAAGAAAATTAGTATTTCATCTGAATCTGAGACCTCTTCCATGCAAAGCAAACATTCTGTCACCTATTTACAGGTATTTTCCAAGCACTGTTGATTCACTTTGGGAATACCCAGTGTTACTTGCATTGTTGCTTTGAAGTACTGCAATTAAAACAAAAGCATGCTTAGCTACTGCCTATTTGTATTCACTGTGGCTTCATCACTTAGATGGGGCTGGAATGTCACAGGTACTCAGAGGGTCTCCTTTTCTAGCCTGCAGGAACAGAAGGGGATGAGGAAGTTTGAGCTAATACATGTTTTGAAAGATAAGAATACTGGTCTTAAAGGGAGGTTCTTGACTGAACTCAACCTCTTACAAAATTCCAACATGCATTCAAGTTAAGTATCATTTTAACTGCTTGCTGTTACAAGCAGGCATATACTAGTATATTTTGAAGTGTAGCCATCTTCTGAAAGTCTCCATAATCCTGTTTCTAAGAAAAGTTCAAAAGGTCAGGCAGCTGTTTTGATCTTTATTTGTAAACCTGTTCTTGTGGTTTTCATGTTTACCAGAAATGGGTCCTTTGTAAAGCAAATGGGTCTTAACTGCTCATCCAAGACCAAGTCACCCAAAATATTTTGTATTACAATTGTTGCTGGATTCATTCATCTTTCCCCCACCCTCACAGACCAGTGAAGACTGCAGTGAAAATCAGAGGTAACAGGGAAATCTGAGGAGAGCACAGGGTGGCCAATGACTTTGGCACCCCAGCTAATCAAAATGTACTAGTGTCACACTATGAGCCCTGGCTTCACCATACCACCAGTCAGAAGATTTCATGCCAGTCAGCCTTTTAAACCAGACATTTCAAGACCTTTAGGAAGATCTCGTGTGAAACTTTATTTTTTTTATTTACTTAAAACATTTTTATGCTGCATACTGTGTGACAGCACCTCTGGGCAGCGCACAATCATAATAACCACCATTTTAAAAAAGAACTTCTAGCCACACCTAATCACCAAGTGTTACCATCAACATCCAGTCCCTGGAGAGTGACAAATCAAAGGAGAATGACATACTGCATTTTCTGTTGATTGCTGCTTCATGTCTAATGATTGCTGACTTGAGTCAGGAACTGTTTCACAAATGAAAAGCCTTGGTTCATTTTGATCCCAGAAGTGACTAGCAGGGATGTGGTCACACAGTTCTGGATATTCAGAATTGCTTCTCCTGTTTGGACAACACAGGTATTAATCTAGGCAATAACACTTTGCAAAACATATCCATAAATATCATATAAAAATCCCACAGATGATGCACTTACTGGGTTTGAAACCAAAGTAGAACCCACTATGTGAGTTGGAGTTATCTAATGTCTGTTGTTATATCCCAAACTTATAATGGATAGAAGTTGACAGCCAAAAGTTTTATTGAGTTAAAATCTATGCATAATTGTAGACTAACACTAAAGCAGGATTTCTCAAAAGAATTCCCAGCCATACACACAAAAGAAAAATCAGACGCATCTTGCTTTCCACTCATCCTGTCCGAAACAGATGTGTTATTAAGAGGCTTTGCAAATAAAAAGAGCCACACACACTGAACCAAAACATATGTGATTCCGGAGAAATTATTTTCCCTGCACCATTTTCCTGATTTAAATAATCAATCCACCAAAAGCTGCTCTGATTCATAGGCTGGGAAAACAGCACTGGGGAAAGGGTTATATAACTCCTGATCCTGTGCTGATCAAAATTCTGCCACATGCCTTCTCTGGAAATTTTAAAAGTAGCAGAGGAAGAAGTTGAGAGTTCTGACTGCAGATCTCCTGTGTCATGTTTGGTCTGGACCTTACTGCACTGGAGTTTCTTCCTGTCCTTTTTGCTCAAAGGTAAGTAATGATTCAACTCCCTTATCTCCTACTGAACACCTAATATTAAAGAATCTATGTTCAAGGACACATGTTCTCTTGAGATTAAGGGCATGCATGTGTCAGCAGGTGCAACCTGATTAACAAGACAGTCCCAAACTTGTCTACTCAGAATGATCTACCAAGCTTAACTGGGGTTTCTCCCAGGAAAATGACTGCAGCCTTAGTCTATTAATCTCATGGTTAAATTTGCATATACATAAAAGAACATTTCTGTACCAAGAGGCACACTTTTTCTTGCACATCTGGGTCATGGTTTCATCTAAGACCTCAGGAGAGGCATTCCTCCTATATGTGAGACAATGGAGAATGCCTCTTAAGATGGCATTTGCTATCCGTAGTTTGTATAAAACTTGTATATTAGGGTGTTTTTTTTTTAAAAGTATCTGCTGCTTGAATAATTTTAACAACTTTTTATTCAGCTTAAAGTTTCAATATTTTATTCAATTAAGCAATGCATCCCTAAGAACTGTCTGTATAAATAATGGAAAAATAAATATACAATCAAGAATGACTGAGTTGTGTGAATGGTGTGCAATGATCCAAGTGCCCATATTTATTTATTTTTATAAATAAATTAACTTATTTTTCCTCTGTGATGGCTAGAAATCCTGTTGGGTTCTTACCCACTCAATCTGTTTTTTCCAATTTCCCAGTTGTTATCCATATTTCATAGATTCAGATATATTTAAAATGTTATTGTATTTTTTGGAATGAAAGCTTTGATTTTCAGGATACTGGATTCTGCAGTCAATGAAACATGCTGTGCGTGTCTAAAACCATGTTGCACAAACAGCTCTGGCTAAGCTTGTGAAAGGCATTAGGGAGATGGGCTAAAGCAAATGTTATTGCCCAGCTCACCTACCTGGAGTCAACCTTATATTATTAAGAGTATCTGGAGTGCTAACTGGAAATGGCAGGAACATTAAAATGTTTTTTTCATCATTATCTATTTCATTTCTATATCACCCAACAGCCAAAGCTCTCTGAAGAAGAGGAGCTGGGGGCCCAAGCAGGAGGGGAAGCAGAATCATTAATCTGAAGAGAAATATGGGTGGATGAGAATTGCTGTAGAGGTGAAGGGACAGGAGGAGCATCAGGGAGAATCTGAAAGAATGGGACAGTGAAACTCAGCAAGCGATGAATGCAGTGAAGTCTATGATAATCCACCACTTCCAGCTTTCACATATCTAAAGAGTGGAATCGTGTCCTTTAACATACCTACAGAGTGAAAACAATCCTGGGGGAGGGGACTTTCATATACTCAGAAATCCAAGGTGACAAGTAGGGCCTGCACTGTGTTCATGTTCCCATAGCACTCCATGGCCACTGAATATGCTTGGTCCTCACTGGGATGTCCTTCCTCATAGGGTTTCTTTTTTTCACCCACAAGTGTCTGAACTTTGCAAACCTTGGGTGATCCCAAACCTGCCACTGCCTCCCTTCCTCTATGTGTATGGCGCCATTTTGGCTACATAAGGAACTATGTTCAGCTTAAGTTTGCTGTTAGCATATTGGAAGTAAAGAAGAATACAGGGCTTGTTTGCTTAGTTGGGACCCTGTGAAAATGTTCTATTTGTCCACCTAGTCCAGTATGAGCAGGTTGCTTACCTGTAGCTGATGTTCTTCGAGTGGCCGTCTGTGCAGTCACACATATGGGTTCTGTGCCTGCGCCGTGCCTGTGGTCGGAAGATTGATAGCTAATGGTTTGGCGGGAAGCTCCGCTCCCCCTCCCCCCTAGCAGTATATATGGAGCAGAGTGTCCACCATTTTCCAGTCTTTGACAGACCGGACGTTCGCTGTCTAATAAAAAAATTTGTCAGTACCAAGGAAAAAACTAGAACCACCCACTGACACCAAGCGGGGCCAGCAGGTGGGTTGTGTGACTGCACAGATGGCCACTCGAAGAACACCAGTTACAGGTAAGCAACCTGCTCTTCTTCGTCATGGCCTCTGTGCATCACGCATATGGGTAGAATAACAAGCTTACCCCAAATGGCGGAGGGAGGTGTCATCAACGGAGAATAGCTGAACGAACAGCTCTGCCGAAGGAGCAGTCCTGTCTAGCACGAACATCCAGTCTATAATGCTTTGCAAAAGTACATGGAGTAGCCCAGCTGGCAGCTCTGCATACATCCTCAATCGGGACTCCCGACGCAAAGGCTGAAGAAACAGCTACAGCTCTAGTGGAATGACCTCTGGGAACTGTAGGTAAATCTATCTTGGCCAACTGATAGGACAAAGTAATGAGTGTGAACTCTCCATTTGGACAGTCTCTGAGGAGTAACTGGGAAGCCTCGATTTTGTTCCGAGTATTTAATGAAGGGTCTATTGGAATGTTGAATAGACTCAGTCCTTGATCTGTAGAAAGCTAGGTAGTGCCGGACATCGAGAGTATGCAGGGACCTCTCGATCAGATTTGAAGGAGATGGGAAAAATGCAGGCAAGATAATCTCCTGGTCCATGTGGAAAGATGTAGCCCCTTTTGGAAGAAAAGACGGGTCCATTTGGAGCACTACTTTCTCTTTGTGAAAATTCAAAAATGGAGGGTCTGCCCTAAGGGCACAGAGTTCACTAGATCTACGGTCTGAAGTAACTGCTATCAGAAAAGTAGTCTTCCAAGAAACAAGACGTAAATCAATTGTTGCCAAAGGTTTGAAAGGAGGTCTTGTTAGTGCCTGTAGTACCACTGAGAGACTCCACGTGGGCATAAGCGGTCTGATTGTTGGATGAAGGCTGTAGAGTCCCTTAAGAAATCTCTTAACCAATGGCTGAGAAAAAATGGAAAAACCCTGCATTGTCCCACGATAATAGGAGATTGCCACCGTATACGCACTTATGGAGGATGGTTTAAGTCCAGAACGGTGGAGTTCGAAGATGAACTGGAGGATCTGATCTATGGATGCAGAATATTCATTGGATCCAAGGACATAGAGGAGGTAGATGGATTCACAGGGTGGAATGGCGTGTCGGATCTAGGGATAGGATCAGTAGGAGCTGCAGATGGCGTCAGTACCGGGCCGGCGTTGATTGCTATCGAATTCGCCAGGCTGTCGGTTTCAGCGACGCTAGATCAGGGTGCCAGATCGTGCCCTCCCGCTGAGTTATAAGGAATGGGAGGGAGTTGAAGGTATTCCTCTCGGGAAATGTGAAGAAGTGTGGAGAACCAAGGCTGGCGTGGCCACCAAGGAGTTATCAGCAATCCGGTGGCCCCGTCGTGAATTATCTTTGATATTACTCTCATGATGAGGGGAATCGGGGGGAAAGTGTAAAAGATTATATTGTTCCAAGGGATCATAAGGGCATCCCAGGATGACCCCCCATCTGATTCCCGCTCTCGAGCAAAAAGTCTCACACACCTTGTTTTGTCGGGTGGCGAATAGGTCTATATCTGGGCAACCCCATCGCCGGAACAGCCTGTTGCATGTCTGGTGGTCCAGTTCCCATTTGTGTGACTTGGACATGTGTCTGCTTAAGAGATCTGCTTCCACATTGTCCGTACCGGCTAGATGCACTGCTATCAGGGTGATGTCTCTCGGAATGCACCACTCCCAGATTTGCATCGATAGTCGGGCTAACTTCGGAGACTTTGTCCCCCCTTGCTTGTTCAAGTAAAAGACCATGGCCATGTTGTCCGAGGTTATTTGGACAACTCAATGGCAAAGCACGTCCTCGAATGATTGTAGTGCTTTGAATACTGCAAGAAGTTCCAGGGCGTTGATGTGATTCCTGGACTCCTGTCGGTTCCATACGCCCTGCGTGCATAGGCCAGAAGCACAGGGCTCCCCATCCCAGCAGAGACGCATCAGTACCGAGAGTCACCGAGGTCGGAACGGAACTCCGATGTTTAGGTTTTCTGATGCCGTCCACCACAGTAGAGATTGTAGGATGGAGGACGGGAGTCGAATTTGCTTTGTAGGCAGATCTCTCTGTGGCCGGAATATTCCGTTGAAGAACAGTTGAAGGGGGCGAAGCCGAAGTTTGGCGTATGGAACTGCAGCAATGGATGCTGCCATGTGTCCCAAAAGTCTCTGAACAGATCGTGCAGAAACAGTTCCGTCTCGTCGAATTCGGCAGATGTGTCGAGCGATAGTGCGCTGTCTGTCTTGAGGGAGGAAGGCCTTCGCCACCATAGAATCCAGCCAGGCTCCAATAAAGTTGATCGTCTGCGTAGGGACAAGAGAAGATTTCTCACGATTAATGCAGAGTCCAAGGTCCTGCAATAAGTCACAAGCCATATTTACAGAGGAGCGAAGTCCTTCTCTAGTCCGGGAAACCAACAGACAGTCATCGAGGTAAGGGTATATCTGAATTCCACGTAGTCTAAGGTATGCGCAGACGGGGGCCATACACTTCGTGAAAACCCTCAGTGTGGTGGCCAGTCCAAACGGCAGCACCTTGTATTCGTAGATTTCAGAAGCTACCGCAAAACGAAGGAAACACCTATGACATGGATGGATTGAAATATGAAAATAGGCATCCCTCAAGTCCAGTGAGGCGAACCAATTCTCTCTCCCCAGCAACGGCAGGATATTTTGAAGTGTGGTCATCCGAAACTTCTTTGGTGTTATAAATTTATTGAGAGCTCTCAGGTCCAATATCAGTCGAAGACCTCCATCTCGTTTCGGGACTGTAAAATATCTAGAATAGAATCTGTGGAGTCCTTCTGATAAAGACAAGTGATGAATGGCTCCTTTAGACAGGAGTTGGTGAACCTCATCTAACAATACCAGCAAGCATGGAGTAACCCGGATAGGACTTGACGAAGGAACGATGTTGAATTCAATTCTATATCCGTGCTGGATGATGCGTAACACCCACCCATCAGATGTAATGGACTCCCAAACGGAGTCAGCTTTTCAGCTGGTCCCCAAATGAGAGGGGGGAGGGTGGGGTTGGAAGGAGAGGAAAGGTTCACCCGCCCCATCAGCGCTGGCATCTATCTCCTTTGAAGTGGAGTTGGCTTTGCTGGAATCGCTGGGGCGGTTATTTGCGGTGTTGTTGGCGATGTTGTGGCTGTTGGCGGGGTGGGTATTGTTGTCTATACTGTGGACAGGTCCACAACCACTTATGTCGAGGAAGAGGTTGCATCTCCATACACCAGGACGTCATCCTCGACTCGTGGATTTTCTTCAACTTGTGATCAGTCTTAGCGTTGAAGAGGCCGGATCCATCAAAGGGCATCTCCTCGATCCTTCTCTTCATCTCTTCCGGAAAGTTGCAGTTACGCAACCAGACGTGTCTCCGGAGAGAGATGGCGGCGACAAGAGTCCTCGAGTCTGTATCTACATGGTGCCTAGCTGTGGATAGCTGTTGCATCGCGACCTGCATTGCCTCCTTTACAAACACCCGCGCCAAGTCGCCTTGATTATCTGGGAGGGTGGCGATGATATTGTCGAGGCGTTGCATAATGAAATATTGATAACGCACCAGGGCTGCCTCATAATTCGAAATTCTTAGACCAAGTCCTGAGACCGCATAGACCCAGCGCATGAGGGAGTCGATCTTCCTTCCCTCGTTATCTCTGGGCATTGTGTGGCCCTGTGCCTCCCGGCCTTGAGAAGATTCTACCACCACCGAATTCGGCTTGGGGTGGCAGAGAAGGAACGGAATGTCCCCCTCACGAACTCTATACATCGCCTCGTATCTTCTTGAAGTCGGTTGCAGTTGCGCTGGGAGGTTCCACAGTTGAGTCATTGCTTGTCAGAGAGTTGTAATAAGTGGTAAAGCGATGGAGGTCGATTGTTCCCCCCGCACTACATCGTAGAAGCGATCCGTGCTGGGGCCAGGTTGTTGATTAGCCTCAATCTCCAATGACTTCACCAGCCTGGACATCAGTTTGGCAAACGTGATATGCAGTTCTTCTGGTGACGCCAGGCCTTGTGAGGTGACCGTAGCATCGGGTGAAGTTGAATCGACCTCGAACTCGTCTGAGTCCACCCAATATGGAGGAGGAGCGCTGGCGGAGGAATCCCCTGGCAACTGTGATCTCCTGCTCTCTCGGGACGGTGCGTGCCCCTCGCCTCTTGAAGCCGTAGAATGAGGTCGATCCCGATGTTCGGTTGGGGGAGATCGGCCTCTAGGAGCCGGGTAATATCCGACAGATGGATAGTCGGGCCATCTCGGTGCGGAAGAGTACCAGGAATGGTACCAGTTGTCAGAGCGATTTTCGGAAGACCGGCTCCTCTGGCTTCTCGGTGGGGACAACCCAGATCGAGCCCAACAGGTGGCATAGGTGTCAGGGACCGAGCTCTCGGCAGGGAATCTTGGATCTTGCCATCAGAGATCGAGCCACGAGGTGGATCCTGGTGTGGTTCCGATCCCATACGGCACGGACAGGCCGGAGGAGTGACTCTCATCGCCACCTGAATGGTCGGACCCAAAAGCGTTGGTACCGGGATCGTGGTCGGAACTAAGGAAGCTGCCGAACCCGAGCGTCGGTGTTTTGAATGCTCGGGTCTCTTCGGCTTTTTTGCCGGTTTCTCGGCCTTGTCTCTTTTGGCCTTCTTGTACATGAGCGACTTCTCAGGGTTGCTGTACTTCCTCTTTTCCCACTGTTTCTTGGGCAGGGAAACAGGCTGCTCTCTGCAGAAGCACCTTCGCCTGAAGGGCATGAGGGCGGAGCAGCAGAGGAAGGGGCTGGATGTTGCAGCGGATCAGCTGAAGACAGATGGCAGTCTGGTGGGGCTGAGGTTGTAGCAGGGTTGGCCACCAGCCAGTCTGATTGTAGGAGGGCCTGATCCCACAGGAGCTTACGTAAACAGTTCTCCCTGTTCTTCCTGGCCTGTTTAGAGAAAGCCAGGCAATGGCCGCACTAGTCCGTCCTGTGACCCTCCCCTAAACAGAGGAGGCACAGATCGTGTGGATCCGAAGCGGGCATTTTAGAGCCACACTCTCCGCGCTTGCAGAACGCCGCTCGTTGAGCCATCGCGGAAAAAGAAGAAAAGAAGATAGTATAGCGGGAATAGGTAATATTTTTGTTTTTGTTTTTTTTTTAATAGGAATGAGAAAAAACGAAGAGAATAACTGGAAAAATACAATTAAGGTAAGATGGGTATACTAACTTGGAAAAACAAGAGAGAGTTCGAAACAAGAGAGCACGAGGAACGATCTAAGCGAGAGCGAAGCGGCACGAGGCACAATGAATGGCGGTCGCAAAGACTGGAAAATGGCGGACACTCTGCTCCATATATACTGCTGGGGGGGGGAGGGGGAGGGGGAGGGGGAGTGGAGCTTCCTGCCAAACCGTTAGCTGTCAATCTTCCAGCCACAGGCACTGTGCAGGCGCAGAACCCATATGTGTGATGCACAGAGGCCACGACGAAGAAATTGCCTAATCTGGTTGCTAGCAGCTCTCCAGGGCTCAATCTTTCACATCACTTGCTAACTCACCTTTTTAAAAACAGAAACAAAAAATATGGAGATGTCAGTTGGCCCATGTGCATGCATGCAACCACAAAGTTATGGTCCTTTCCCCCTTTTAAGCAAGTCAAATCTTGTTTCTACCTTTCCCACAGTACAGCTTGAACATACCCCTACTTTTTCCCAACCTCATGTCTCTTGACTGAGCTAATAGGGCCTGTTCTGCAGTTGCAGTACCCCTGCAAACTTTCACAGATGCAGCTTCTGTCCCTTTAGTATTTCTTCCTTCAAGCCAGAACCAAACACAGGGTTGCTGGACACCAACTCAGGCCACAGTGTCATGACCAAGCAGAATGACCCTGGCTCTGACAATAGCTCTTGCACCAGGGATTCCTAAACTGGTACCTCTGGAATCCTTGCATCACCCACCAAGGAATCAAAGCCCTCCAAGGCAGGTCCTACAATCCCATGTGAACTTATCAAAAAAAACAACACACCTTGAAGTGGTTGTTGGAAAAGAAGAATGCTGGGCTCCAAGTCAGAGGCCTCCCCTTTCAAGCTTTTCCACTGCTCAAAGAAGTGAGGAGTCTGAAAGGGGCATAAAAAGCTTCAATCTAGTCTTAGACTTTTTGGGAACAAGTTGCTCATCTGGAGCTTTCCATGGTGCTGCAGCTATCAGACTAGCGTGCTACCTTATCCTATTATATCCCACGAGCTTCTTGTCAAGACCAGGACAGGCTGTTGGTAGCTCACTGAAAGTGCAAACACTAGAACATTAGCACCTTAAAGTTAAGTGACAGAAGGCAGAGCAATAATTCATTCTCCAGTGGGAAGAAAGTAATAGGAATACACCAGCAAGAAAAGCCACCTTATTCTAAACACTTCACTCAAACTAATGACCAGATGACAAGTTTGAGGTCCAGAAAATTTGTACATGTCCGTACATACATGTGTAAACCCAAGGAAAGGGTTTTAGAACCACACATATATGTGGACTATAAAGAATACTCAAATAGGGTCAAGTGTGACAAGCATTTCAGTTTTACAGTGACCCCTGGTGGATTGTTTAAACTCTTATTAACTACACTACAAAGATAGTGCTTAAAGCAGTCTAAAGAGCAATCTAAAACCACAGTCATTTGGGGAAAAAGACCCAGCGAAGCAGCCATTAACAGCAAGACAAGTGTAAAGAAAAACCCTGTTCTAAAGCCAGATTACATGCATCCACAGTTAATTCATTTTTTTCTCTTTTTTATCATCACTTCTGTTGATGCTGGATGAACGGTTCCTGAAAATTGCATTTGCCTCCACCTACCTATTCTAAGGCTTCATGAGAGAACATCTATGTTGTAAGCCATCCGGAGACACTGTTAAGGACGGGGTAGAAATGCTGTAAATAAATAAATCTATCTCTTCATTCCACTGAACCTCAGAGACTTCAACATTCATCCTGATATGTAGGGGAAAGCTGTAGATGACTCAGCTGCCTGGATGAGAAGCCCCTTCCCTTAATGAGCACAGCATCTATAGCTTGGTCCTAATGGTTAAGCAGCACACTTCAAGGAGGGGGTCCCTTTTCTCTTATGTGGAAACCATGGCATTTTAAAAAAGCAAGACAGAAGAATTTAGTATATATTGGGCTAGAAACAGATCTCAAGAATGAGCTTAAACAAGGAATTAATGTTAATATTAATGTTAAAACCCAACATTCATACTCCCCATCTCCTGAAGAATTCTCACCCTTCTACCTCCTGTTTGGAGGAAAGCATTTCTCGACTGTCCTTCTGCTGGCCAGACTCAAAATCAAACAGGGTGACAATGTCCATTTCAATGTCATAGAAGCAGATCTTGGAGTCAATACTTCCATCAGCCTATAAATATATAAATAAGAGAAATGTTTAGAAAAGGAAACAGCACAGTTATTTCATTCTACCTATTATGCCCCATCAAACTGGAAAAGGTTGAGGGGGAAATGAAAGAGCAGGAAGAAAGCAATATATAAAGGTTTCAGATTCTTTTCTAGGTGTTCCCCATCTAGAACAGCTAGGTTTTTGAATTATAAGGACCCTTAAATGAGCATTTGTTTAAGCAGCCCTCAAAAACATTTTCTTTGATTTACATATTAAAATGTATGCTTACAAAACGAAATACCAATTCTGGACAATTGGGTGGTTTTTACTTGAAAATTCAAAACCACCCTAATACCACTGACTGGACAGTGTCTGGACTTTCTGCTTCTGTAGCACTGGCAGAGTGGAAATAGTAGGTCAAAGATACATTACAAACCAGAATGGTGTGTGGCAGAGGAGCACACTGTTCTATATGCAGAAGTTAGCAAAGCAATGTGTAATAGTTTGCAGTGTAGAACCTGTGACAATTATCCATCAATATGATTGATACAGGCAATCTAGCTGTCCAGTTTTGGTTAACCTCTGACACACAATGTTGACTCAGAAATAATGTCACAAAGTTCAGCACTGTGTGATTTAACTTGGTGTTCTTAAGTTTCTGGCTCCCCCTGCATGTGTACTTTCCCCTCCCACTTTGGTAGAACCAAACCCCATTTTTTGCACAAATCAGGAGTCTGAACTGGCTTGTGAACAAACCATGGTTTACCATTTCATCAAAAGTGAGAGGGGAAATGAAAAAAAAGCCATGTTCATTCATGTGATGCAAAGCTCTAGCCTGACAACAAGCTGGATTAAATTGATCACTGCATGTGGAGATACAGCCTGAGTCTAATCTTTTGATGCGCGGCTCAGGTTTTAATAACAAGAGAGGGGAAGCCCACAGACTCACCTTGCTCATGAGGATGCTAACTTTGTTGCCACTCGCATTGCACTTTACAGATGCAATCCCACTAGAGCCTGGAACCAGATCCACCAGGGCCTTGCTGCCGCAATGTACTTTTGCCTCTCTGTTGGAAGATCAGGCGCTTAGTGACAGTGTGACCAACAAGATGGCCTATTCTCCAAAATTATGGGGTAAGTGTATGCCATAATAAAATTCCTATAGCATCTGCCATTATCTTAGGATTTCTTCCTTTGACAACTATTTTTCTTCTAAGCCACATGACTCATTCCTGGTTTCACATATTAATGCAAATTCCACTTCTGTTTCAGAGGCCAATGTGTATCCTTATGGGTGATGAATGCCTTCCTGTCTATGCTGCTATGCACAAGCAGACAAAATGCATACTATGCCTTGCTGAGGCGAACTGCATGCTACCATGCCGACTACATGTGCCAAGCAAGACAGTGCGTGGTGACCACCGTGTGTTGCAATACGCCTTGCTTTCCTTCAAAGTGATAATACCCAAACAGTAAATCATCAGTAGAGAAGCAACCTGCAGTGAGGTAGGAAGAACTATACATGATCCAGTATTTATTAGTCAATATTGCTCCTGGATGGAATTACAAACACTTTCTCTACTACAAAAATCATGCTATGCCAGCTCTGTGCTAGCAAGGATACTCTTCTCAACTCATATAATATTATATATAATGGAATATAATTATAAACAAGATACCACAAAACATGCAATACAGTATATAATACAACTGGCATCAGGCCTTGGAGAGAGGTTTGACACACTTTGGGAGGTACTCCTAAGAATCTGCACTGCTATAACAGCATCTACATTTTACACACTGGCCATATTCACATGTCGCACTAAGCCACTCTGTGAATAAGCAGACAATCTGGCTCACCAAAGCTCATTCTCCCACTCTGTCATTCTCAGTCCTTCAGCTGGTATTTCAGTGTCCTTCGTAGCAGAATCCAACTTTTCTTTTACTCCCCATTCCAATCGCTACCCCTTTTTGTTTACCATCATTTTTAGGAGTCTCAAAACTGCATAACTGGGATGGTATTTTTACTTTGTCAGCTTCAGAAAATAGCAGAGTTTTTTATTACTGTCATTACCATGATTATTATTTTGCAAGTGTGCAGGGGGTACACTTACATCTGTTTGATATGTAAAGTCTTGCCTGGTCAATTTTCAGTTGTTGAACACTCTCCTGTCTGTTTCAGTTGTTAAAGGAAGCAGCAAAGATCAGTAGGAAACAGATCGAAAAGGCAAGACTACATATATGCAAATTTGCACATGGCAACCAGAGACCAATTCCCTAGGCGTCAAATGAAAAGCAAAAATACAGGTGGGAAAACAGCAAAAGAAGGTGCACTCAAATGATGTGGAACAAGGTATCCCAATTAACAATGTAATCCTCCAGCTTTAAGTGGCAAACTGATGGTTCTCGGTGTCCTTCATCTTTTCAATATTTCCCCAAGTCTCCAGCAAGGAATGATATTAAGCCCTAAACAACTTCTGTGGACTCCTTTTTAGATCAGCTAGTGTAGTTCACTAACAATTCTAAAACAAACAACCCTCCCCCAAAAATGAAATATGCACATATTTAATGCCTGGGAAATAATGCAGGACAGTTCTGCATCCCTGCAGTAATAGCGTAGTCGATGCATGTGTGCAAATTGCCCCCAGCATACTTTCCAGTCGTTCGATGTATGCAAAATTCCCCTTCCATTTACTTCCCAGCCATTAAATTTGTGTATTTTCCCAGTCCAAAAACAAAAATTAAAATGTGAAAATATTCCTAACAACTTAAAAAACCCTGAACAGAACAGTTATTTCATTCTGGCATCAACAGCAGTGGTACTTCAGCCTATCCTCCTGTGGAGCCTGAATCACTCTGTCCCATTCAGCTGCTTTCTCAGGGATCTTTTTTTTTTTTTTTTTTTTAAAGAACTGTCAGGGAACCACAGTAACCACAACAATAAGTGCTCAGAAAAGGAACCTTGAAAACTGGGGCAAGAGCTAATATCTCTCCTTTCCTGAGTAGCAGGAAACTCAAGGAATGTTGAAAAGGTAGATGACATTGAGAACTGTCAGTTCAACACTTAAAACCAGAGGGTTGCATGTCATTAAACATCATCACGTGGAATGGGCAAGGGCCAGGCAAACCCAACAAATGCCTCAACTTACTTAAAGGGCTAAAAGCTGACACAGCCTTCCTACAGGAGACCCATCTGCCAGCAAAAGATAAGCATTTGCTTTGTAGGGAGCAGATGAGTGAAGTTCATGCTGGTGGCAACGCCAAGAAATCTCATTCACAAGCAAGTCCCAGTCTCAGTACTGCACACAGTGGCAGAAGAGGAAGGATGCCTTCTTATTCTAGTGGTTAAGTACTTCCTGACAGTTAGGACCCCGAGGGTGTGGAATGGGCTTCCACGGGAGGTGGCTGAGGCCCCATAGGTGCGGGTGTTCAAGGACAGGCTGGACGTGCACATGGTGGGCATGTTGTGAGCGGAGCCAGTTGAAGCCAAGGGTCAGACTAGATGGCCCGGGAGGCCCTTTCTGACTCGCTCTGTTTCTATGTTTCTGTGTTAAGACTGTGACACTGAAACTAGCCCTGGTAAATTTCATGGCCCCAACCTAGATTTCCCCTCAAGTGTTCCACAGATGTTTTCACCATCTATCCTCCATTACCTATAACCAACTAATGATTGGAAGAGATTTTAACGAAATTCTAGATCCAGTTCCGGATAGACATATACCCCCATGCAAATTATCTTCAACACTCCGCTCCGCTCTCAAGGTCCAAAGAGAGTAAGGTCTAATAGACGTATGGCACACATTAAACCCCCATGAGAGACTACACCTTTGTGTCATTAGTCTATCAAAACAATTTTCATTTACATTATTTTCTAATCGCCTCCCACCTGCTCTAGTATGTCTGGGCCTGCCATATAGATGTAATAAGCCAACTCAGATCATGTCCCACTTCTTATAAACCTGGATTTAGGGCTGTGTTGTAAACACTCAAATTATGGGAAACTCAGTCTTTTCCTCCTGAATGAGGAGGAGTTCAAAATGCAAAAGGTCTCGGCACTGAGTGATTATCCTCAATAGAGGATCCACAGCCTCATACTGAACTGAATGGGAAGCTTGCAAAACAGCTATGCATGGCAGAATAATATCTTACATTTCTCATAAGAAGCAAGAGAAACTACAGCAGGAAAACAAACAGCCATCCCCACTATGCAGTCCACCCTGCTCCCCAGGTCTCTACATTCTGAATACATTGGTCAAAAGAATATTATTAATCTGTCTATGCCAGCGTTCCTGAGAGTGAGGGGAAAAGCCAGGTAAAATCCTAGCATACTGCCTAAAGCAAGCTAAACAGTACACACCATTAATTAATGGCAAAGCAGGCAACACGTTCACCAACCCACAGCAAATTAATGCAGTTGTATAAATTCTATTCTGAACCCCATAAAGTCAATAAGATCCATGGCAGAGAAGCAGCAGAGACCTTCCTGTCCAATCTGAACCTCCCACAGCTAGACACAGAAACAGGGAGCGCCTAGTAAAACCTCTACAAAAGGAGGCAATTGAGAACGCTATTATGGACAGGAAAGGTCTCTGGCCCTGATGGCTTTCTAATCAAGCGGTGCAAAGCTTATTCCAAAATCCTCAGACTCCTGTCTACCAAGCACACTGCCACCCACTATGTAAACTGCTAATATTTCAGTCATCCCAAAACCTGGAAAAGACCACAGACTCTGGGTTAATTATAGACAATCTCTTTGATCAATGTGGATTCCAAGATGCTCACTGTGGTGCTTGCCAACACCACCTCCCCAGTGGTCATCTTGTCAGTCAATGCCAAAAAAAGCCTTTGATAAAATTTGTTGGCCATTTATCACCACCACACTCACATAATTTGGCTTTCCCTAAGCATTTCCATCCTGGCTGAAGATCCCATTTGCAATCCAAAGTTACAGGTATGGACCAATAGAATCTCTTCCCTGCCTTTTATTACTGAAAAGGGGCACCTGCCAAGGGTACCCACTCTCTCTCCACCTAACATTGAAACCGAGGAGAGATTCTGGACTCACAGTGTTTTATAAGTGGCATGCTAACAATATATCCAATAGTATTTTGTATGAATAATTTAAATTCAGATTCTTTCCCCTGACATTCTCCACCCCTTCATGTCTGTCTCTTCTAGCTCATTTCTAGCTCTTCCTTTGTTGCTTCTTGATCTGTTGTAAACTGTGCAGAGAGCTTCCGCTATTGGGCAGAACAGGAATGAAAATACTGATCAAGATGATGATGGGGTAGGTGTGGCAGGAGATCTCCACACAGCATAGCTACTAATATTCTATTTGCACTGTTATGTTTACAAAACCATTTCAATAAATTTTATATTTCAAACAGGAAAAGCAGAAAGGTATATAATCAAGCTCTGGTAAATTCCCATGTGTACCTGCGAGAAAGATCAAAAATCTTAAAGTGAGCCAAATCTGTTCCCACAGTCAAGAAATTCCCACAGATATCCAGGAAAAATGGATTCCCTTCAGATTCAGAGAACACCAGTAGCTGTTTAACAGTGCCCTGGTGGAAAAGAAAAACAGCAGTATTAAAACTCTGACTTCCCTTTCATTTTTACATTACCACCAAGACCATAGAGACTTTTCCCATTTTATTGGACAAATCCCCACCAGGTACCACATACACCACAGCAATCTATTGGTATGCCACATCCAGCTCACAGGTACTCACATCAACTCCCAAACTAAGGCAACAATCCTAAACAAATTTTCTTGGGAGTCTCATTGAACTGCACAGGGCTTATTTCTGAATAGACATAGACAGACTTGTACTGGCAAAGATCAGAGATGTAATCTTATGCATGTTGACAGGAAAAAAACCTAAAATTCCCAGCATGGCTGAAGGAGGGAGGCTGGGTGTTACAGGAATTCTTTTCTATTGTCCTAACAAGTTTAAAAAGGTTCTTCTCTCTAGTATGCACCATGGTGACCAGTTCTACCTATATGAGAATTAAATGCCCTGTAATATCTGTAAGGGTATTTTTAAAATTATTAATTCATTCATGCAGAGTTTAAATTTAAAAATTTGGAATCGGGGGTTCCAAAACAGTAGCCTAAACGAAACACCTCAACAAAGCATGTACTTATATGGTAGAAAACAACTAGAACCTTGCTCCAACATAGCCCCAGGATGGCAGAGCATAGCACCCGCGATGTGAATGTTGAGAGGGAAACACTAGAAAAGTTACACACATTCCCCTCTTCCCCACAATGGATTTTTCTCCAATTGGAGGCAGGGGCAGAAACTGCCTGTTGGAAAGGGCAGGAATGACTCATTTGGTTCTGAACTTTGGAGGGGAAAGGTCTCCATAGGACTGGGCTGCCAGGAATGCAACTCTGCTCTTGTTCTGGTTGCATGTGCTGTTGTACAAACATAGTTTTGTTGGAAAGCTGCTAAAATGTTTTAGACTGTAGTCACTGATGTGACGGCCTTGGTAAGAAGCACTGTCCCTCCGAAGACACTTCCCTGGGCAGCTTCCTACAAGCATATTCACATAAGTCAGTTTACTTACTTGCCACGTACGAACTTGAACACGATTTGGCTCAACTGTGTAAATGTTTTCTTCATGCATAGCCAGCACAGGAGAATCACAGGCAAAAGAACCTGGAACCATGTAAGAGAGCATTTCTCCATCACTGTCATGACATATTTGACACATACAGTTAAGGCTTCCACCTTGATCGAGCACCAGACCTGTAAGTAATCGCTAGAAAACTAAAATGTAGGTGATCTGCAACTCGTAATCATACTGATTCTTTCCCCCCTAAAGCTCTTAGCTAAAATACTAAATTTTCTCTACCTTTTAAATGTCACAGAATGATTCCCTTGCAGGCAATATAATTAGAATGCAGTAAAGATAGAATTTTTCACATGGGCAAAGGTGTAAAAGTCTCTAACTCAAAGTCTAAAAATACAACCAGATCCTTCCTAAAGGCCGTGACAAATCAAAATTATGAAGACAGTGGGTAAGAGAAAATATTGGTGGCTTCAGTGCTATCCAAAGGTGATAATACACGTGATGTATGCTTTTAAAATTACCGAAGAACAGGAGTATGACCTAAACTCAGCCTATTATTATGTGTAATCGCCTGCAATTATTGATTCATATTTCTGTGAATCAGGTGCCTTTCTATGCCAATTTCTATTGAACAAATGAAAAAATAACATGGAGAATAGCTGAAGTTGTAGCAGTCTGTATTTTATCCAGCAGCCACAAGTCGATCTATGCAAGGCCATTCATCTTACCTGAATTTCGTAAAGTGGCACCTGAGATCTCAAAGACAGCAACTTGCCTTCCGTTCCAAAATGCTACAGCATCCTAAAATATACCATACAATTAAAACAAATGCATCCTAAATTTGCACTTTGCAAACACATAAAGCCATTATATACCACCATCTTGGGGTCAAATTACACGTTATCCTTACAGCCTGTACAGCTTCACCTTCTGAATTTCTTTAATGCTAACAGTTGTGGTGGAGGCATTTGTCGGGATTCCAAAACCTGGGGAGGGGCTTTCACTACTTCCTTCTCCATCCAGGACTGTGATAGAATTTCCCTGTTGTCAGGGAGGACGCAGCCTGTGGCAGCTTTCCCTGACCTGTGTGCAGGAATAACCCCCAAAACACCACCAAGACGCCTACAGAAATTAAAAACTATCAGAAGGTGAAACTGTATGCTACACAATAAGCACAACGCCTATTTTGGTCCCAATACTGTTGAAACTGAAGGTTCTACTCATTAATCTGCCATCATCAATTCTGTATTAATTCATTTGTGAGAACAACCCACACATTTTCTGTTCTTTTTTTTTAACACTACTAATGATGTGTTAATCCTTTGATTTCAATAGGTCTACTCCAATTAAGACAAAGGCAGACTCCAATCCTCCTCACAATTCAAAGAACAATGCAATGGAAACATTGTCATTTGCAATGCCAATTACCTTAGTGGCAAAAACACCATTCACATACATATCAATACGGAGGTTTTCAGTTGTTCTTGCACTGAAGGAAGTGACACTAAACAGGTTTGGTGAAACTTGTACCACTGCCACTTGTTGGTGGAAGTGTGAGGACATGGCCTGTTCGCTAAGAATCGCCACAGAGTTAGTTGTGTTTACAGCCAAGAGATTCTTCTTGGTTCCCCACTAGAAACAATACAAATAAAAATAGGTTAGGAATACTGAAGCCCCCATTGATCTTATCTCACCTCACCAACTGGGTTATGCAATCTGGGTCCCACTGGGCTTATATCTTACACAAGGGAGATTTAGTTCTAAATCTGCTTAAAAACCAATTGTTAACCTGTGAAATCCTGTCAAATACAAAATTTGTCACATTTTTGTCCTTTCTCAAATAACTTTTACTGATACTTGGGAAAAACTGGAAAACATGAAGAAGTTTCCCTTTGCAAGTGATTCAGGAACCATGAGTCAGGTGAAATTAATATGCCCAATAAATTAAAAAAACAAAACAAACAACAATGGGAAAGGCTCATGAATGTCAGAGGTAGACACCTGACCAAGAAGGATCCAGTCAGGCCTGTAGTTTGATGTGCACAGATTTCATTTGTTCCAATGAGCTGTCAATTATTTCTTCCTATAATGTGGCAGGGAATGAGCAATTTCTGTTATCTCTGTAGTTTAAAGTGTACGCTGTGTTTCATAAGCAAATAGATTAAATATACTTTTCATCTGCCAAACTATATCTAAAAAACTTGAATGATAGTTCAAAATTAGAGTTGCTAACAGTTTGTTCCAATTGTTTTAAGACTGTTTTCCTTAACTATAGTTCTTGCATTGACTTTTATTGTGGGGTAGGAGTAGTAGTTGGGTTGGTAAGAAAGATGGGCTCATTGTTTTAACTTAATTTGTAATGCCTTTGCAGAAATATCTCATGTTTTCAATGTTCTTTACTCATTAGTATCTATAAAGTATCACGAGAACTTAAAGAGTAGCAAGTACTCCAAAATCTTACCACCATCATGACTAGTCCAGCTAAAGACTGCCATTCCCCCACTGTTAACCATGCTGAATATGATCTTTGAAGAGGCTTTGGCCTTGTTCCTTACAAAGTTTCTGAACAGATACATGTGCATGTGTGTATCCAATGTCCAAGTTAAGGTGTTGGTGATGGCCTAAAAGGCCCTAAATGGCTTGGGTCCTGGATACCTGAAGGAGCACCTTCTTCCTTATGTGTCGGCCCACCCCTTGAGATTGGAGGTGGAGGTCCTTCTCCAGGAACACTCTTTGAACGAAATCAGGAGGGTAGCTACTAGGAGAAGGGCCTTTTCTGCAGTGGCACCCTGACTGTGGAATGCACTCCCCAGGGAGGTTTGCTGGTGCCATCGTCCTATTCTTTTCAGCATCAGGCTAAGACCTTTTTATTTTCTCAGAATTTTAACAATTAATTGGTTCTATCCTTGTTTTTATCATTATTTATTGGATGCAGTGAGTTGTGCTTTGTTGTTATGTTTTCTTTGTTTTTTGGTTTATTGTTCTTTGTAAGCTGTCTGGAGACTTTTAGTAATGGCACAGCATGGGAAAACTTTAAATAAATAAATAAGCAAGCAAGCAAGCAAGCAAGCAAGCAAGCAAGCGTGTGTATATAAGAGAATGAACAAGAGAGAGAACATGAGAGTGTTCTGGCCCTACCCCAGTCCTGCCCACTTGTGAAGCCCCAAAAGATTCCACAAGAACCAATACAACCCCCACCCCTGCAAAAGATATTCCATCACCAGTTTATAGGATTGCAGCTTAATTATCCATAACTGAAATCATTCATCATTGTTCTTCAGTTTGCCTTGACTCATTTTCCTCCCATTGTTTTCTTTCTTTCTTTTTTTTGTCTATTTCTAAACCACCATTCCCTAACCTGGTGCCCACCAGATGTTCAGTAGTTCTGCTCCCATCTGCCCAAGGCAGCCAGATATTCTGGGAGTTGTAGTCCAAGGCACCTGACAAGCATCGTGTAAACTCAGAAATAAACCAACAATCTTTGCAGAGAATTCAATCATAATTATGTTTTGTGATCAAAGTTGGTGATCCTCCCAATGGGAGGACTTACTGGTCTCTTTTTTTTGTGGGGGTGGGGGAAGAGGGAGAACATCCCAAGAAGGAGCAACTAAGTAATACCCACATTAGAGTCCTTGCTACCTGATGTGTGAATTGCACCCAGATAAGCCAAAAAGAAGAAAGAAAACTTCCACTAATTTACCTTTATTTGAATAATATTCCCTTCAAGCTCGGTAGGTGCCTGAAGCTTCCATCTGTCCTTGCCTTCAAGCGACCATGAGCTATGGTCGGTGACTGATACTTTCCTCCACATAGCTATTCTCCCTTTGTCTGTCCCAGCTGACAGAAGACCTGCCAAATATATCATACTCTTCAGATTGGGTTAAGAATTATTATTATTATTATAACATTTCTATGCCGCCCCTTGCCGAAACCTCATGAACGAACAAACAAATGAACGAATCTATCTATCTGAAACACAGCATTCCCTAATATGATTCATTCAAATAATTCACTCATTCCTGAGTATAGGACATGGGTCCTCAGACTACAGCCCAGCCAGATCCGACCCGCCATGCCCATTTATCTGGCCCGCCATAGAGGTTCTGGACTTGCCGCGCGCGCATGCATGCATGCATGGAGAGGCACCAGGGATCCTGTTCTCCGAGTGAGTCCAAAACGGTTTCCTTGTGAGCAAGCCGGCACCTCGCTGTGCAGCAGCTTGCTCGCAGGGAGACAGTTTTCTCTGAGCAAGTTCAAAACTATCTCTGCGCACGCATGCACGCCCCTGCCTCGCCACCGCCACCGCCCCCCACCCTGCCGCTTTGGTGGCCCGTGCCCATCGCTGGCACCTTTCAACTGCCCCCCTGTTCAAAAAGTTTGAGGAACCTGGTATAGGACATAGGACAACAAACTTAAAGTGCAGCACTCCAGATTCCGGCTAGATATCAGGACAAGTTTCCTTACTGTCAGAACAATGCAACAGTGGAACCAGTTGCCTAGAGCGGCCATGGGTTCTTCCACACTAAGGGAGTAACTGGGACTTTCAAGGTGACACTGGACAGTCAGCTGAGTGTGTCTTGGTGTCCTGCACCAGCAGGGATTGGACCCAATAGCCTTCTTGGTCCCTTCTAACCCTACAACTCTATGAATCTATGACCAAGGAAAGAGAGGAGGGATGGGGCAATATAGAGGAAAAAGCAAAGTTGTGCAAGCAAGAGAAGGTCTAGATCTCAATGGCTGGGGAAACAGCCCCACGCCACTAGTGCTTCCAACTTCAGCGCAGTAAAAGAAAGCCCAGAGGACTGTGTAAAGGTTTCAAAGAAAGGGGCATTTTTGAAGGAGTATTTAGAGAGGTGGCGTCACACAAGTATTATGGAAGGCAGTTCCAGACACGAGAGTGTAATGGGAAACATGTTTGAGGAAGCCAGAGGCTTTCACGCTGCAGAAAGTAGTGAATCTGGATGAGCTAAGACAAGACGTAAGAGTGAAAAGAGAGGGGGAAGCAAGGCATCCAGAAAGGTTTTGAAGGTAAGGGCAGAAACTTCTTCTGGATCCAGAAGTGAACAAGAAGCCAGTGCAAGGGATGTCATGTGGTCAGAGATGCTAGAGAAGTGAATGATTTGGCAGCAGCGTGCTGAGTAAGTAACACAATGGGAGACCAGAAAGGAAAAGAAGATTGCACAGTCAAGCATGAATACGGTTGCAGTGCTATAAAGAGAGAAACAACATCACTTGAATTATGAATACAAGGGGCAAATTCAAGAGGGATCAAAGCAACTGATAAGACAGGTTTTTTTAATGGAGTGTCAATGGCTAAAGACAGTGCATAAGGCAAAAATGCATGAGAAGAAAAATGAGAGTTCAGTCTTGGACATACTGAGTTTAAGATCACAACATCCCCAGTGGAAGAAGTAGACAGGCAGCTGGATATGCAGGATTAGATGACAGGGAAAAGCTCTGGCCTAGAAAGCCAGGGCTGAATTTCATCAGTACACAGGTGGCACAGAAAGTCATGGGTTTTAATTAGCTCAACCAGGAACAATGCAGAAAGACAGAGAAGCAGAGGGCCAAGATCACATCCTTGAACAGCCCCATATCAGAGAAGGAAATCAAAGGAAGACTTTCCTTGTGGGAAGACTTTGAAAAAGGACCCTCTACGAACAGAACAGAGTAATGGATAATCCTTGGCATAAGGGGAATAATGGGAGCCAAGCAAGAGAGGGTGGTCAACTGTATCGAAAGTGGCAGAGAGGACTCAGTGGAGAGCTCTAGATCTGGCAGTGAGGCAACAGTTGAGGATTCTGCTGATGGCAGTTTCAGTGGTGTGCAAGTGGCAGGAAAATGGGCTGGGAGAAGTCCAAATTGAGACAACCACAGTGAGTGTAGGGACTGTATTCACAGTGTCGGGAGGCAAAGGAGAGAAGGCAGCAGGCAGTTGCTGTAAAGGAAAGACGAGGAGGTTTGCAAGGAAAAGGGGAACAGAGGCATGTTTGAACGCAGTAGGGGAGCTAGGAGGACTATGAATGAATGGCAGGAGAAATGGCTGCTATGAGCTGGCAGGGAATAGAATGAAAGGTCCACAGAGAGGATAAGATAAGGGCAACAGGACAGCCAATACCCAAACTAAGACAGAGAGGAAAAGGAAAGGATTGCAGGAGATGGGGGAAGGATAGGAAAGGCAGAGATCAGAGTCGATTGTTTCGGTTTTAGAACAGAAAAAGGAAAAGCCTCGAGCAGGGAACAAGGAAGCTAATGTGCAGGAACAGGCCTTAGCAAGATATCCAAGACAGAGAAGGTATAATGGGAATTCCTAGAATTGGCATAGATCAGAATGGTATAGCAACTTGTTTGACAAGTTAGCAGGAAAGGAATGAGGTGAATGAATTTGCAATGGCAAAACCAGACACTGTTCTGCTTTCCTCCAGAGGTATTCAGGTGCACAACAGAAAAACAGAGATATCAAATGGGAGATGAGAGGCAGGGCTGGGATTAAAAGGGGCTAACATTCATTGGTGTAGTGAACAGTGCTAAGTTGAAAGGATGGACATCTCATCTAAGCACAGTTTAAGAAGGCACAGCTGACAGGTCATTTCAAAGGAAGCCACTAGATTAACTGACTGAAAGTCAAAGAAACAGAAGATGGAATTAGGGAAGCTAGACTGTGTGCAGCGCTAGAGAAGATAATGTGATAACCAGAGTGAATTCCACAGCAGAGAGGTCAGATATAAAGCAGTCTTGATGAAGGCAAGATCAAGAAAGTGCCCAAGGCAATGTGTAGGGAAGTCTGTTCAAAGCCAGAGATCAAAGGGGGAGATTAGGGAGATGGGAAGCAGCAGGGTCATAAGAATAAGCAAGACCATGAATACTGAACTCACCAAAGAACAAAGTGGGAGTTCTGTCAGAGAGAAAAAAGCAAGCCAGGGATGAAGGTCTGACATGAGGTTAGCAGGGAGCAAGGAAGGCAATGCAAAACAGCAATACAGAGATTCAAAGGGAAATAGAGTCACTCCTGAGTGGACTTTCAAAGGTAGAGAAGCACAGAATGGAGATGGGCAGAGTCCCCCCTCCCCCAGCACACATACTGCTTTCGGGATGAGCTGCATGAGAGAACCAGAGGCCTCTGAAGCACAAGACACACAAGAGTGTGCAGAGCATTACCAAGACCGAAGCCAAGCAGAAGGGTGAATTGCTGAAGGGACCAAGAGACAAAAACATTATGGAGAGTGACTGGTTTCTGGAGGAGAAAGTTTGGGAGCGAACAGAAATAACAAAGTGATGAGAGGTGCGGGAGGGGAGGGGAGAGACAAAATGTTGAGATGAGATTGGACAGGACAAGCAGGTGCCATGATGCTGGAAACAAGGACTAGATAGTTGAGATGAATTTGTAGCCCACATTATGACCCATACGGCTCTCAAAGCAGAGGACTTGAGCTATGGTCTTCACCCCAGAAAATGTTTGCTTTTGTTTCATAGAAATTTCAAGGGTACCCCTGGAAAATATGGACAATTACAATACTAACAATCAATGTAATGGTTATGTCCTTACTTTTAGCATTGCAGTAAGACACACAGTTGATGCATTCTCCTGTTTCAAACCCAAATTGTTCATCCAGAGAGAGCACATAGTTCTCACCACGCTCCAGGTCCCAGAACCTGCAGACAAAATACAGAAGATGGCTGGTAAGAGGCTTCCTCCCAGCCAGACTTGGCTGAAAAGATTAAGAGCAGAAGATACCGAGAGAGTGATCGGGCCTGCAGCATCCCTCGCCCACCCTTGCCTCGGTGGCTTGGCATCCACGCTTCTGCAGCAATGCTCCACATCAGTGAGGATCTCCTCGTCTCAGTGCTGCTCCAAGGAGATCACACCTAATGGCCAAGCACAATGGCCACTCAGTAGCCGCAAGCTACTAAGCCTTATTCTGGAGTGGCTGCCAAGCGGATATTGTGCAGAGGCTGTAGTCCTTTGAAGGTTACGACGACACAGCATTTGCGCTGTACATTTCAAGGGCTGAAAGCTCTTTATATCCATTCTTTCAATAATCCTTCCAACAGGGCAATATTACTACCACCACATTTAGAGACTTAGGCTGAAACTAAGAGAACAGTTTCCCTAAGGCTACCCAGAGAATTTATGGCAAAGGTGAGTTTCAAGCTTGGCAAGTGCTCAGGTCACATGCTTAGCCAATGTTTTACACCAGCCTTTTGCATATTCATCCGTAAAAGAGGACAAACAGCTCACAATCTGGCAAGGGCCACAAGGAGGCACAAATGGTTATCGCCCAAGTACACTATTCCCCATAATCAAAGTTCTAATGAGAGGTATCAGTAAAAGGAAACGGTGCACACATTTGTCCGTAATGCTAAGCCACAGGCTCATGGTTCACACCCTTCCCCTCCTCTGTCCTTCTCCCATGCTACTGACAGTTGGAATGAACCCAAATTCAGGGTTACTTTAGAAGATGCCTGGCTTGCTGTGCTTAAAAATAACCAACAAGAAACTGTGGTTTAAAAAAACCCCTGTAGTCAATTGGTAAACAAGCCAGCAACAAACCTCAGGTTGTTTCACAGACATGGTTAATAAATTCTATGAACATAACTAGGACCTGTTTAAGTGAAACTGAATACTGGCTTATTCCTCCTCACTGTGTGAACTGGGCACTCCCCCAGGGGCTCCTTTCAGTTCACAAGCATGGTGCTAATTTATGGCTTGGTGTTATGTGCAAATACAGCATAATTAGGAGAAAATGAGCTTCTCCTCAACTAGGTTCTTCATACCTAAGAACTGGTTCGCCGGTAGCAGTGATAAGGAGGCAACGATCAATTAAAATGATATCAGCAGGATGACCCATCTTCCCAGTCAGCTTCACCTGATAATAAACAAAAAATGTTGCGGGGAAACAATGGAAGGATTTCCCAGATAGCTAGGGTAGTTATTTATTGGATGTATATCCCATCCCATTAGCCAGGAAGGTTCTCTGGGCAGGTTACAGGATTATTAAATATGAACTACAACTACAACCCAATTCAACATATGTTTACAATGAGATTCTTTGTTGTTTTGGGTGTGATTGAGTTATCGCAGCTGGAAAGAAACCTTATAGTTAACTATAGACTGGATTCAGACAACATGATAACACAACACTTGAAGGTTGAGTATAGGATGAGTGAGGATTGTCATTGTTGTCATTACTTATTGTGTTAACTAAAGCCAGTTGTGCTACCAAGCCATGGTTTATTAGCCACAAACAACCCATGAAAAGAATACATACTCTTCACTGTTTGTGGTTAGTAACCACAGTTTGTTACTACAAATGGGTAGAGCCAGCAGGATTTTATTTATCTGATTGATTGTTTTATATCCTGCCTTTTTCCTACTAAGGACTCAAGGCAGCTTACATCATTCTCCTCCTCCATCTTATCCCCACAACCACCCTGTGAGGTAGGTTGGGCTGAGAGTCTGTGACTGGCCCAAAGTCACCCAGTTGGCTCCATGGCTGAGCGGGGACTAGAACCCAGATCGTCTGAGTCCCAGTCCCATGCTCTTAACCACTACACCGCACTGGTTGAGACAGGATAATCCATGTCTCAACAACAACCCACATTTCTATGACATTCTACACTCAACTCATATTTAACCCTTACAAGTGCAGGTTCTCCTTTCACTTGAACCCAGTCATATTCTCCTTCATAGCAACCATTTCAGTGTAGGCCATCTATTACTTTCATTTTACAAACTGCAAACTTAGGTTGGGAATACCTCTTCCATAAAGATCCCCCAGGGCTTGGAGGCACACACAAAGTTTCTTCATGCACATAAGATTCCTCATTCACTTCAGTGTCATAAACAGGCAGGGTTGTCACAAAGAATTGTCACAAACAATGAAGCCACTGACAACATCCCTGCTGCTTTAATTTAGGCTGTCCTTTTGAAGATGAACATATAAAGTTGCCTTACATCAATTCATGTACCTTGCAATTGTCTGACAGCAGCTCTCTCAGGCAGATGTCTAAGGAAGTTGGGTATTTTCTACATATGCACACCTGGCTGACTACTGAGCCAAGGCTCTCTTCAGGGCCAAACTGAAATCCTGGGTTTGCCACCATGCATTGGAACAAATTAATCACTACTTTAAGCAAGCTTTTTCTAAACTACATCTTGGCATATTCCTCAATTGGTATAAAATAACCTGCCTTTAAGGTCCTTTTGTGCTGCCTGGAGACCAGTTAGATACCTCAAGGTGCTGCCTGGAGACCTGTTAGTAACCTCTCAAGTACTATATCACAAAGCCTACTGTACCCACCTTGAAGAGCTCCTCTGCTTCTCCTTCAGGAGAAATTTTATAAAGAGATAAGAGAAGAGTCTCTGTTATGACTATTAAGACATCCTTTTCCATGAAGAGCAGCTTTTGAACTGAACTCTCTGTGATCAATACCTGGGTTGTTTTCCCTCTCTCGTTCACATAATGCACTGTACCTGCAATGAAATCAAACTCTGTTGTATACTGGCACGTTATAACATTGCTATAAATCAAAATGACACACCCTAAAAACAAACCCAGCTTAATCATACATGTATATACAAACATGATGAATTTTATTTTTTTAGTATCGTTTTTATTTTTTTAAAAAATCAAACTAATTTTACAATGTTAAATACAAGTTTAAAAAACCTTACAATTAGAATAAAACATAGAACGTTATAATTTAAAAAACAATTAAAATGAGTACCCCATCACTAAGACCATTGGATACATGTTGAAAACTCTATCAAAAGTTCTTTCAAGAAGTTTCCCCCTTTCAAGTTTGCAGTGACTCTTCTGAAGGCTTCAATCCTTTCCCTTTTTTAGTACATATGCAATACATACACCCCAAGTCTCATTAATTTTTTTACATACCCTTTTCTAACTTTAATATCACAAGTTAATATTCCAGACTTCTCTATACCAATCACACAATTGATAGCTATGATTACTTTCCATTTCTTAGCTATGATTAACCTCACATCTGCTTTTAAATTTATTTTTAATTCTTTATTACTCCAATTCAATTGTTTTTTTAATTAAATACTGAAAGTGTGAAAGGGCATATTTCAATATTTAAACTTAACACATTGCTACTCTCTTTAAAAACTTCTTTCCTAAACTTCATTATATATTCACATTCCCACCACATATGAAAATATGTACCCACTCCATGGCCACATCTCCAAGGTAAATTGGAATATTTATTATCTATACAACTTCCTTGGGGTTAGGTACCATTTCCATACTAATTTATAAACATTTCCTTTATTCTTATTGACATATATTTTAATAGCCTCTTAGCTCAAATATTTTCCCAGTCTTCATTACTAATATTCTTTCTCAAATCTGTTTTTCCATGTTGTTTTAAGTGGATCATATTGATCTTGATCTTCTGACCATTTCTTATAAATTTCACTTACTATGCCTTTCATCTGCATATTATCTCGTTTTTCCTTTTCTACAATCATATCTTCAAATTTAGTGTAATCTCTACATCCACCTCTTTTCTTTAACCAATCTCTAGTCCAACATTCTAATTGAATCACATTACTCTAAGCTATTTTTTCTTTTCCTATCTTCCCATTTTTATTAATTATCTCTAACCAATCTTTTAACTTAATAATTTGTTCATTTTTTAGTATTTTGCCCAAAGGTTTTCACAAATTAGATGGAAATGCTTCTAATTCAGTATTTGGATATAGTGGTGGGATTGATGGCATGAATTTTTCCTAATACTTACTCCAAATCTGTAATACATATTTTAAGGAAAGGATTTTCTACCTTTTTAATAATATTTTGTTATCATTTTGACAAAAATATTTGTCAAGGATCCTTCTAGTTGAAAAAATATAATTTTAGCCATATTACCATATCAGGTTGTAATATAATATCTGGTACATACCTCATTTGATTTGCTATTTAATATAACTTTACATTATCACCCTATCTGTTGTGATCCATACCATCTTTTTTTTAATTTATCCTTGCTTTTTTTATTCCCATTACAAAATTAATTGACCATATCTTGCATTCTTTTAATTCTTTACCTGCTATCTTAATCAGTAACATCATAAAAAGAAAATTTATCTCAGGCAAGATTTTCTTTTTACATATCGCTATTCTACCAAACCAAGATAATCCAATTTTCCTAAATTCATTCATTTTCTCTGAAGCAGTTGGTGTGGGCTTAAGTGGACTTGGGGGATGATGGAGGACAGGAAGGCCTGGAGGAAAGTTGTCCATGGGGTTGTGATGGGACGGACACAACTTTGCAACTAGCAGCAACAACAAAAAAACTGGTCTATAGATTCCTTTTTGAAGTTAGAAACAACTTTAGCCCTCATCCAGTCATCTGGCACTGCCCTCGCTGATTTCTCAAAGATAACAGACTATGGTCCTGAGAGTTTGCTGGCCAGTTCCTTTATTGCTTCAGGATGTAACTCATCCAGCCCTGAAGATGTGAACTTAACCATTTGTTTCTTAAACTCCAGCTTCAATCTTGACCCTTTGGTTTGTACTTCATTTCTGCCAGGGAGGTCATAGATCTGTTTTTGTGAAAAGACTGAGCCAAAGTAGAAATTGAACACTTCAGCTTTTTTTTCATTATCTGTTATCAATTTTGTCACTGAGAATTTGATCCACATTTCTTTTCTCTGTCATTTACTGTCAACATACCTGAAACAACAACATGCCTTTCTGTTGATTTTCAGATCCCTTGCTAGCCTCAGCTCATTCTCAGTTTTAGTCTTCTTGATGTCAGGGTGCGGGCCAGTGAGGGGAGGTGCCAGTGGGCGCAGGCTGGTGAAGCAGTGGGGGCGGGCATGCAACGAGGTGGCAGCGGGTGCACATGCAGTGAGGCAGCAGTTTGCTCAGTCACGGATCTCCAAACGAGTCCAAAACGATCTCCGAGCGAGCAAGCCTGATCAAATTTGCAGATGATACTAAAATGGGGGGAGTGGCCACAACTGAGGAGCAGGCACTCCAGATCCAAAAGGATCTGGACAGACTACGGAAGTGGGCAGGAGACAACAGGATGGCGTTTAATGTGGTCTTCCACCTGGGGCATACGAATGGGTGCCATAAGTACAGGTTAGGGGGCAAGTGGCTAGAGAGCAGCACTTGTGAAAGGAATCTTGTGGCTCTGGTCTACTGCAAGCTAAACATGAGTCAGCAGTGTGACGTGGCAGTCAAGAGGGCAAACGCTACCCTTGGTTGCATAGCCAGAAGCATGGCTTCTAGATCGAGAGAGGTATTACTGCCACTCTATATGACTCTGATGTGCATGCAACTGGAGTACTGTGTTCATTTCTGGGCCCCTCATTACAGGAAGGATACAGCCAAGTTAGAGTCAGTGCAGTGTAGGGCCATGAGGATGGAGGCCAGATTGCGGGGAAAGCAATGAAGTGAGACTGAGGGAACTGGGTCTTTTCAGCCTGGAGGAGACTCCAAAGGGATCTGTTGGCAACATATAGGTATGTGAGGGGATGTCACACAGAGGTGGGTAGAGACCTGTTCTCCCCTGCAGAGGAGGGCAGGACGTGCTCCAACAGAGCCAAGCTCAAGGAACCAAGATTCAATTTGGATGCCAGGAAGTACTTCCTGACAGTTGGGACCCCAAGGGTATGGAATGGGCATCCATGGGAGGTGGTTGAAGCCCCATGGGTGAGGATATTCAAGGGGCACATGGTAGGCATGGTAGGCATGTTGTGAGAGGAGCCAGCTAGAGCAGGGGATCAGACTAGATGGCCTGGGAGGCCCCTTCCCACTTGCTCTGTTTCTATGTTCCCTTCCTCCACTTTCTGTGAAAGAAAGTTATCCAGCACGCATGACAAGAATTCCTTGGAGGGGCTACTTTTGGCAGAATTTGTCTCCCAACAGATGTTGGGATAATTGAGGTCCCCCATTACTACATCACGCTCCCTTGAAATAATGACAATTTGGTTAACAAAAATGTGATCCTCGTCTTCTCCATGATTGGGTGGTTGGTAGCAGACTCTGAATAGCATGCATGTTCCTTGTATTCCTTGACACATTTATTTTGATAAAGATGCTTTCAATCAAGGTACCAGGCTCAATTTCCTATACTTCCATGCAAGGATAAACATTTTTAACATCGCATGCAACTCCACCTCCTTTCTTATTTCTTCTATCCTTTTTGAACAAATTAAATGAAATCTGTATTGGAAGAATTACTTAGAGTATGACCAACTGCAGAGGGGACTCTGCTTGCACAAGCATCTCATATAGCATGCCAAACATTTGATGGAGAGACTAAAAAACAAATGACTGGAAAATCTAGATAAGTGGAACTCCACTGTAGAAGTTGTAATCTCATTAGAAGCCCAGGACAAACATGTGATTCATTTAAAAGTATCAAGTGGACAGGAACGGTTTTCATGCCCCATCTTGAAAATATGTCTTTAGCCAATCCCATTTCACTTGGGCACTGCAATACGAACTGCTGGATACCATTATGTAAGACCACCCACTGTTTCAAGATCCTCTCTAATACCTGGGAAACGGCTGCTTCAAAGTATAATTGCCTATAGACTTTGCCTAAAGACTTTGCTGTAGATCCACACAAAGGGCTAACCAAAAAAGTTAGTAAGAGCTGCACTAACATGAGTGTACAAAACAGATTTAAAATCCAAAAAGAAAAGGCAACAAAGAATTCATTCACTATAAAGAAGATACAGAGAACAGTACTGAAACAAATGTTATTTGGTTTAATATTAGCAGCATGAAAATGCTGTTAATGTGGGAGAGTAACACGTAGTCTTTAGAGAATTCAAAGAGCTCTTCCCTCCCACCTCATTCCAGAGGCAGTAGCTTGGTGTCTCATAATGCATAGTTTGGCTTTCAAAAGCTGTGGAAAAAGGAACAATTGCATGATTTTAAAAACACACATCTTCCATTTGCCAGCAGATGGGGCTGTGTGCCTCCAAATTAGCTTGTGTAAGATAAGCAGAGTGCTAAGACTGGCTTTGCAAAAGCTTATTACCATGCACCAAATGCACATATGCGTGTATGCACTTGCAAGATTTGAAAACACATCTCTATTGTTCCCTTTTCATCTTCACAAAGGAAATGTGAAACAGCATAAAGCATATTTTATAACAATGGGTTATTAAGATAAATGTGGTATTTTCATTTTGTTAGTATTCTCCAGCAAACTTTTACCCCACTTTTCAACAAATCTTCACTGTGATTTTTGAGAAATAAAATTGGATTGAGTTAAACAAAAACTATTTTAAAATCAGGTGATCCAGTAACAAAGTCTGCTACCATAAATGGTCTTTGTTTAACTGAACAAAACAGGACTAAAGCAGCTAATGTGTAAATAGGCATTTCAGCATTCCAGCTGCCAAAAAAAAGACTCTTTGACCTCAAGAATGGGAGCTAATCTCTTGAGATTATAGAGGCTATCATTTCCAGAGTTTTACCTTTTCAAAATGTACAGACAGAAAGACCCCAATCATGTGACATTTTCTAATAGGCTACAACAGTTCCGGCCTTACCGTCTGTCATACTGATAAAGAAGGACAACCCTTCTTGGGGTCCCATTTTCAGAGGCATTCCCATTCCAGATTTTCTCCAATTAAACATGTCCAGGGCCTTCTCATCACCACTCACTGCGGCTTTGGCTAGTTGTACCAAGTCCCTGAAGGCAAAAACAAAGCATATTATTTCTGGCTATCTTCTTAGTTTAACTTTCTAATTGAGAAGAAAACAGGTAAGAATTTCCCACCACCAAAAGCAGCAGCCAGCTACCAAAAAAAAAAAAAGGTATCTCACTTCAAGCACAGAACAGAAATGGCCATACTTTTACAAGCATGATTTCCAGCATTAGAATTTTCCCCAATATGGGAAGAACTGAAGGTGATATCTGGCAAAGGCAAACACCAGGTGAACAAAGTCATTTGATTCTGGACTAGTGTCCTACCAAAAGTTCTGCATGGACACTTTTCAGCATGTTTGCAAGGATAAGGGACAAAAAGAGGTGGTAAAAAATGTTTCAGTCTTGAGTGGGCTGAAGTACTTTAAAAAATGAGTGGTGGATGGTCTTGCATTTATTGTTCAGCAGCACAGGCATATTTCTCCCCTTTTCTTTCTTGCATTCCCTTCTCCAAGTCTCCCAAGATTTCTCCTCTCCTAGAAGGATGAAGACACTCATCCAGTGAAAATACAGAGGACGCCGACGTGACAATTGCCTCCCACTCTGCACTGGATGTCCATAAGCCTCCAAGCTGAGGGGCTTAGAGGCATCCTGACAGGATTGTGCCCTTAGACAGGGATTTAAAAGCAACTAAATATGCAGTAGGATGTAAACAAGAATAATTAACGATGATCAATAACAGGGCAAAAAGATTAGCGATGGGATGCTGAAAACAGAAGGGGGAAATCAGAATCACAGAAACACAAAAGGCTTGGGGATAAGTGATAGTTAATTCCTAGAAGGGATTAAGAGGCAGACAGACAAGACTGGAAAAAGTACAATGGGATGATGGAAAGAGAAGTTGGGAAAATATACAAACAAACAGTATTAAGTGTTACCAGGGCACTCAAATGACATTTGATATAACACAGACACGGAGGAAATTAGCAGGTCTGATTCCAATGGAATTTGTATTCCCTAAAATACAGAAAATTCTGCCAGAAATCTGTCCAGTGTTTTCTACTTACTCGCCCGGAGGGGGTGGCCGGAAGATAGAGTAATTGAGAGGTTTTCCATACTCATGTTTAAGTAAAGGGGGGCCTTGAACTCTACCCCGCTGGTCCATCCTCCATACCACCAAAACGCCAAGCTATAAAAGTTACAAAATATATGAAAGTAGATTGGATAATGTTTTATACTGTGATTTGTACTTTAGGACTGCCTGGAGTGTGTTAGTACATGTTTTTATTTATTCGCTACTTTCCTTATCTTTGTTTAGACAAGCAAGTTATAAATTTTTTGCAACGATGACCACATGAAGAAAACACAGAGAGGGCCAATTTTCACTCATCCTGTGTTATTGTCCAGCTTTTCTGCCATGTACCAAGACAGTTACACACATGCCACTAGTTTGTGCCAAACTCAGTGTGGATCAGTTTTTGTCATTCCATAGTGGAACAACTGACAGGCTTCCCTTGCAAAACCTAATTCATCACAGTGTAATACATAAGAATCTTTGTCTGATAAATACAGCTATAAAGTCATTGCAGACTGAGTGAAAATTGCAGCTGCCATGTCGTAGGAATCATGAATAGGTCCTACAGAGTCAAACTATTCAAGCTACGTGAACAATAAAATTCTCTTGTTTAATGATCACATTTCATCTAATCGCTTCCATATTTTAAAAATAGTCAAGCAAAAATCTTCTGTCCATCTAAAGTGGATTTATCAATCTTCATCTCCATTTTAGGTCAGCTGGTTAATCTATCTTCTTGAAGGATGGATTCTATCCCATTCCAGCTCACAAAGAGAAAGACAAATAACTTTTAAATGCACAATAAAAGCATGACTTTTTTAAAATGCACAAAAGAGTCAGCATTTGCTCCCTAACTACTAAAAAAAAAAAAAAAAAAAATCACACCTCCTCAAGAGAAAGGCCATGGCAATAAACACCTCTGGAGAAGATACAGTGGGTGCACTTAGAACTGACTTACAGTGCAGCCCAGTACAGAATCGCTTGGAATCATATCTCATTATATTCATTGGGAGTTATTTCAGGATAAGCATGTACAGGACTGTGGACTTACAGCAGAAATTCAAGGCCAAACCAAACATTTTAAAAGATATTAACAGCAGTTGCAGTGGAAGAATTCAGATCATGTCTGTGATGGTTGGGGAGAATTTTTTAAAGCATGATCTCTTTGGGCCATTTCCCCTATTAAAAAGATGGTATTAATATGGATATATTTTCCAGGCAATTCCAATTATGGATTTCTCATGTCACCTGGTTCAACCTTCAAGTTTCTGTCATTTCATTTTGCAGATGCAATTTATACAGAGAAGGCATTTTAATGGTGACAAAACAGAACAACTAAGTAATGGAAAAACACCAGGGTTTTTCTTTCCTTTCTAAGAAAATGGGGAAAAGGTCTGTATGAGACCTTCCTGAACTGTTATTTGGATGCTTTTCATCAGACAAGGAGCATGTAACACAGAACATGAAGGAGGACAGCATGTGATGTCACTTCTATTGGGCATGCAGAGAGTGTTTTACACTGGCACTATGATTTTTCACATCAACACAGTGTTCCCTGAAAACAAACAAACACTGATCAGACATACTGAAGCAGACGATCCAACGCCTAGAAAATGGCCTGCATGGAAACATCTTAAGGCATTCTATACTATATGGAGCTTTCCCATTTATATCAGTATAGCTGGCTGCAATCTCACAGCACACATAGCCAAGTGCAGTTTTACAGCAAGAGAATTGTCTATACGTAATTATAAAATCAATACAGTAAGCTAGAAAGGTAATCATGGATATGATTAACTCCTGCAGACTGTGCTAGTCCACCTCCAATCTTATTTAATTAGTGTAGTGACAGAGGGAGCAGGACTGGCCAGGTAAAGGGAATGTGGGACATTGCATTGATTGGTTCTGTTCCTCCTTGGAGGACCATCTCCAGAAGGTGGTACTTAGGGAATGTTGTTCAGTCCTGTGCATTCTCCAGCATGAGTTCCTCAGGGGCCTATTCTGTCCCCCCTGCTATTTATCAGCTACATGAAACTGCTGAGGGATCATCTGGAGTTGCCATCAGTATGCAGATGACACTCGGCTCTATTTCTCCTTTTCATTGTCAGCAAGTGAGGCGGTGGATGTGCTAAACTGTGGGCTGGATGAGAGCCAATAAACTGACAAAGCTGAGATGCTGCTGGTGGATGGTTCCTCTGACTGGATGGGGGATGTTCAATCTGTTCCAGATGGGGTTGCACTCCCCCAAAGGGGCAGGTTCATGGCCTGGGAGTGCTCCTTCACACGTGCTTGTCATTTGAGGCTCAGGTGGCACTGGGGGGTCAGAGTGCCTTCTACCAGCTTTGGCTGATGGCCCAGCTGTGCCCACACCTGGACAGGAATAACCTGGCTTCAGTAATCTGCACTCTGGTAATCTCCACATTACTGCAATGCACTCTACGTGGGGCTGTCCTTGAAGACAGTTCAGAAGCTGCAGCTGGTGCAAAATGTGGCATCCAGACTAAGAACCAGGACTCATAGGTCTGGTTGTGGCCTGTATGCTTCCAGGCCCAATTCATAGGTTTTAACCTATGCAGCACTACACAGCTTAGGGCCACGATACCTGTTGGAACACTTCTCCCAACTCAGATCTACCTGGACACTACACTCAACCTCTGGGGCCTTCCTCCAAGTGCCAATCTCATGAGAGACTCGGAGGGTGGCAACTTGGAGGAGGTGTTTTTCTGTAATCCCCCCCCCACCCCCAATCTTTGGAACAACCTCCTTGCTGTGGTCAGCCTGGAGCCAAATTTGCCATTTTTTCAATGCCCGGTCAAGACAGATCTCTATGCAGAGGTCTTTAATGATGTCCTTGGTTGTCCAGGAGCCTGAGGGGATTATTCTGGTGCTGCTGCTTCTTGCCAGGTCTTCTTCTTTTTATTGTAGTATAACTGATTTCTAAATGATTTTAAATTAATTTTAAATTCTCTTAACATTGTTATTTTATGTTATTTGTATTGTATTTTATTGCGTTGCTTTATACATCATTGCATAAATGATGGCATTGTATAAACGCCAAGAGAGCTTCAGCTACAGGGGGGTATAGAAATGGAATCAATACTAATAAATAATAAACCTCCTGCAGCTTTACAGCCTTTCTGGTCTCCTAGTTACTCAGAACTCTTCATCAGCCCTTATACCAGTGCATGGCTGTTTCCACCCCCCCCGCAGTCACATTCCGCAGAAAATGCTTTTAAGCTTTTACGTTACATAAACAGGCAGACAGGCAGAATACCTGTCAAATTTTACGTTCAACACAGGAGGGTTTGCATTTGGTTACTTACTTTGTCTCCAGAAACTAGACGGGTGCCATTAGTACTCCAGTTGAGGACTGTAATATCAGCGTTGTGGTTAGAGGGGACTGCATGATGCTCCTTGTCTTGCTTGTTTACTACCACCACATCCCCCATCTCACAGCCCACTGCCAGTATCAGTTTGGATGGATGCCAGTTGAGGCAAGTGGCCCGGAAATTTCTCTCCAAATGTGCCTCGGACACATACTCTCCCTGGAAATGATGCGACACAAATAACTTTGGCATTTTTGTGAGCCTTCTGAAAATTCAAACTCTGTTTCCCCTTGAGACAAAACTGCGCTGTACCTTAAGGGTGCATCTGTGATCCCATCAGGTGGGATGTTAAAAGGACTTGCAGGAAAAATTGTTGAGAAAAGCCTCTCACTTTGCTCTTATGGGCTACGTTTAGAATCACAGAATGGTAGAGTTGGAAGGGGTCAATAAGCCCGATGGGTTCAACCCCCTGCTTCCTACAGGGCTCCAAGTTAAAGTGGTGGGCATGTCATTCCTGCCTCCTGCAAAAACTTAACAGGGAATTGGAGAACCACATCCTTTATTGCCTGTCTGCCATGGAGAACTGGTAGCTTCTTTCCTCCATTATAGTTATTGACAAGAGGTAGCAGGAAGGCACAACAGGAACTTTTCACGAATGTGCAGTTTGCAACGGAAACAAACTCATCATTACTATCCTCCATGGAGAAGAAAATGGAGGCAGCTTCCATCTTACACATAGTGATTACATATAAAGCTCCAGGAGTGCCTTGTTGTTTCTGCAAAATCTTAACTGAAGTGGGGGATGACCTTTTCTCCTATATTTGACATCTGGAGGAGACCACAGCAGGGTCAGCTCAGCAGCAAAGACTTCTGTCTTCCTGGAGTTCTCTGTACATACCATAGGATTCAAGGAAGCAAGCAAAAAAGGAAAGAAGGGGGGGGGGGGACACAGTGAAAACATAAGCAATGGTTTGTCTAGTAAACCAGATCAAAATTGCTATCCACTAGTTGAGCCTTCTTGTTCCTTGGATATGGCCCCTGAGGGGGGTGGTTCTGAGAAACCACAAATAAAATGGCAATTGGCTTGCATTCCTGTTCATTCCTTTCTCTCCTTTGGTTTACAAGTTTGCAGGCAAGGACTGCTTTTTCTAATTGCTGCAGAATCTAGAAAACCTTTTAATTAATAATAGTAACAATAATAGCAGGAGAGTATTCAATCACAAGGCAAAAGCAAAACAAAAAACAAGAAAAACCAGGTCACTTTTGGAACACTCACCTGTTCTGGAAAAATATCCACACTGCCACCCGAGTTGGAATTGATGGATGCAACTGCCAAAAATGGCTGGCAGTGGTGCCAAGCTATATGGGAATGGGGTCCACGGGACTGAAGAGCTTCTAGCTGGTGATCAATGTACACAGCCATGATGACTGTTCAAATATATACAAATAAATAACTCATAGCCAAGTAGCTGTAAAATAAGACAAAAGATGGAATGATGCTATTTATATTAAAGTGAGAGTAGGCAACCGCTAGCCCTTGCCCTAATTTCATGCACTCCCCGGGCTCATTTAAAAAAATCCTCTGCATGTGATCAATTCAGGCCTCCAAAGGTGTGAACAGTTCCTTCCCTGGAATACCACTGAGTGAGAAAAAAGCAGGAGAGAGAGAGAAAGGAGTAACAGAAAAAAGTGACAGAGAATAATGGGAAGAGCCAACCCTTTCAACTTTTGGCTCTGGCCTTCCTACCTCTGGCTGCATCCCCACTCAGCACTGACATGCAGACTCTGAGAGATTAGCCAGAAGGAACACAACGCTCAATGGAGGAGGAAAGGTTGTCCACATTTGCATTAAAATGTAGAGAAAACAAATAATAATGTGTTTTGTCTACATAAATATAAGGAATATAAAAAGTTATATTCCTAGCCCACCTCACTACTGTGCAGAGGAGAGGGAAGAACCTAATGGAGGACAGTCAAATATTTAGCAGCTTCACTTCCAGTACCCACTAGCTGCTCAGATGAGCACTTGCTCTGATCAGGACCTGGGAAGGCTGAAGACCTTTGTATATGAAAGAAGGGGGTGTTTGGTTCCTCCTTTATAAGACTGTTGCTGCAGCAAGTCATGCCAAACATGGACATCATGTGCATTTGGAACAAGCATGAAAATCAAAAGACAGAATGGGAAGTGAACAAAAAGATCCTTGCCATGTTATTTAAAAATTAGAAAAAGGAGAGAGTTATGCTTGCAGATTGCCGTTGGGATGGAACTTCTCAGGCTATTTTTTCCTCAATCCATTGGTATTAAAAAGGGACCAAACACACGTAAGTGAAACTTCAGGGAATCTCCAAGGAAGACAATAGGTATTACTAATGTTATCACAGATCAGTGAATTATTTGAATTCCTGCAGATTTCTTTGACAATAATTGTGTACTGTAGTCTATTAATTATGGTGAATTGTGGGACTGAGATAATGGGTAGTAAAGTAATAGAATAATTCAAAGCAAGGATTTGAGAGAAAGGTCAAGGTTTCGTTTTTTGCTTTGTTACTAGCTTGCGAAGAGGCTAAAAGCCCTAGGCAGGCAGCACAGAAACACAGGATTCCAGCTTTTCAGCAGACTACTTTAAAAATATGCAGGCATCTTGAATTTACAGCAGAATTGTACGGATACCTACCAACTTTAATGGGGTTTATTTCCAGGTAAATGTGCACAGGACTGCAGCCCTGGGAAACGTAAAGTGGTGAAACTGTCCACTGTTTTCAATTAAAGATCTTCCAGATGTTGCAAGTTATTAGTTTATGAGGTCTGTAGCACCTTCAAGCCTAACATTTTTTTGTGACATAACCTATTTATGGACAAGAGAGTTCACGTCATCTACAAAACCTAATCCCATATTAAACCCCTTAGTCCAGAGGTTGCCAATGCAGGCACCCCCAATGTACCCATAGAAGGACCCATTCTACCAGTAACACCCAATTTTTAAATTCTAATTTCTAATATGCATACATGGATTCATGGAAAATGCATAGAACTTTCTAGCAAGTATATATAAGCTTCAACAAAAGCAGACCAAATACCCAAAGAGGTATCTATTTGAAGCTAGCTTCTATATGCCATCAGGCAATTCACAGCATTGCGGGAGTGGAGTGTTTATCTAATTTTGCCATATCCATCTTTTAGCTGTCAAAAGGGTACAGCAAATCTATTTCCTCTTCCATTTATTTATTTAAAACATTTGTATGCTGCCTAATGTGCCACAGCACCTCTGGGTGGCTCACAATCATAAGATAAAAACCACAATAAAAAAACTAATTACATCGATTAAAAATACAATACTAATAAAATACAAAACAAACCCTAATTTCCATGAAGCAGATAATTAATTTTAAAATGAGTATATATTGGTGAATATTAAAGATGATTTCAGTACAAAACTTATCAATAGAATATGTTCCTCCCATAAAACTGATTCAGCTGGTTTGCAATCTCACAGAAGCATACACCACTAAAAACGTCATCAGATGAATCTCACTTAAAGTCAGCCAATATTTCAAAAAGACTTCAATGAACAATAAATCTCATCACAGCACTAAATAATTCTTTAGTTGTGTGAGGGATTTATACCGTACATCTCAAAACAATTCCCATTTGTTGGGAATTTTCTTTGTTTTCTTTGTTACCAACAAAGAAAGCAATGATTAATCCCCCCCCCCCCATGGAGGGAGTTCAACAAACAATGCTTCACAGTCAAAAATCAGAGACACCTTGAAACGAACCTCAACAAATAACCTCAATAAATAGATAAGTTGGTACTGGAGATGTATTCTATGAAGTACCTCAGTTCAAGCCATTTCGGGCTTTAAATGGAAGTATGCTACCCATGGTGAAGCATCCACCTTAGTTGATTCTGGGTATCATGAACCATAAACCCACTGGGTATCTTTGGGTATCCCTCAGTCTAACCTAACTCACAGAGTTGTGGGGATAAAATAGAGGAAGGAGAGTATGTCAGCCACTTTGGATTTCTTTCAGGAAAAATGTGGGATATAAACTTAATAAATAAGCAAAAAACCTGCTGGCAATTTTTAAAAAGTATTGTAATTTTGCAGATAGAAAGGAAGCAGTTGTATATACATTAATGAATTGTGTATCCATTAACAGAGTTGATGCTTATGTTCTGAATTGGGCGTTTAGTTGTTCATTGTAATGCTTTTATTGCTAAATAAGTCTTCATATTGTTGTCTTTTGATATTCTGTGTGGTCATATTTTATTTGTTCTGTATGATGGTACAGTACTGTTGGCTGCTGTGGGCTTCCTTTTGGAGGGATAAGTGGGATATAAACCAACAGGGATGATTGTAGGATTTCCTGCCTTAAGTGCCAAATAAAGTGACCATGCCCACCAACTATGCCACTCAACAGGAGCCGTTTGATGTTTAATGGGCAAGGAAGGCTGATCTGTAGACTTTGGGCTGCATGACAGAAATTTGTCTGGTGAAGGAGGACTTTACCTTCATGGTATCATCATGGCAAAGACAATTTTTACCAACTGAATTCCTATTTGGGACTTAAAGCTGTTAAAAAGCAAAACACAAAAAACAGACAAAAAATAGCCAGCAGCCTTGAAACACAATTTACTATTGGCACTGCTCTTGTATTTATATCCCAACTTTTGTTCTTGCAAGCAACCTGAAGTGGGTTATATCATCCTCATCATCTTCATTTCATCCTCACAACAACCCTATGAGGTACGTTAGACCGAGTCAAGCTTTATGGCGTGAGTAGGGGAATAAAACCAGGGTCTCCCGAGCCCTAGACCAATGGTATAGCCACTGTCATACTCTATTCAGGGTATGAGGCCAGAATAATTTTGCAGTGCCCAAAGCATCACAGACCCTTCTCTTCCTGTCACTGGTATGACCATAACTGAGTGACAGCCATATCTATGTATGTCTGGGACATATCTGCTCTTTTAACTGACCCAGGGTTTTTCTGAAATTGTTTTAGTTTTTAACTGCTTTAAGTTCTATAATGGGATCGTATGATGCTATTGTATACCAATTATTTTGCCTTTTATTATCTATTTTATTATTGAACATGTTATGGATTGTTGTGAACCACTCAGAAAGCTTTTGCTGTTGGGCAGTACAGAAATTAATAATTCAATAATAATAATAATAATAATAATAATAATAATAATTTACATTTCTGTACTGCCCATAGCCAAAGTTTTCTGGCTGAAGGTCTCATTTACAACAAAGTATAAAAACAATAAAATACAATAGCTAAAACATTAACAAAAAAGAAAAATTAAAATAGCATAAAAACATTAAAAGCAATAAAAAAGAGAATAAAAAGACCAAGCCAAGAATAAAAGGCACCTAGATAATCATGTCAGGCCCCTGAATGACTGCTGAATCTTTAAACAACTCCTCAAAATGGCCCGTCTTAACTTGGGGCCAAAAAGATGCCAAATTTGGTGCCAGGTATACCACAGTAGGGAAGTTGGGGGGATCACCACGGAAACAGCCCTCCCCCTAGTTGCCATCCTCCAAGCTTCTTGAGGGGTTGGCAATAGGAGGAAGGCCCCAAAGGATCAACTGAAAATAGGAGTAATATTGGGTAAAACCCATAGACATCAGCACCACAAGCAAGTAGCTGAAGATTAGCACAAAACTCAATTGCTAGGAAAGATCCTGGGGGCAGAGGAGACTTTCACCCCGTTAAAAATTAGGTGCTGCATACTTGGGGTTGGTGTTAAAGCGCAAGCTCTTGGACACCTGCCATACCTAGGGGCCTTTTATCACCATAGCCTGACTCAACTGTTGCCAGGGAAGACGGGAACCTCCCAGGCCTGCAAGCCACCGTCATCAGTCCCATTCACACACCTGCCTTCTAGCTCTAGGTAGTGCAGGAGCAGTGGGAACGGAGAAATAATAAATCAGCTGAGGACATGCTGCCAGCTCACCACTCCAAAAGCCGATAAACAACCTGCTCCTATTAGCAGTACACACACACACACACAGCCAACAGAGGCACACATGTGAAGGAACGCTATGCTCTTAAAAATCCTAGGGCCGAGAGGAGTGATTTCTAACCACACCAGTCAAAGCATATTTACTGGTAAGGAAATTAATTCAAAAGGATGAGCCTTCCTTTCCAGCCTGTGGACAGGCTAGAAAAGGTGGTTTATTCCAGCCTGTCTTAAATCACCCAGAAAGCTTTAATAATAAAACATATGCATATGCCCCCAACACAACTTATATTGCATTTGTACTGAAAATCGTGACTTGCGAGTCCGAAGGGGCCTCCCGGGCCATCTAGTCTGACCCCCGGCTCCAGCCGGCTCCGCTCACGACATGCCCACCATGTGGACGTCCAGCCTATCCTTGAACACCCTCACCGATGGGATAAGTTTGTTAGATTTGAAAAGTCATTTGAAAAGAACGACTTTCCTCAGGACCTCCCAGTGAGCTCTTGGAATTAGACCCCATTCCTAGGCCGGTGAGGTTGGTGGGGACCTCAGATAAGGCCGCGCGGGTGGAGGCGCCCCACTGCTGGGAATTCCCTTCGTTTTCCCCACAGGAATGACTCACCTGCGCCCTCAGCACACCACGAGCATCGCGGAAACAGCCTCCTCGGGACCGACGCGCCCCTCCAGCCGCCTCCGGGACCCCAACACGGAAAGCCTTTCCCCTCCGCCGCTCGCAGCAGGGACTGGCCCGAGGCCTCCTCCAACCGCCACCTGAGCAACTTGTCCGGAAAAGCAGGGGCAGCGCCTCCCTTCCCCCAGGTAAGGTCGCCTCCGACTCGCGCAGCGCCGCCTCAGCCGGTAAGGCGCGAGAGAGCGGCCTGGCGGGCCTCGACCGCCAGCTCAAGCGGAGGCTTCGCGTTGCCCCTGACAACGGCCGGCACCCCCCGCTACGGAAATACCCGAAGCGGTGGCCGAACAGACGCGGCGTCTCCCGAACGGGCCGTTTTACGGAAATTCCCGAACGCTGCCTCGTAGGATCGGGCTGATGCAGAAGAAAGCAAACGGAGGATCACTCTCCGCTGGAATGTACCATTTCTGGTTCTTGGTGGGGAATCTGATTAAAGTTCTGCAGGAGAAGGTTCCTACGTGAAGGAGGTTAGCATTTCAGAGGAGACGGGTTCAGCCTACCTTTCTCTTTGTGTGCAAAGAACAGTGTGGACTTTTCTTATTGTACGTCGTCCTCGTTACTTGGGGTGGTAGTTGTTTGTTCTTTCGTGTTTACAAAGCACCCTGAGAAAATCAACTAAATAAAGAAATGGACCGTAACTCAAGGACAGAGCACATGGGTTGCATATAGAAGGTTCCAGGTTCTATTCCGGGCGCCTGCTAGTAGAACTGGGAAAGTTCAACTGCGGTGAACACAATGCTGAGTTATTACTAAATGCTGGTTTGCAATAAGACGGCTTCCATGTTCCCAACACATCACTCGCTCCCGACTACTGGAGTAATACCGCAGCACCTCCCTCGCAAGCGTTTACCACTTGATTCTGCTGAATCGAAGATAAACGGGTCCTTTAATTTTAGTCCGTCCGCCAACAGCCGCGGATCTGAAAGCTCTTTGCAATGAATTAGTGAAAGCAAGCATTCTGTGGTAAACCACTGAATTACCAAGCACAGAGTGTGAAGCTAATGCTCGCAAGCAATATTTGTGTTAATTTTATGGCAACTTTATTCTGTTAATTATTTTAAGCAGAGTGTTACGCAAACAGCAAATAATCTTAGAAAACCTTTGAGACTAAGGGTGCAATCCGATGCACGTTTATACAACGTGGCTGCCTGGGGCATGACGGGAGTTGTATTAGAATGGAATCCTATCCACGTTTAGACATTTATTATTGCACAAGCTTTTCTAGAGTCGAATCCACATGATATTAGACGGATGCACAACAAATTTGTTAGGATCGTGCTGTAAAAGCTATTCCGGTCTATTCATAAAGAAATCCCACGGCGACCAATAGTGCTTTCTCCCAGGAAAGCAGGATTGCAGCCTTAAAAGCGCCACAACTAGGAACAACACTTCGTGCATCTGAAGGGGGAATCTCTCGTTCACACTAAATAAATAAGATAAATAAATAAATAAAATATAAGTGGCGGACCTATGCAAGTTTAGATAGAAAAAGTGTAGGAGTTTTTTCTGCAGAAATATGCATAGGATTGGACCTTTAATCTTTTAGTAACTGCAATTGAAAAGCGGTTACTTCGGAGCAGTCATGTAGACAAAGGACTGTCCTGTAACAGATTACAAGTTGTGCAACTCCAGTGCTGATTGGGGCATGTTGGGAGTTATAGGACTTTTCTTCCTTCTAAATATGCATAAGATAGTACCGTTAATCTTTAAAAAGCCACAAGTCCCTTTTTGCAGACACCGTTGCAACAGATTCCCCAGCGGCATTCCTTCTAGCCTCCAACGCCATCTCCACTTGCCAATCAAAGAAGGAACCTGCCAATGAAAATCTGGGAAGAGCCCCACCAGCTCCTCCTCCAAACGTCATCACTCGTCTCAAGCCAATGAGGAATTACCTCGAACACTTCGACCCCTCTCCCGCCCTCTAACACGTTTTGCTTCCTCCTCCTTCGACTATAGGCTCTTAGCTCCGCCCCCGTCGTTGGTTCCATTCACGCCCAGTGTCATCTGCCGCGCAGCACCTTGATTGGTCACCTTTGCCTCCGCAGCCTACACGCTCGCTTTGGCTGGCCAATGAAGCGGTTTGTTTGGGGTCCGTAGAAGGCGTGGCTCGTCCGCGCGCCCAGCGTGGTCCGTTGATTTCGCTCCGTCGCCTCGTCCCCGACCCTTTCCTTCCCGCCCCTTCGCTGAGCACGGAGACGAGGCGGAAGCGGAAGAAGCCCTTATCAGTCTTTCGCGTCCGAGGAAAGCAAAAACGGAAGGAGTGACAGTCCAAGCGGCGGGGAAAACTTCTTTTGGGTGGTGTTGGAAGAATTGGAACGATTTGGGGGCTGCTGGAATCTGGTACCGGCGCTGCAACGGTGCCTCCATGCATCAGGTAGGATTTGGGCCTAAGTGATCTCCCCTAAGTGAAGCAAAGGATCTCCCCTCGCCACCATTTTCCAGGATGTACAGATGCCCGGAAGACCGTGAAGTGCAACGCTCGGCACTCTAACTGAGGAATAAAATGTCCTGAGATTAGTGAAGGCATCGGGGAAGCGGATCTTAGAAAGAAATGTTTAGATCTTGCATTTAAAAGGATTAGAGAGCGGGAGAAAAGTTGGCGGAATAGCTTAGTGGAGAAGTTATGTTGGGGGGAATCAGTTAGAATATAATTATTGTGCGGTCGCATTTTGGTAGGAATAACGTGAAACTGGAACATTGCCGTTTAGGGAAATAATTGGGATGAAATGCAAGAAAGTGAGAGGGCGTGCTATTTCGGATAAAGTCAGCTCTGCCATGACGCCTTTGCGGAGGGAGGATGGTGCACCAACTTCTGTTCGATTCAGGAATATTGAAACTGACATTCGGTCCTTTTCAGTTTCCTATTTCTGATGCTGAATCTTTAATCAATCATTTGCAGTTGCACTGAATCTTGCAAACTTGTGGTAGTCTGGCAACATCACGGAATAATGTTAAATAAAAATGAAAGATTTTCCAATGTCTGATGATCGTTGCCCATTTGGCTGGACACCTGCCTTATTTATATTGACTAATCTCATATGTGGATAATGATTATACTACTGTATGTTTTTTAATTTTTCAGGAAGAGATGGTGGTTGTTTTTACAAACCCAATAAAAGATCGACATGTCGTTATCACATGCAATCAAACATTTGGTTCCTTCTGATGTTTTCTAGAAGATAAATTTAACTAAAATCACAGGGCTAGCTTCTGTATAAACCTGTTTAATAGAGGTGGAAATAAGGAAGGAGCGATCTGTACTTGGCAAGGTCCCCTTATCTAGCAAAACCATTATGGAAAGATACCTGGAACCTGAAGTGTGGTGACCATTTTGAACTGTGCTGAACCTTTAACCAGAGATTTGAGATAGTTGTTGCTGATGGTTATCTTTTTGATGATGGCTGAATTTTGGTTAGTGTTACGAGAAAGAAATGGTATTTCATATAGACTAGCTTGATCCCATGCCTGTTTATGCAAAAGTAAGTCTCACTGATTTCAAAATGACTTTTAAATAAACGTCTACAGGGTTATGCACTAGTGTGGCACCAAAAGGTGACTTACTTGGAAGTTTTTAAAATCTTTGCCATGCTTTCAAATATTTTGCCATGTGTACAAAAGCCCCCCGCAAAAGCTTTTAATTGTCAGAAGCCCTCTCTATATAACTTTGCACGTGCATTATTTGTGATATGTTTGTGTTTACAAGTGAGAGCAGAAGATACTTTAAGTATTGAATATTTTGTCCCAAGAGATATAACAACAAGGATTTCAGTAGCATCAGGATTCACTACATTGATTTGCATGCTGTTTGCAGCTCTGACACTTTGTTATTTAGGGGATGGCTTGCTGGGGTGGATGGTTTGGTTGGGAGTTCTTTTGAACCTGAGGAGTGAGTGAAAAGTAATTCCAAATGCTAAAAGTTGGTGGTGTACCATTCCCTCCCCCCCAAAAAAAGTAATTGCCTTTGGGAATTCTAAATATGCTCTTTAGCATTAAAAAAAAAATCAAATCAGGGCAAACCCAGGAATAACACTCCCATTTTATTTCAAATGCGAAATAGAACCAAATGTTGATAAGAGCAAGTGGTGCGGATGTGGAATTCGGGAGTCTGGGACAAAAGAGTAAAAGGATTCTGTTGTTTGTTCCGCTGGAAAGCCCTGCCGTAGCGGTGGGGAGAAAGCAGCAGTTTTTCGAGGGAATCGGAAAGGTGCTTAGCAATTTGGGGGTGGGCGGGTGGGTGGGGGAGTTGGAAATCTTTGTAGCCTTGGCCAGTCCCAGTCCTAGAGAGCGAGCGAGAGAGAGAGAGAGAGACACTCGCTTGCAGAGAGCGAGTGAGAGAGAGAGAGAGAGAGAGAGAGAGGAGGAGAAGCTGCCGCTTGCTTGCTGCATCTAGGAATATGAATTCCCCCCCCTCAGTAGGTCGGACCGCCTCGGCTCCATGGTGAGGAGAAAGAAGAGCCCCCCTGGCCCAGAGGACCCACACAATGGGTAGGATGGGGCGGGGGAGAGTCACTTTTAGGGGCCTCCGCTCGCTCGCTCTGCTGGCTTCTCCCCGCGAGGGTGGTTTTCTTCTGCTGCTCGTCGTCGTCGTCCTCCTCCTCCTCGCCTCTCCGCGGCTGTCGAGCGCTTTCCAAACGCCCGACTTTTGCCTCGGCGTTTTCCGGCCAGGGGCGCCCCGAATCCTCCCGCAGAAGGGGCCAGCGGCCGCCCGGCGGGGCCGGCTATCCTTTGGAGGGGTTTCTGGCCCGCTGCGCCCTTCTGCTTCCTTCGGCACAGGTTGCTGGGTCGGGACAAGCCGACGAAAGGGGATTTAGTAACAAACAACGGCGGCCATGTTGAGGCGAATTTCTGCAGCTAAACTTCTCCCCTCGGAAGGCAGGCTGTGTGGGGGGCGGCTTTTCCGTGCTTCGTGGCGGGGGTCCCTGAGCTGACTTTGTGCACCCCTCCCTCCCCACTTTGTCTGCTGCTTTCTTCTCCCCACCGCTCTTTCTACCAACCCTCCTCTTCCTCCTCGCAGGATGACAGTGAAGCTGGGCGACAGCAGCGGCACCAGCACCACCGCCCCGGAGGAAGGCTTGAGGAAGCTGGGCAAGCGAGCGGGTGAAGAGGAGCCCCTGGAAGAAGGGCCAGGCGACGGGGGACGAGTGCCAGTGCCGGGCGGCAGCACAAAGAAAGACCAGGCGATCATCCAGAGCAGCGACCCAGACGGGGGCCCCTCCTCGGCCTCCTCGGCTTTACCCCCGGCCCCCTCCTCGGTCCAGCCGGCCCACAGTCACGACCAGCATCATTTCCTTAGGTCCAGTGTCCGACCTCAGAGCAAGAGGCTAAGGAAGGATTCCCAGGCATCCTGTGCAGTCGGAGGAGGCAGCAGCAATGCTGCTGCTGCCGCCGCCGCCGCTGCTGCAAAAGGCAAAGGTACAGTATTGGTCATTTTGGCCGCTGGCCCATGCATGGACCCACACACACAGAAGGGGGTATGATCTGTGGGCCGAGGGATGCTCTCTAAGGCCCTGAGGGTTTTGTCCCTGTAAGTGTTGCTCTCTTTTTCGTCTTGTTCTTCCACCAGCCCCTCCTTTGCATTCAAAGGTTTATATTGCTTATCTCTTGTATGCGTGGTCTGCATGTGTGCATGCTAAATGAGAGCATTTTTATGGTTGGTGGTTATTATTAAAGGTGATCTTTAACTTCCTAAATGCAAGCTACTTTAAAGGCCTCAGTTAATCTTTTTGGTTTGGGCTAACAAATTGGAACTGAACAGGAGGTGTACGCACCTGACTTGTTGGCATAAAACATTCCTTGGTGTATTAATGTTGTTGTTATCCAACAATGGCTCTTGTTGAAACATTATTTGGGATGCTAATCATAATAAAAGATTGGCTGTTGATTAGGGCAGGTTGGAAGTGCCAACTGTGTAAGTATTTTGAACATTCTGCCTTGTGCTGTCGTGAACTGTTGGAAGTATCTTGAACCTTTCTGAGCTAGAATTAAGTTTTTACTTATATAGTAAAATTTTGGTTATTCTTTTAGAGTATGGATTGTTAAACAAATTCTTGTCCTTGAGTGTTTACAATAATTACTCATTGGCATATGACCTCCATGCTGAGCTCGTTAGGAGGCATTTCTAGATAATCCCCAGTATCAGTATTTGACTAGGCTATCGTTCTATAGTACTTCTGCTTATTGATTGTATCCCAGCATATATTTCATCAGTTACTTGCCTTTACAAGCAAACAGAAATGTATAAGACTTTTTAAAAAACGCTCATCACTGGGCCACTTTCTCCATTAAAAATATTCCCCCTTAATTCTTCCAATAAAGACCCTGAAGGATATATTTGTGATGAATAATGATAATACTACTGTGTAGCAGTGTAGCCGGCCAAAGCCAACCACCACCCATGCTGAAAGAGTTTTTGTCAATGAGAATTACAGAATCAAGATGCCTAAAAGTATTAAAAATCATCAATGACGTTGATGGGAAACCTGGTGTCAAATCAGATTTTCAGACTCTAGAGGATCAATCCCTGTGTTACCTCATTACATGATAACTTCTAATCTAGTTTACTAGAAATGTTGTACAGGTTAGTGCAGGCAAGATCTTAGATCCACCACCCTTAGTGAAGTGTAGATCATTAAAAAACCCATATATGTTGACTGGGACAACTCAGTAAGTGGTGCTGGAGGGACATTGGGTCAGCTACAGAATACAATTTTAGTGATTTGGTATATTTCACTATTTGTGCTGTTTTTTAAGCACATGTGTCCACATATTATAACTCCCATCACCTCAGTGAAATCTGGCTTCAGTCTGGCAGGCACTATGACTAGTTGCATCTCATAAGCTTATTCCCACCTGTGTTAAAAGAAACACCCAGTTTCCTGAGAACTAGATCTGCATTGGTTGCTTTGCTTTGAATTGAGACATATGATTTTTATTTGCGTGTTTTGATCTAATTGGTAAATGTATTTAATGGTGCAAGGGTTTGTTTAGATGTGAGGAGAGTCCTAAATTTCCCAGCCTGCTTCAGTGAGCATGGCAGGTTGAAAGGATGCTGGAAGTTGTATGGCTTCCTTTCTGACGAAACAAGGATAGAATTGTGCACTTAAGTGAGAATAAAAAAAACTGGGAGGATTCTACAATGTTTTGAGCTCTAATTTTTAATGATAGCTAGGAATTTAGGAAACTGCCTTATACTAGGCCCGGCTGTTTGTCCTTCTAGTTCAGCATTATCTCCTCTGACTGTGTGTTCCTGCATTCTGGGCAAAAGACTCTCATATCACTGCACATTTGATCCTTCTGGACATGCCAGAGAATGAACCTTGGAACTTCTACATCAAAGCATAAGCTCTGGTCCTTTACATGGATTTTTTAAATTGTATCGGGCACAATTTAACAAACACCTATTGCAGAAGCTATATTAAAAGGCACAGACATTCTATAAAAAGGTATCTGTAGCTGTGTGAATCTGGTAGTTGAAAAATGGATAGGATAGGCATACAGGGAGCTGAAGGCTTCAAATTGTGGAAGAGACACATAGCATTTTCAACTCCTTGCCTCTTCAGCAATGGCAAAAAAAACCTTCAAAATGTCTTCTTAAATATATGAATCTACTCATCAATTAAACTATGTTTATTATGATTTTAAATTGTTAACAGAGGAGCACACATTGGCCAATCTTTAACAACCAGTTCCATTTCAAGTATTAGATATGGCAAAATTGCAAGGTTATCTGTGGCACAGATGCTTTCAAACCAATGTGTCCTATTATTTCAATTTTTATTGTATACCTGACATCACCCCGATTTTTTAAAATTATTGTTGAAAGACACTACAATATACATTGAGATTTTACAATTTGATTAAATTATAGTATGAACTTCTGACAGATAAGAGTACCTTGTGAAAAACTACCAAAGAAATTTTATGTTGATCAGCTTGTCAATTCAGAACTGACCTTTTTCTTTCCCCAAAAGGTGTCCATTACTTACTTATTAACCTGTTATGATTTCTGATTTCCAACTTTTGCTTTGTTTGTGGTGTAGCTCACAGAATCATGCATGTTGTAGGCAAAATAGAACTGGATGGTATTTACCAGAATTCTTCAGAATCCTTGCTTTGCGCTTGTGTTTTGGTAGGAACACTCTTGTGTTGCATTAGCACCACAGAAGAATTGTTTGGGGAAAATCATCTCACGTGGTTCTTTAGGGAATGCTCCTTTCAAAACTCATGGAAATGCCTTTTGGGAATGTTCAAGAGAGGTATCAGGAGAGAAATTAACAACATGCTTGTTAACCCTACTATTTAATTTTAGATTGTTGCTAGTTATAGCCCATTGACTTGAGCTAGCTTCTGTCTTTGTACTGAACAACCGTGCAGTGATGTGCTTTTGTGATTTTACAGCTCAGTTCAGGCAACTTGCCTCATACTCAGGGTTTAAACATCCAAAATATCACCACTGTTCTGGTTTGGCAGCTCCTTCTTTGTATTTTCTTTAAGATTTTAGTGTGGGAATATTCTCTTTCAGTGGCTAAATATTTTATACACTTCACATATTCCCCCAGAGAAGCAGTGAAGCGGGTCAGACTGCACAATTACCCACAGTCATAGATTGTGTGTAAGTTGTTGTTGGACTATCGGTTGCTGTTGAAGTATAGTTGTGCTTTCTAAGTCCACTGTGCTAAAAAAACAAGGGCTTATTAACTATAAACAACACATGAAGAGAACCCATGCTTTGTTGGGTTGTAAACTGTCGATTGTTCATGTTGGTTAGTACAGCTGGGCTCAGACAATGCAACAGCCCACATTTCGATACCAATCCACAGTTCCTTGACAACACACACAAACCTTGTTGTGTTTTCTGAACGCAGCCAACGGGTAGGCTTGCACATCGCATTAGACCACCCTGTTTTGCTTTTGCCGTCTCCAGTTGGAAAGTTTTCCGTTCTTCCCCATACCTGCCCGCCTTTGTTTCTGATAACCGCTACCATTTCGGTGCCATGTGCATTTAGTGCCCTGCTGTCTTCATCTGCCTGAGTTGTTTCATTTGTTGAGGCTTTCTCTTCCCCACACTCCCTCTCTGATACAGTTTTCACTCCACACCAGCCCCTTGCTTTCTGATTCCTTGGCAGCAGTTACCCCTGTACTTCAGAGGACCTGCTTTCTTACCCTCCTCCAGCTTCAGATACAGAAGTTTAACACACAAAGGCTTACTCCACACACCCCCATCCTGCAGTCCAACTTCTTGAGCAGCATTTCTGTTGAAGCCTCCTTTTTCTGCTGCGTAACACCTGTAACTGTACCAACCCTCTTTTGCTCAAGAAGACCCAATACGTAACAACACCAAGGAAGATCTGTATTGAAAAGCAGTAGCTGTTGGTAGCATCTGTTGCCACTGTAAGAAATGAAATGAAGATGCCATGGGATGAATGAATGAATGGGGAGACTCATTTGGCCACCTTGGTAACTTGGAGTTGTCCTTAACAAGTATGTGTCTCCTTGACTTAAATGTTCTGTAGGGTGCAGCAAACAATACAAGGTCCAGAAGCGTGCAGAAGGAGTTTCACTGTGTCTTGGGTGTGTAGTACAGCCATGGTTGTACTTAAATTTCTGTCTGGCTGTTCAGTTTGACTGAAAGACAAAGTTGAAGAGCAAAGACCTAGTTTCTTGGAATGAGGGGGCATGCATGGAGATAATTTACTATATTATGGCAACCAGTGAAGAATTCGCCTGTGGCTAGCTTGTTTGCCGAAGTTCCAGAAGATAGCTGGGTCACAGTTTCTCCCTGAAAGGCCTGTGCAAACATCCATAAATCATTATTTAGAGCCCATAGGTGCTTGGAGGACCATGATAGGAAAGCATTAATGGCTGTAGACCTTCTCATGCCATCTTAGAAAAGCTAAAATGTGCATGGGCAAGGAAGTCAGGTCCCCCACTGCCTGAGAAATTCCAGTTCACAGAGCAACTATACAACAGAAACATAGAAACAGAGCGAGTTAGAAAGGGCCTCCTGGGCCATCTAGTCTGAACTCCGGCACCAGCCGGCTCCGCTCACGACTTGCCCACCATGTGGACGTCCAGCCTGTCCTTGAACACCCGCACCGATGGGGCCTCAGCCACCTCCCGTGGAAGCCCATTCCACACCCTCGGGGTCCTGACTGTCAGGAAGTGCTTCCTGGCATCCAGATTGAATCTTGGTTCCTTGAGCTTGGCTCCGTTGGAGTGCGTCCTGCCTTCCTCTGCAGGGGAGAACAGGTCTCTACCCATCTCCGTGGGACACCCCCTCACATACCTGTATGTCACCAACATATCCAACATTCTGAACAATCTTCCTCTCATCCCCCACCTATATGAGCTTGTTCAGAATGTACACTGTGTCTCTGAAGATTTTATATGCAGGTTGAAACCGCGTTTGTACAAGGTCAGCTGGAATCTGTTTTTACTGATACAGATTGCTGCATTACTGTGTCTGAATGGTGGATGGTAGGCCCAATTTCCTGTGCCATGATTTCATATGTGGCCAAGGACATGGAAAAATTGCCCTGGAAACCAGCATTGTTCCAAGTGTCCATATCCATTGATGTCCACATGGTTTTGGTGTGTGCAAGCAACTTGCATCAGATGGCACATTTGTCTTCAGTGAGTTCTTCCATCACAGGAGCAGCAAATCTTGTGTCATGGCCCACTTCCACAGAGGCAGGCATTTTCATATACTGCAGATCATTGTGCCTTCCCATACTAGCCTAAAAAAGCTTATATAAACCTGCTTTACCCCTTCACCACTTGCAATGTAAAGGTGCAGCAGAGCCATTAGGAAATACAGTCAGGTGTCATACAGAATCACTCTGGTCATCATGGTCATCGCTAAGAGCTTTTAGAACAGTGTCAGTCATAGCAGAAATGAGCGCTTTTTCTTCTATGACTCCCTTCAGATTAAAGGACAATGGTAGATGCAGCCACTGATTCAGCTGCTGAGAAAAGGAGAACTGAAGAAAAGGGGGTTGTTGAAGCAGAGTCAAAGACATGGGAAATCAGGACTTAATACTGAGTTGGCTACTTTGGGCCCTGTCAGGTGGGCTGGGGGTGCTAATATAATTAGTATAGTAAATCGAACAGCAAGGAATGTGGGGTGGTCTGGTGCAACCTGCAAACCACAGTCTCTGGCCTACGTAGCTTATAAGCTGCAGTAAACAGGTCTTGGTTGATAAACCAAGTTGGGCATTTGTTCTGCTACAAGTACCTGCGGAGGTTTAGCTGCCAGTTCTCAACAAGTCAGACTACCACTTCATCAAGAATGCAGTTATTGGGCATTGAACAAAGAGGTAGGCACAGGCAGGGAGATTGAAGGAATAGAAATGAATGTTTCTGACCACATGAGTAGTGATCCTGGTTCTTGTCCCCCTGTGCACACGCAGAACACAGCATTCCAGTCATACCACAATAGGTGTTAACACACCTTGGAGCCTAAGGCATTGGCAGGTAATCCTGAACTTGAAAGAAGTCACTATGTTTCCGCAGCACTACAGACATTCATGGCTCCAGAAATGGAAGTGAACCATCACAAGAACCCATTTGGTGATCTGCATGCTGATAGAATGCCTAGGGCACAATGGTGTAGCATTTTGCAGCCTTCAACTGCCCTTGAAAGCACAGCTGGTAAAACAACTGTTAATTTTTATCAAAATACAGATTGAAGGGGGAAAGGCGAATGTTACGTCCTTGGGGAAAGAAGTGTGATAGGCTTAAGAGAGTTTCTGAGCTTTGCATGTTTTGTATTATGATTTTCCTCTTCCGTCTAAACCTCAGCTGAAGATTCTGTTTGGCCATGAGTACTCCACAAATATTGCTCTGATGCTGGGCATCCTTCTGCCAGCTCTTCCAGTGGGGCAGCTGCTTTCTCTGTGCTACAGGGTCAGGGCAACCAGTGGATCCAGTGTAGAGCTCATTGGAAAGTCAAGTGGGCCAGGGCCCTATTCACATGGAAGAGGAACAGGATTACGGAGGTGAAGAAACAGCTGCACTGGCATTTACAGAGCTTGTGCCTGGTGGCCTTTCACTCCCGCTTGCAAAGCTACAGTCACGTTTCAAAGCCTCTCAGCCGTCACTCATTCCTGCATTGCATGATCAAAGGTGAAGTGCCATGACTTTGCCCACTGATATACTCATACTCTTGCCTGTTGTCTAAGTCAATCGGATAGCCAGAAGATGCTTGCTGACCCTTATGTTCCCGCACATGAATTAATTACTCAATCAGCTTATTTATTTCTTTGAAAAAACATGTCAGTAATGCTAACCAAGCCCCTTGTCAGTCACACCAAGTGGGCTTTATGCTAGTTGGGGATGTGTACCACACCACTGGTTAGTAACAGCTCCTGCTCTATTGGTTCTCTCTGGGCTCTTCGGCTACCAGTCTTCATTGTTCTACTGACTCCTCAGACTGCACTTTCTTTAGGTACTGCAGTACTTTCAGCCCTTTCCTCTTCCCTCCTGCCTCTTCTCTGGGAGAGTTAGTAAAGGAGGAGTAGCTGGGCTCTGTAAAGAGGTATACCAAGTTGAGGACTGTAGGCAGTCAGGAAGAAGTGCCCCCTTCAAGACTGTTTCCCAGCTCTTCAGTAGTTCTCTGGGACTGAGTGAATGCATCATAAGCACTGTGAAAATGGCAGTTTTTATCTGTAAAAGGTATCACACTCATTTCCTTTTGAGTGCGCAGATTTTTGGTCTCCATCTTAACAGTTTATGGAGTGGAATTACTCCGTAATTCTGAACAAGCAGTGACGTGAAGCAATCTATCTTGGATGGTACCACTGCAAATGTTCACCAAGATGCTTGCTAACTGTTTAGCACCAAGAGCGCTGGAAGATGGAAAGCTGTATCCATTTATTGCAAGACTTTAATATTTGTTTAACTGTTTTGGACACCAAACAGTAGGCCTATCTTATCTTAACAGTTGTGAGTGGGCCAGTCAGCTGCAGTGATTCAAGAGATTCTTCATACCCTATGGCCTCCATGTGGAGGCTGTCAAAAATATGTGGGTGGCAAGCTCTTCCAAGCTGCTGGAACACTTGGGAACATGGATCAACCTACATGTATGACCCTCCCTCCCAGCTCGACATGACATTGGCATCATGGGTGTGGAGAACCTTCATGCACTTAAGTATTGGGCACCCGAAAATAAGATCGCTAGCAGAAGTGGGCAGGTTTCTTTCCAAGGGTCACAGACCCATTTGACACCAAATCTTGTTCATTTTGCACACTTGGGCAATGTCAAAAGGCAGTATTTTGTAATTTTGCAGCCATTCTGTCATTCAAAAGTTTTACATGTGAAACTTGTTAGCATGTTTCTCTCTAGATTCTGTCTCTGCTTTAAGGAATTGAGTATTTTCAAGGGCTGTGAAGTGGTACAATGGAAACAAACCATCTATTTCAAATAGAGAATTCAAAGTGGTAGAAATAATTGTGTATTATAATCAAATCAAGATTAAAAAGCAGTTCTTTGAGATAGAACTGGTAGTTTAAAATGTGGCATCAGCTGAGAATAGTTTTAACCTGACGCCCAGTTTCATTTCAGCCTGACGTTCTGTTTTGTTTTCCCATCTCATGAACCACATATCAATTTTCCGGAACTAATTTGTAATATCATTTGGAATCCCCCTTCTTTAGCTGTTGGTGATAGAAAATTCAGGAACTCAAGCACTGTACTTAGTGGGTAAATGACTATCCTGCTTTCTAAACATCAGATCCTCAAGGAAGTTTGAGAAGCATTTATATTGCTAAGGTTTTTGAGTACCTCCTGTGAACAAAACTTGGCTATGAATAGAGAATTTCGTATTGGAAAATATGTAGTGGTGGTCTTGTTTCCTAAAGGTGCAGATAATGGTGGAGCCTCCTCTGTCACTTCATCAGGAATCCCTCCCAGCACCCCAGCTGGCAGTTCAAAAACTGCTACAAGAAACCTGGGCTCCTCAGCTGGAGAAAAGGAAGAAGGCAAGAAAGTTAGACGTCAGTGGGAATCATGGAGCACAGAGGACAAGAATACCTTCTTTGAGGGCCTGTATGAGGTGGGTGTGTCCAGCAGCTTTCAATCTCCATATACTCCTGTGTTCCAGAGATGGGTACTTGCTATATTTTCGGCTTAAGGTGTCTAATTCTGTTAGATAGTTGAATATTATAAGTAGTAAACAAATGCACTTGATTTGTTTTTTAGCTAAATTATTTGCAACGTACACGTTTAACTCTCTGCTCCTGCCCCAACTCCTTCAAGTATATTGTGCAGCAGATGGACTGTAATTCACAAGTGGTTGTTTTAGGGTTATTTGCGGTGTGCTGCCTTGTACCTCCAGAGATCTCTACTAGAGCCTAATCTGCCTAATCCTGCATATTGGGGGTGGCATTCATTAGGACCGGAGTGGGAAGCAGCGGGGCAGGGGGCGGAAATGGTTGGGCAGTGGTGGCAGTTCTAGCACTACAGGACTCTGAAATGGCCAAACGTCACTACTTTAGGCCCTTGCACTGCCCTGTAGCTGATACAGGTCTAGATTTAGCATGCAAACAAGCTAAATTTAACCCTTGCAAACCTCCAGTTTTTAGGGGTTCTTAAAAATTCTGGGCACAGGGATACTGCAAGGAGGAGGTGGCCCGAGGCTCAAAAATGTACCCTGGACCTTCTGTAGCTGCCTACCCCTGCATTTTGGTGTGAGTCTTGGAGATTTTGCATACATACTCACTTTTTATAGCCCCTGCCGAATTCATAGTACCTTAACAGTGATTTGTAGTAAGCCAGACCCTCTAGCCTTCAATACCTTCTGGGAAAAGGTTTTGCCCAAGTGTATGAACGGCCAAGCCCTCTAGAAGAAGGCTTCCTGCTGCTCACTCCTCATATCTCTGATCCAGTGTTCTTTTTCAGTTTGTGTGGTACATTTGCTTTTTCAGCATGGGAAGGACTTTGAAGCAATTCAAAACAACATTGCCCTGAAGTATAAGAAGAAAAGCAAGCCAGCAAGCATGGTGAAGAACAAGGAGCAGGTTCGGCATTTCTACTATCGCACCTGGCACAAGATTTCCAAGTACATTGACTTTGATAATGGTGAGCATACTATGGCTGGTGTAACTAGGCTGCAGCATAATATCCACTGACATACAGCCTGTGGAATTGAAAAAGGAATCATCTCAAGGCATGTCCTGGAGCATGGTCCTCATGCTGAAGTTAAGCAGTGCTTGCTGGGGAGACCGTCTGGAAATCCATTTTCCGAGATAGAAGAAAGGCAGGCTATAAATGTAATAACAACATTAAAGTGTTTGCATGGGGGGGGGGGGTTCTGCACTGAGTCACTGTGCCTGAGGATTGTGAGACGTGTGGCACCTTCGTGTAGCCACACTGAGCAACATGTGGCGGACGAGGATGCATAGCAGTGCCACGCAGCATAGTACTCTGTTTCCTTGAGTTTTGCTTGCCACATTGCCAGTCTGACACTTCAGTGAAGAACTGGCAATCGGGAATCAGGCATACCCTAACCCCACATGCCCTCCAGATGTTTTGGACTGCAGCTGCCACGATTCCTGACCATTGGCCGCACTGGCTGAAACTGATGGGAGTTGTCCATCTGAAAGTATCGGATTGGAGATGGCTGCCTTAAACTAAGTAGGCCAATGTACAGTTAGATAATTCTTAGTGTAATGTTTAAATGGTTGTATACTGCCCTGGCATCCTTTCAGTAATGTGCAGTGAAGTATTTTAACGAAAATAAATAATCGATATTGCCCTATTCTCTATGTAGATATAAAAAACAAAACCTTCAGTTAGCAGAAGCATCATTAAAACGAATTGTTCTGAAATGCAATAGCAGAGAAGGGTTGGCAGACCTGAACTGGGGAATGTCTTCCGAAAGCCTTGACCTAAGTTCATTCATAGATTGATCCTTAAGTTGCTTCACAGGGCCTGGAATATAGAGACTTGGCCTCTAAATACTGAATCCATCCTTGAACACAAACCATGAGGTCCAAGGAGCACAGGGGCGCAGGAGAGTTCTGTGTGAGAAAATCAGTATTTGCATCAAGAATATTTTGGAAGCATTCTCTCCTGTGACTTCCAGTGTAAAACAGGGTACTGGAAATATATTGGCTTTTCAGATTACAGCATATGTTTTATTAACTGCAGGAAGATCTTGTGTCTTGCCAATTACATTTAAATCAGAGTTGATATTTATTTCATGTTTTCCAAGAATTATTAAATAAGGGTGTGTTCTGCATTTACTGGCTTAATCATACTGTATGGGAATACTGTTTCTCTTTTCCCTTAACACCTGTGGTTTTCTTTCTTTTCTTTGCAGTGTTTTCTCAAGGGCTGAAAAAATCCTCCCTGGAGCTGTATGGCTTAATTTGTTATGGGGAACTAAGAAAGAAGATTGGGGGCTGTAAGTATACAGTATTTCAGTGCCATGAAATCAAAACTGCTGGACTTTCTCTGTGTTGTTACAGAAAACCACTTTTACATTCTCACAAGATGTTTCCAGTGCCCCTTTATTTTGCAGTACAGCTTTCTTCAAGTAGCTTTCTATAGGTGAGGGTTTTGGAGGGGGGGTTGGTCGCTCGCTCGCTCGCTCTGTGTGTGTGTGTGCGTTTTGCTTCATATGAGAGAAATTTTCAAATGTAATCTGTAGTTTATTCTTTCATGCAGAGCATGATACAATCAAATAGAAAATAAGCAAGGAAGCATCTGTTATTTTGTGGGTGTAATTCACATACAGTGAGAAATCTACTTGTACTTCATAAATGTCATGTATATACGATATGTCCACTCTGCAAAATAAGAAACTGGGTATTTGTCTTCAGATTTAGTTTATAAAAAATAAAATGTACTCCACCTATCTAATTTTTTAACTCTGTCAACACCAGACTTTTGTTTGTCTGGTCTGAACGAATGCCTTTCATTTGATTTGATTTTTTCTTCTTCTCTGCATTCTAGCCACAATTAGCTGTCATGTTGTGACAGCCAAAGTCACTTCTTGTTAATGGCAGGTTCATATGAATGTCCATTTGAGAAAATTCTCTGTGCATGGAAGGAAGATTACTACATTATTTCATGCAATGTTTTATTGTACGTTCTGTGACATATCACAGCAGGATATTTATATTTGCACACTGGACACTTTCCTTGATCTAGCTGTCAATTTTTATTTCATTGCATTGATAACAACCTTTCTTCCAGGAAGCTCACACTGGCATATGCTTTTTTGTTCCAGTGTGCCTTTTTATCCTTTCAGCAATTTTGTCAGGTAGGTTAGGCTGAGACATAGTGACAATGTTTATACTGAGTTGGAATTGAACCTGGGTCTTTCAGATTTTAGTCTGAGCCACAGTACCAGCTAACTGTTGCCCTACATCCTCTTGTGGATTCAGTCGCAGAAAGACAAAGCTGGGCTGTCCCACCTTTCCATCCAGATTATCCAAAGGATTTTCACAAGCTCCATGTAGTGGTAAAATATGTGCATTCTCTCCAACAAAATATAGCTTCTCTCTGGCATACACACATAGTTTTAGGCAAATTTACTTAGGGACTTTTGAATTCCAATTGCCCTTCTTTTGCTAAACCTACCTTAGCAAAGATTGTGTCTCAGTTGACACAATCAAAACAAACCACTGTGTCTTAATTTGATCCCTGGTGTATACCCAGTACCAGTTTCCTGATTACTGTTACCTAGCTGTTACTTGTCTCATTGTCCAAACCCAGGCAGGATGGCTTACTGTGTGGAAACAATCCTCAAACGACTGATGGTCTCTTGTAGAGTTATTTAAGACTTGTTTCCTCAACAAGCAAGTATGACATCCAGGATTGGTTAATAAGAATACCTGTACCTGGATGGGTAATTATGGAAATGGTGCCAAATATGTTCCAAGGATTAAACAATCCATGATGGTATCTTTTATTTAGTTAGCTATTATATCCGATTTGTAAGCCATCCTGAGATGCCATGCATAAGGGACGGCATATAAATGTTATAAATAAATAAAATATCTCACCGTTTTTCCTTCCAAGAAACTCAAGGCAGCTTACATAATTCTTCTCCCAGTCTTCACAAGAATCCTGTTGAGCTGGGAGTCTGATTAGCCCAAGTCACCCAGTGAGCTCCATGGCTAAGATTGCCTGGATCCCAGTCCTGTACCCTGTGAAGGAACATGAGTGAAACATAACAAGCCAGTATCTTTCTGCATTGCTGGGGAAATAGGAATTCCCTGCCAAATCGCCATGTTGAGTGTACATTTGCAGGCAGACTATCCTGCATCAAGGCATGTGGAGGGCTGTGAGCCTTCCACAATACTGTGCTGCCTTGGTAACAGAGATCCGTATGTGACATTCAAGATCTTTTTGCTAATGCCATAACAGCATATTTACAGTGGGAAATCTTGAGCATTACAATGGAGATAAAGTTCAGTCTTTTAATCTACAAATTGAAATGTGATTTAATGTATTGAGCTGGATTGTCTTACACATGGACCTGACACATTGGAGAGATTGCTGGGTCCATATGGTGGCAGTGCCAGCCCCTTTATCACACGGCCTCCCTTTTATTTCTTTCTTATTTGTGTACATCTCATCCCACCACTGCCTATTAATCATCACACCATCTTTCAAAAACCCTTCCTCCTTCCATCCTTCCTTCCTTCTAGAATGGACATATTTCAGGTATTTATAGGGAGATTAATTCTTTCTTATTTCTTTAGTCAGAGTGTGTCTCAGATGGGGTATTTGAGGACCTGTCTGCTAGGGTAGGCATATCATGCATGTGGTTAATTGGTTTTTATGTGTGCGTTTGCTAGATTAACTTCATAAAATTCTCATTATAGGATGTTAATCAAAATGATCTACTTATAAGAAACTGTAAACATGAGAACATAAGAAGAGCCCTGCTGGATCAGATTAACTTCCATCTAGTCCAAAATTCTGTTCTCGTAGTTGCTGCCCCTGGGATATCCATGAGCTGCACACAAACACAAACAGCACAAGTGCAACCTAAGCAACTAGTATATGCAGGCATCCTGTCCCTGGCACTGTAGGTAACATATAACCATCTGGACTTACTAGTCAATGATCCTTCGTGAAATTGTCCAAGCCCCATTTAAAGCTAACCACATTAAGGTCCATATGCTGGTGGTTTCTTGTCCTGCCAGGTGTTATTTCTAAAATACTGTCTGTTTTGTTTTTCTCTTTTAATTAAAGGCATGGATGACAAAAATGCAGCAAAACTTAATGAGCTTATCCAGGTTGGGTACGTATTTTTCTTTGAACACAAAATAGATCATTGATTGTTGTGCCTTCCAGAGCGCTAAGGAAATGCTTTTATAAAGCAACTAAACAGTGTAATCCATAATTCAAAATAAGTGTGGGGAACGCATGCCCCCTACCGCCCTCTGTGGTTTCTACCACACCGAAGATAAAGAGACATAGAGATTTGCCATCAGAGTATAAACAGCTTTAAAACAAGCTAAATGTGTCTGTCTAAGCCTTTGTAGCAGTTTGCTCCTTTTTTCTTTTCTTTTTTTCTGCCACTAGCTGAAACAGAAATGCAACCCACAGGTGCTCCAGGTCAGCTTCCAGTCCACTTGAAATTGTCCTTCCCTAATTTAGAGCAAAGACTTTGGACTTTGACTGTTGTTTTAAAAAATGCAGGCTTTCACTCCAAGCAGGGAAAGAGGAATAGCTCCTAAGCAATCACATTGTCTCAAGAATGAAACGCCACACTATTGAAGAACAGTATAGAGCTTGCAGGTGCCACATGGCTGGTTCTGTACAACTGCAGTGAGCAAATCGTCCTCACATCCTCAGATGTGATATGAAGGTCACCTTCTATTTCTGCTGCTCACTATATTGCAACATGGTTCTGCATATCCTTCGAGATTGTGCTTTGTACTTATTGCAGCCACTGAGTTAATATACATTGGCCCCTTTTCATCATTTCCAGTTTTTTAATCTCCCTTTTTTCCCTTCCTTCCTTATAAGGCAAGTTAATAGGGCATTCATTAGAGTTTGTGATTGCACCTGGTTTAGCCAGCGGTGTGAGATGTGGAGTCATTTGTTGCAAAATGGGGTCTTCTGAGAGCCCCTCTGTGGATGTTGGCTACTGGTTCACAACATGTTCCAGAATGCTGATTTAATTCAAACATTATGCACAGGCACTTTTAGCCTGCCTGAAATAAATTCCTCTTCATGGTAATAAACTCCGTCAAAGTGCGTATACATAGTTGGCAGAAGGTTCACATAGAACAGGGTTTGGATTGCTTGGGAGCTGTTTAAATCCCTTGAGAAAATGCCATGCACAACCAGAAGTGCAAGCTAAGAATAGTCCTGCTGGGTCTGCCTCAAGATCTAGTGCAGGAGTGGGCCGTGTGTGGCCTCCTTTTGAGCCTTGGTTTACGGCTCCCATCAACCCTCACCGCTGGCTGGATCAGACACGGGTTGTAGACCACACGTTGCCTTCCCCGGTCTGTCTTCTCCAGCATTCTTTTTCGAGGAGTGGCCAGCCAGATTCTTGTGAAAGCCTGCCAGCTGGACACAAAGGCAACAGCCCTCCCCTATTTGGCCCCAGTAAGTGATGTTTTAAGCCTCTGAAACTATGAACACGGAGGTTCCATTTTTCTGTCATGGTTAGGCTGGACTGAATTTGTAAGAGACGGGGAGAACATTGCTGTCACTTTTCTGTGCCATGAATTTACTACCTGCACGGATGGTGGTTTCATGAATCTAGCATGTGGGCTGCTACAGGATCCACACAGCAGATGTCATGTGGGTTTTAGGGCTGCAGCGTGCTGAATCAGAAGAATGCGTGCTTATTGTCAGTGACAATACGGAGAAAATCACTGAGCACCGTGGGCATTGTACCATGGAGTATTTATGTATTTATTTATTTATTTCATTTTAAATATTTAAACCCCGCCCTACATGCAAAAGCGTCTCAGGGCAGCTTACAAAAATCAAAGCAAACAATCCGACAAACTAACAATAATTAAATAAATAGTTGACTATGCACATGAAGCCAATAACATTTCACAAATGAAGGAAAATCGAAACAAAATCAAAAACAGAAGCAGAATCAAAAAGCAACTGTGAATTTAAAACCTGATTAAAATTCCTAACATTTAAAATGGAGGGCAAATAAAAGAATATTTTTACCTGGTGCCGAAAAGAATATCAAGTAGGCTCCAGGTGAACCTCTCTGGGAAGCACATTCCATAGTTGTGGTATCACATACAACAGCAGCCTATATAACGTGGGGATTTGCGTACTTCAGAAAGTTGCTGTGTTGCTTGTGCCTTCAGTTGTCCCACTCTTGTTGACATTTCTAGGGCTACAACTGTCCGCTACAAAGGGAGGAATCTTCGCATCAAAGCACCAATGTGCAGGGCGCTTAAAAAACTCTGTGATCCAGACGGTATGTAAGAGACCTCAGGAGGGAAAGGAGGTTGGGACAAATTTTCAGGAAAGACCCTGAAAATCTCTGGGTCACGTCACATAACCAAAGAGTACGATGAGGTTGTGGCCTAAGGGAAACCAGGCCCAGTTTGGCATGTGCTGAAATAGTCATGTGGTCACTTGAGTTATTAGCTGAATGAGTATCCCTTATTTTTAAGCACTTCGAATTTGCCAGATTGAAAGGTGATGCAAAAATTAAGCAGGCTTTGAGTTTGTTGTGGAACCCTGTTACCTTATTTTTCTTTAGCACTGATCTGTTTGCCTACCCACAGCCTGTGTTCCTTAGCATTCCAGCTTTCATATGTCCTCAGGGACAACATAATTTGTCTGCTTCTTCCACTTTTAAAGCACCTGCATGTAGCCACAGACGCGCGCACAGAATTTGTAGTGTTGCTGGCAGGCAGTCTGCTGTCGTCCCTGCTCTTGTACTGTATGCACTATTCTTAAAATACTCTGCACCAGTACTCTAGTTGGGGATAACTGTTTTGTCCTTGTGTTTACATTTTCTCAGACCATAAGCATTTCTTAAAGTGTTAATCCCCGTAGATGTTTCTCCTCTTTCACTGCTTCCAGCTCAATAATTTTACATCCCCAGCCAAGCAAACTGGCACATTTGCAGTTAGCACAACCATTCCCCCTTGTTCTGCCACCTTGCCATTTTAGTAGGGCTCCTCTGCCTGCCTCTCCTTACACTCTAGAAGGGCATCAGACTCTCTTCTTAGCCCTCAGTTTTTGATGTATACAGTGTATGGTGATGGCCTAGGAAACTTTGAATTTTTACTGGCACCCTCAAGGTTGAATTGTTTGTACCAATAGAAACCACCACCTCAGCCTGCTTGGCTTGTTCTCAGTGCATCAAGGAGAGTTTCAACAACCCAAGATACCACATTCTTGAAACTTAATTTCTCCCCACCTTTAGTTCCATTTATGAAAAAAAATGTGCTGCATTGTTACCACAGCTTTACTTAAGGCATTTTTCTTGCTTTTTCCTCAGGCATTAGTGATGAGGAGGATCAGAAGCCAGTGCGTCTTCCGCTGAAGGTCCCTGTGGAGCTGCAACCACGGAATAATCATGCATGGGCCCGTGTGCAGAGCCTGGCCCAGAATCCACGTCTCAGGTACCCTAGAGCAGGAGACTTAGTATGGATGAGTGGATGTGAATCTGGAACTAAAAGTTGGTTTCTTGATTGCGGATAATACTACAAGGAGTCATCAGTATGATTAAGAGAAGAACTAGGATTGTATGGGACTGTGTGAACTATTCTGGTCTCTGCTAATAGACCATTTCTGATTATTCACTCTCCTTCCAGAAGGGCCAGAATCCAAGTGACCACATGTTCTGAGTCCCTGTGACAGCATCCTCATCTTCATTAATACTAACTGTATATATTTTTTCCTCTCACCAGTGAATTAGAAATTAGAGGGGTTCACTCCCTGATTTTGTGTGCATTTTCATGTGTAACAGAAAAAGATGGAATTACATTTCGTATGCCAGGAGGGCATAACCTGCTGCCTAGGAACTGCCTACTTCCCTCATGGGTTGCCAGCATTGCCTTCCCCTCCACCGCCTGCACTTGCTGCTCCCTCCTCTGGAGAGTCTCATATACTCTATGAGACTATACTCTATATAGTATACTCTATATACTCATATACTCCCACTCTCACATACCGCTGGGGTGTCTGTCTGCGCGTGCGCCAGAGTGCTTAGACGTGGCCCCTGACTTCCAGGCTTCAGGGCTGAGGAGATTATGTGCCCCTGGTTTATTCTATGACTGGTGTAATACAGTATTACTGTGCTACCATTTGCTGACTCCACTACTGTATTCTTTCCTACATGGCTTTCCAGAATGATTGTGGAGCTGCATCGTAAGGTATCTAGCCTCATTGAGTTCCTGAAACAGAAGTGGGCTCTCCATGAAGTGCGTATTGTATCCTTTTTTTCCTTGCTCAGAAGTTTGTCTCCATTCAACGTTTTTCTTGTATGTTCTTGGATAGAATCTTCACGGAACTGGCCCTGAAGTTCTTGAAGCCAGTAGCATTGATTTTATCCTTTTTAGTTATTCATTCATTTATTTAATTGATTTATATGCTGCCCAATTAGCCATAGGCTCACTGAATGACTTACAATCAAAGAATAAAATACCAACCATACAATAAAATAATATCAGTAAAATTTATCCTCCCCACCCCTGTTTAGCACATGTAGTGTGTCAGTCAAATGCCATTTAATAGCTACAGATTTGCTTTCCTTGACTGGGGGCAGTTAGGGGGATTATAAAGAGGCTTTATCTCCTTTTGAAATCATGCTGTAATCCTTAATGTCCCACATTTAGCGTAAAACACTAGCAGAAAGGCAACTACAAGATGCCAGGAATTCTGATGCAAGTGGCAGCTATTCTGAGGAAAAAGTGATGCTTCATCTCTTCCCAGGGGAGAACTGTACACTGACACCTCTGCCTGGCGTTGCCAGGGTTGTCCACTCCAAAGCTTTCTGTACAGTGCATTGGCAGGAATCTGGCAGGTGCAAGCAGAATACGAAGGACTCTCATTTACTGCCACCTGCCCAAATCCTGGGCATACAGAGTGGCCAGGGGACAGCCAGAGGACAGGTGAAATACCCTCGGGGAACAGAAGTCAGGAGTGGGACCCGGGCAGAGAGCACTACAGAAGCAAACAGGAACACTCAGTCCACACTTGATGCAACTGCAAACACTGAGGACTGCTCCCCAGAGGCTGGGCTTGTGGAAGGAGCATTGCCAAGTCTTAGCATTGTGCACAGTCTTGATAAACCCCCTTCTGGGCTTCAGGACCCAGGTGGGAGTCTGGAGAAGCCAACTCTCACAGCCTGTGGTGCTGAGGGGAGGGACGCTCCGGCCATCGCCCCAGCGACTGGGACCTCTTCCAGCAGCGCAAACTGTGACTGTGGCAGCATCCCCCCTGATTTGGAGGAACTCTCCTTGCTTGACCCATTTCCTCGGTACATGAAGTCCTGCCAGGACCTCATTGTCCCAGAGAAGTGTCTCTGTGTAGACAGGCCAAACGGGAAAGCTTTTGCCTTGCCGGAGAGCTCCCCTCCCAGGAAGCTTTTGCCTGGTGGCACAGAGGCGGATCTCCTCAGTCCCACATGGCTGGCAAGAGGTGAAGCATTGCCTGGCTGTGGCCCATCCGGATCTGAAACTCAGGCCCTCCATTGCTGTGGACCACCGACAGAATCCTACACAAAGGAGCTATCTGATTCAGCCATGGAGGACTCTCAGGAGAAGCTCAACACCTCACTGCCGCCACCGCAGCCACCTCAGGGACAGTTGGTCACAAAGTCTCTCAAGGATGACCCAAGCCGCCTTGTGCAGCAGGTCAGAGAGGAGGGATGGAGCCTGCGGACCTCCGAGAGCCTTACTTTGGCTGAAGTCTACCTCATGATGGGCAAGCCGAACAAGTTGCAGCTAGAGTATGACTGGCTGGCTGTCTTGGAGCCGGAAACCCAGGATAGTGGAGAGCAGATGCCTGAATCGAAATCTGTTTCTCCGTCAGCTGCCTGTCACAAGCAGAGACTCCTCAACTGCCTCTTAAAACTCATTTCCACTGAAGTGAACCCCAAACCAGTAAGTATAATTTGGATTCATGTTCAGAGCTATTGCCCTCCAGCTGAATACTATATGTATGTATGTTTAAATCCAGAGAAAAGTCTTTTTATTTTATTTTTAGCCAAATGCTCCTTTTCCATCTTGCCCAACTATCCAGAGCTATTGCAGGCTTCCTCTAATCACTGGGTGTATCTAAATATTGTGCAAGTGTATCTCCTAATCACCAAGTAGGCAGAACAGGGACAGTCAGCCTTCACTACGGACAGCTTGTGTGTGTGCATGGGCGAGTGTATACACTCAGTATCTGGAATCTTCCAGATACTTGGCAGTAAGTGACAAAGCACTTTGGAATGGGGAACTTAGGTCTGGGTGATCATGCACAGCTTCAAGAACTAATCATTTGTGCATGGGTGGTGATTCAACCCCTGGCTAACAGGAAGGGATGAGCACAAAGAGATAAGAGCAGATAGTCCACTTTTTGTAGTTAGGCTGGAAAGAAACAAAACTGCTATTGATGCTTGCAAAGCAAGCAGCTTCTGTATGCTGAAAGCTGACTCTCTAGTCTTGGGCATGTGCAGTGGATTTCTTGCTGCTGCTGCTGCTTTTTGTTTTAGTTTTTTAAAGGAGCTGCTTATCCAGTGGGAACATGATATATATCAAAGTCTCTAGAATTGGACTGAGCATCTTGCAGGCCAAAACATCTGAAGGGCCTTAATTCTTGTCAGGCATTACCAGCATAGTCAGTGATGAGGAGAGCAGCACAAATTGCCCACCTCTGCTGTAGATGAGCACCTGACTGTATGGGAGCGATCCCTAGTCACCAGTGGCAACCAAGGAACCTATCGGTGGCAAGTCTCAAGTTGAATCTGCTGATGAGCTGGCTCCTTCTAATGTCAGTTAACACCACATTTTAATTGTGGATGCCGCAATTGAAGGAGCTGCTTATTTTTGAATCTTTTCCATTCTTTTTATGCTCTGTTTTTGGGTTCATGTGAAAATATTCAGTATCTTTTCTGTAATGTTTGTTCAATATTATGTATCATTATAGAGCTATTGTTGGCCAAGAGTAGTCAGCATTTTGGGGTTGGAAGGCTGTGTTGACTACCCACTAGAACCCTTCAGGGTCTGCAGCCCTCCCTCTCCTGCCAGAAGTTGTTGCTGAAATCCCAGCAGAACTGCTCCCCAAACCCTGATTCTGCAGAAAAGGAAGAGGTGTAAGAGGTGTCATGCCTACGTGCCTTCTCCCTCTGCAGAGATTACTGCAACAGCAATGGCAACGTCAGGGGATGCACAGCTAGTCATGCAGATTGAAAGTACCCATAGGCCTCATGTAGGCTGCCCACTTCTGCTTGTCAAGATGATGCTAAGAAGCATTGCTCCAGTGCTCTGGATGTGAACTTAGCTGCTCAGGATCTCTCATCATTAGCAGGGAGGACACGGAGCTTGGATAATAAAGTGGTCTGTGTCAAAGCACTGTGTGTGCTTCTATTTATTATATTTATACCCTGCCTTTTTCCTTCCAAGGAACTGAAGGCAGCTCACTTAATTCTCCTTCTCATCTCCATCTTATCCTCACAACAACAACCAGGTGAGGTAGGCTGGGCTGAGAGTCTGTGACTGGCCCAGAGTCACCCATGGCTGAGTGGGGACTAGAACCCAAATCTCCCACTCCCACATTCAACCACTACATCATACTGGCTCTCTTTGGAGTAACTACTTGCATGCTTTGCATTACAAAGAACTCTGCATCAACTGCAAGGCAAAAGTATCTGGGTTGCGCCAAGTGTGTATTTCGACTAATGTTTATCTGTTGAAAGCTCCTCTTGGGAGGGGAGAAGAGGAGAGGAGAGGAGGGCAATTACACAAAGCTTTGCATGTGTATATTCCCCAGTTGTCCAGGGCAATCTTTCTTTCTTCCAGCATAAAACTGTTGAGATTCAACCATTTCTCTTCCCTCTCAGACCCCTGAAATGAACTCTGTTGCAACATCCCCTATAAAGCCCATTCAAGAGGAGCATGCCCTCACCCCTCCTGGGAAGGTGATTGCCATCAGCACCAGGAGTCCAGGCTGCGCACGCAATCAGCCTGCCTTTCACAAGAAGACCTTTTCCCCCAGTGCCACTTCCAGCTCCTCAGGTAAGTCCTCCATGAAGAGAAACAGGTCCTGTGCAGTGCAGCAATGCTGTCCAAATTCTGCAGCGTAGAAATCCAAATTCTGGGCATGGTTTGGTGTTTTTGGAAGCAGTGTAAACGGGGCCACAGAAACATGTAGGGCTTTATAAGTCAAAACCGGAACATGACAGGGGAGACTCAAAAGCAATGCAGATGGAACAAAATAGGAGGTTGTACAGTTTGATGCATCCATCCCAGATAACAGTCTGACAGCCATATTCTGAACCAGTTGAAATTCATTAGCTGGTTTTAGGCAGAGTGTGCATTTCTGTAATATCATCTGGAATGAACTAAAGCAGAGTTGCCTATGGAGCCTGGGGTACTTCAAGGGGCAGGGCGTAACTACCAAGGAGTACACATGGCTATTTCCAGTCTCCAGGAATGCAAGCAACAGGAAGTTCAGCTGTTCTTCCAAGCACTGACCAAATCTCATTTTCCATGCTCAGAGTGTCATGGAACTTAGTGCTTCTCTCAGCCTGGAGGAAGACAGACTGAACGATGTGATGTCTGTGGATGTGGCCATGCTGATTGATACCATCTAGCTGTGAAGGGCTAATTGAAGCAACTACCCAATGCCCAACAATGGTTCTGCACTCCTGCAAAAGGGCATGTGTGACTGCAGAGTTTTTCCCCTCTATAGCCTATATAATTGCTACCTTTGACTATAAACTGAACAGTTTAATACTGGTATCAGCAATGGTGATAGTATGTTCTGATATTAGCTGGGCTGTTTCTTCAGCCCAGTATTCTATACGTAAGTGTGTGTCATAGTAATAAAAATATGGAAATGAGATTCTGCTGGAAGCAGAATAGAGCTGGGGACCGTTAGAATCCTAAATTACTGTAGTTTGAATACACACTTAATTTGCAGCTTGTGGCTCATGTGCTCATTTTAAGAGCAAGTTCACAGAATGATGCTCAGCATTATTTCATGAAGACTTACTATCAGGTTACTCTGTGGAAATGGTCCTTTGTCTCCAAGCATTTCTCCAGTGGACACTGTAATTGTCAATAGTTCAGTACTTGTGTTTTGATTGCATCCTGCCAGGTTTGAGAAACCCCTCTAGACCCCTCTTGGTGGCTGGTCCATCAAGTTCCGGAAGTGCTGATGCAGATGGGGGCCTCTTTGCTGTCCCCACAACTCTCCCACCCAACAGCAGACATGGGAAGCTTTTCTTGCAAAGCAAAGAAACAGAGTTATCATTCCGGCAGCGCTTGGACACAATCAGTGTAAGTTTATCCAGGTGTATGTGGTACTTTAAAGCTGGAGAGCTACCATAGGCAGGTGTCATGAGGTGGGTGGGGGGCCCTGATATCATCTAGTCCCCAACTCAAGAGCCATCCAGATTTCTTCCTACAGTTGAGAACCAAGTTTTACCTCTCCTGCTAGGGAGAGCTGCATCCAGGAAAACACCCAGCTGAGGTGCCAGCAGAGTGAACATTCCTCCAATTGGCTTCATTGCACATGGGCTTTCCTCCAATTGACATCTTAGGTGGCTTTACCTGTTTCATGCCTTCCACGCTGGAGAGGATACAGAGCGAACAAAGCTGTTAGCTCACTGCTCACCCTCCTGCTTTGGGAGCAGAGTGGTGTGCTAAGGGAAATCCCTGCTTTTGCCAGTTGCTTACTGAAGATGCTAATGGATATTTCTTTCTAGTATCCTGGGAGTGGGGCTTTGCAAGGGAGAGGAGTCCCACCTTGAGGTATCATGAGTTGGACTGGGGGTCAAACAGATTTCCCTGTCCATGCTTTAAAATGTGCAAACATCACTAAGATGCTGGTAACACCTGCAAAAAGAAACCCTAGCAAATGAAGTCAGACTCCCAAGTCACACTGGCAGTTTTTCAGAATTCTGTATTTCTTTAAATATTTTAACTTCCTCAGTGGTTTTTCAAATAGTTAGAAGACCTGGGAGTTAGGTTGAACAGAGCTTGGGAAATATTTTGATGCACGGACCTAGCGGGAGTTCTGACCCAGGAGGGAACAAACCCATTCCATGGTGCTGGTTTTTTTTACCATTTCTGCATCGATGAAGGAGGGTATCCTGATGGTCTTCCATTCAGCCCAAACATAAAAGCATGCAGCCTTAAGTAAGCATCCTTTCTTCTGTGGGGAGGAGCTTTTTGCCCCACTCACTTCCAGAGTTCTTGTTCTGCAGCAACAAGGTCTCTTCAGATCTCTCGCTCCATCTGCTTACTAGCATTTTGGACTGGAGACTTCCCTTCCCTGAATCAGGCAACATGCAGAATATAATACATTAAAGCAACACATCCCTGGCAGCCTAGATCTTCTAGAGGTTCCTTCAGGTGGGTGGCAAAGTAATAAGCTCATGCTGGATAAGCTGAATAATGTGTGTTGCCATTTGTTTCTCTCTAGATGCAATCCGATTTCTTCTTGCCAAAGCCAAGGAAACTGCGTAGCAGACACCTGCGGAAGCCTTTAGTAGTGCAGGTCAGAGAAAATGGTTACCTGAAATGGTTGTGTCACATGTTGAATAGGCCCTGTTAACTGCTTCCTTGGAACTTTTGTCCCTTCCCCATCGAGATAAGACAAATTTAATGGTCTCTTACTATGCCACTTTCTGCTTTCTATTGTGCAAGCATTGCCAGGGATGCTCAGCTAGGACTGACTGTCCCAACAATGTTATGAACAATTTCAAATAGGTATTTTAAATAGGATATGTGCAAACACACAAGAAACCAGCCTTGGATACGTTTTGGTGTAATTAGATGAGACAAGTTCAAGTGTGAGTGCATGAACAACACAAAACTGTGCTCTTCTCATATTCTCTTTGCTGATACCTCTAAAGGCATGCACCTTCAGCCATCCACTAATGCAGGGGTGAGCAACACACCACCTTATTTCAGAAGTTCACAAATGTTTGGCAAAAGTGAGTGTTCCACCTTCCGGAAGCTTGTTGAGTAAGAAGAAGAGGGAGCAGGGAAAGAGAAGGGGGTATTATACAGAGACCCTAACAGACTACTCCTAAGGGAATGGGGCTTTCCAAAACAAACACACATTTCTCAGTCTGGTCTAGTGAGTGTGATGAAAAATGTAATGTTTATAGCAAACATGAGAAATGGTAACTGTATCTTACAGAGAATTTATCTCTCACTGAAGACCTCATTTGTACTTCCTTTCTCCCTCAGAGGACACTGCTTCCCAGGCCATCTGGAAATCCCTCCCAGCATGTCTGTTCCTTCTCCATCTTATCCAACTCTTCCATTACAGGTGAGCTGCAACGGTTGTACCTTCTCTGCAGCTTTCCAGGAAAGAACTGGAAAGTAGAGCAAGACCAGTGGGATGGTGATTTTTTACCACTCTTCCACTAAAATTAATATGCTCACTAAGGAGCATTCCTGTACCTGTGGAGCATTGGCTTATTGCACTCACCATCCCTGTGTCAGTTTCTCTCTTCCTTGTACATGTGCATCATACCCCTCCACTGAAGAGCTTCATATTCTACTCAGAAATGCTGTTCTGGGCAATAAGTTCCATAGACCCCTGAGGATCGTCACCCTTAGCAAACATGCTTCAAACCCTGCTACCCTGTGAAGTGGGCTAGGGTAAAGGACTGTGAGAAGATGCTCACGTCTACCCCAGAAAAGTGCAGATCTGGGGAGCTTTAAAATATATATTACTTTGACCCTCCATTTCCATTCATAGACTTCCTCTTCATGCAAAAAGACACTTGTTGGGTGGAAGCATTGAAACGGGAATCACATTTGATATGACAGTAAATAGGAAACTTGACTCAGGCTTTTCATAATTGTTCATGTGAAGCTGATAAATTTGTAGTGAATGAGTTTGCTTTTCAGCTTTCTTGTATGTTCTTGCATATTGCTGCATCATAATGTTGCAATGAGGCTGGTTGCAGATTTCTCATACTTTGAGTGGGGCTTAAGTTAGTCATAAATAAGACTAAATGTGGATCAAACCCAGTGTTTCTTACACCCTAGTGCTAAGTGAAGTGAGAATGAAGTTACCACACTCAAGAAGGGCTCTGTGAAGGGAGAAGCTGGCCAAGGTCACTTGGGGTGGGGTGCCAGGTGGACGTTAGGACAGTGACCAGTTGCATTCCAGCCCTGCCAGAGTCGAGACATTCTCTTGTGTGACACCCTGTTCAAGTGCCTCATATCAAGACCAGTGGAAGTGAGTTTGGAACAGCGGCACACGATAACATTTTGTGTGAAATTGGGTAAAAGTGCATCAGAAACTTTGGAAATGGTGAGGAAAGCTTATGGAGAAGCTGCGCTATCATCTGCACAAGTGTACCGATGCCACAAGGTCTTCAGGGAAGGAGGAGGAGGTGTTGAAGATGAACAACCATCAGGACACCTCTCATCAAAAAGGAACAGGGTGTGGATGCAGTCAGGTCTGTTCGCAACTGTGATCGATGGTTCGCTATCAGAATAATTGCAGAGGAAATGGGAACTACCAAGTCAATTGTTCATGAAATCATGACTCGGGATTTGAACATGAGAAAAGTGTGTACAAAACTTGATCTAAAGAACTTGTCACCTGATCAGAAGGAACACCATCAACTTGTTTTCCAAGGCCTGTTGGCCCGTTTGGAAAGAGAACCTGACTTTTTGAGTCAGAGATGACTCCTGGGTGTTTGAGTACGATCCCGAGACAAAGAAACAAAGTTCAGAATGGGATATAACCTCGTCTCCTCACCCCAAGAAAGCTCGAATGAGCTTTAATCCAGCATTCTGCTTGTACAGTGGCCAACTAGATGCCTGTGGCAAAGCCCACGAACCAGATGTGAGTGTCGTTGCAAGAATCCAGCAAGAATTGCTCAACAATTCTTACATAACTCTAAAACAGTCTATGGGCTACATGAGGGTCACATGGCACAACAGCCTACATGGGGTGATTGCATATTCAAAATGGTGGCTGCACTCACCCTGTATGCTTCACACTCTTCCCATAGGTTAAAGAGCCTACAGTGGGCTGTCTTCTGACCAGCTCTAACATTTAGCCATCTTGACGAACGACTATGGATACTCAACTTTCTCAGTGATCCCCAGTAAAGAATTTGCCTTCTTCAGACCAGCTGCAAACTGTGACATCATTCTTGGTTCCTTTCAGTGGGAAGAGACTTCTCCAGTTTTGGCTCTGCCTGATCCAGCTCTTCAAGTCTTTATTACCATGCTAGCAGTCAGTTTCTGCATTCTCTTTACCTAGCAGTTTATGTGGCCCTGATGAATGCAGCTTCTGTCTCTCAAAAGAGAGGTGTAGCTACCAGGTTTCTTCTTAATAAAACAAAAAGCCTTCCCTACTTTTGACAGTTTTTTTTGATTTCTTAATGCTTCTTCATTCTTAGGAAGAGGATCTTTTCGGCCAATCCAGTCATCACTTACAAAAGCTGCTGTGTCCCGCCCCATCGTTCCCAAGATTCTTCCTGCTCAAGCTACCAACCATCTGTCTAGTAGGTTTCTCAGCAAAAAAATAAAAAATCAGGGTATTAGCAGTGAAATGTGCTATCTGTGAAGGAGGATGCAGTATTACACATTTTATAACTATGTCTTTTGTTTTGCACCCCCATTAGATATCCTGTTAAGATCTAAGATTAGATACCCTGTTAAGTAAACAAAGATTACATGTTGGCCTAAACCATTTTGAGCAAGAACTTAGATCAGTCACCAGCCAGTATGTCCAGTGGGAGTTGCATTTCAGCATATCTGGAGCTCCCAGGTTGGGGAAGGCAGATGACTTAGATCATTAGGGTCAGATTATTTTAAAAAGTGATACACCTTTAAGTAGAAGCTATAGGAATGGAGTTTTAAATTATTATTAAAATAGGGAAGAAAAGAACTAGAATTGGATTAATACTGAATTGGTGGTAGAATAAAGAGCTCTCTTGTAACATTGTCACTAAGGGGTTTTTGTAGGACTTGATATGCTCGGACATTACCTAAAGCCAAACTTTCATAAGACTTTCCTCTTAAAATCTCACTGTTCTCTCTCCAAAGGTGCTATTGATTTGGCCGCCAAAAGTGCTGGTATTATTCCTGGCAGTCCATTACCTGTTTTGGCCACAGAAGGTTTGTCAGGTGTTTCCCCACTGTCACCGGATGCAGTGACTGCTGTGGCCACAGTTCAAGATTCAACATTGGCGCATCAGAACACAGGCACCATATCTACTGTAGCGGTCAGTTTGCTCTTCCTGTTGAATCTTGCTACAGTTTATTGTGTCTTGTAAATTGCAACGAGGGCAGATAACCTGCACATGCCCTTCAGGTGTTTTAGATTACTCTTCCCATCAACCCAGCTAAACATCATGTGACAGCCCTGCTCCACCCTTGTAAATTCAAAGCTGTGGCTTCCTTTATGAAGTCAGCCCCCTTCAAATTTGGTCTTCCTTTTCTTCTTCTGCCTTTGAGTTTCCCTAGTATGATTATCTTCTTAGATTAGTGTTGCCTTCCCATGATGTGCCCCAAGTATGACAACCTCAGTTTTGTCATTTTTGTTTCCCAGGAAAGTTCTGATCTGAACCTGCTTGTTCATATTTCTGTCAGTTCAGGATATCCAGAAAGCTATCCTCTGGCACCAAGTTTCAGAAGCATCAATTTTCTTCCTATCAGCTTCTTCACTGCCCAGCTTTCACACCCATAAATAATGATTGGAAATACAATAGTGTGGATATCCTGGCCTTGGTCTCCAGTTAAGATAATCCAGGGCTTTAGTAAATTGAAATAGTGGATTTGAGTATCTTGGGCACTGTAGATTTCATTTCATCACCAGATATATCCTCCATGGTAGCAGTAGCAGTAGTGGAGCAGGTGTGTCACAGATTTTCTCTCCAAGCTTTTATTAGATCTCTCATCTTGACATCTCACTTTGTTGTCCTCTGTTGCATTTTCCAGGATTCAAGCAGTGAATGTCGGGTTCCATTCCTTGGCCTACCATCACGTTCTGAGCAAGAAGCAATCCCTGATGGGTTCCAGGTAGAGTATGAGCTTCTTAACCAACATTTACTAGACCTTAACAGTGACCTTCAGATAAGCAAACCTTATGGTGGACCCAGACAAGCACAGGTTGGTGGGGGTGGTAGATTGTGCTGCATGACAGTGCTTTGTGGGGAATCAGAATTCAAGCTTTCTGGTGCTGCTTTTCAAAAATGTTTGTTGTGCAGCCTGTTGCAGCCAAATAGAAGAGATACATCAGTAAGATAACCATCTACTTGTCTGCAGCCCAGCTCCACAGCAAGGAATCTATTCCAATTTTTTTTGCTATCCTATTGAAGGATAGGGGCATAAAACAGCTAGGCATGTACATTTTTCCAATCCCCATCTGAGTGACACATGCATTCTTACCACATTATTGGCTAGCAGTAACACAACCATCTTAGTTTTGCTATGTGATTTTCCCTCCGGGTACTGGGTGCCCTCCTTGCTAACTCCTAGAAGGCAGGTTCTTTTAAAAAGGAAGGTTTTGACCAGGGTTGGAGTAGGAAGCATGCCTCTCATGGGAAGGCAGGTCATTCAGAATATGAAAATGGTGGATAAACAGGTATTCTAAAGGGGGGAGGGGTTAAGGTATAGAGAAGAAAGTAGTAAGAGGAGGAAGGATAAGCCACTGCTGAAAACATACTGTAATTTACCGTGAACCTGGATGTGTGGGTTGCAAGAAATCTTTGAGTAAATTAGGTAAATCAAGAAAATTGGTGCCATCTGAACCCAGCATCATAGTGTGCTTAGATTTGAGGGGTCTTATTTTAATCATTACCTTGAGCAAGAGAAGTAAGAGAACTTGGGTGGCAGTGCTTACTATTACCCTGAGCCTGGTTTTGTGTCTCTCCCATTGATTGGCCTCTCTTTTCTATCTGCAGAATGGGAAAATGATGGCAATAATGTGACTCTGTAGGACTAGAAAAAGGAATGGGGATGCACAATTTACGAGGGCTGCAGCCTAGTGGTAGGGACGTGCTTTGCATGCAAAAGTTTCAGTCTGTTGCATCTCCAGGTAGACAACACTGAGCCTGATGGTCAGTCATCTAATTCAGTATAAGGAAGCTTCTTGTATTCAGAAATGTAGGTAGGGTAGCTATTGGGCTGGCAGGCTGTTGTACTTACAGCAGAATGCTAGTGCAGCCATTTTAGAAAATGTATACAAATAATATTATTATTACCACCACAGGGAACACCAGTCCTTTCTCTACCAGAACTACCCAAAACCTCTCTCCAGAATGGTCTCTCCACACCACCACTTCCCTCATCTGAGGCTTCCAGTACCCGTCTGTCTCCTCCAAATGTCTCTGCTCTACTGGATATCTCTCTTCCGGGACCCCCTGAGGATGTTTTGTCTCAGGGAGAGCCTGCTACTCAGATCAGTGATTCTATCATTGAAATAGCTATCAGCTCTGGTCAATATGGTAAGAGACAAAACAAAGCTAAATAGCTATCAAGCATCCAAAATATCACCATGTTCTTGTTTGGCAGCTGATCCTTTTCACCTTTGTATTCTTTTTAGGATTTTAATGTAGGAGTATTCTCTTCAGATTTTATACCTTTTGCAGAGGCAGTGTCAGGGTCCAGACAGCACAATAAATGCACAATCAAAAGTTGAGTATGGGTTGCTGTTGAAATGTGGGTTGTTACGTTGTTTGTGCCATGAGGTTTACTAACCATGAACAACCCATAAAGAGAGCACATGGTTTTTTGTTAGGTTGTGAACTGTGGGTTGTCCATGGTTAAGACACCATGATTTGCTACCATGTTAGAGTTCAGACAATATGATAAGCCACGTTTGAGTAAAAAGCCACAGTTCAGCAACAACCCATACTCTTCAGTGCAAGTTATGGTTGAACCCAGCCATTGTTTGCTTATATCACTATTTATACCTCACTCAAAGCAGCTTACAAAATATTAAAAACATAAGTAGAACAAATATCACATCATCATCATAACAATACTTCAAGCACATCTGTTTATTAGATGTATATCCCACCTTTTTTCTTTTAAAGATGTCATAGGAGCTTACATCCTCCTGCTCTCAATTTTATCCCCAACCCTGTGAGGTACTTTGTGCTGAGCCTTACTGGCCTAAAGTTACCCAGTTGGCTCCATGGCTGAGTGGAGACTAGAACTCAGATTGCCTGAATCCCAGCCCCATGCTCTTAACTACTATACCACACTGACATTAACAAGCTAAATATAGCAGAAAAAGAAGCCCAAACTAAGAATCAATAAATTTAATTAAGAAACAGTGGAATTGAATGGTGTTTAACGGGAAATGCCTTCACTTGCTACTGGCTTATGGAGGAAGATTACATAGCCTTTTTGGGCAGGGTGCTTGACATACAGGGCACTTTCAGAGAAAGCCCTCTTAATTCTTTGGATTTAAGAATGCAAACATTCTTAATAGAAGTCCATTTTGATTGTGTTTATAGATCATGTTCATATTTTTGAGAGCCCTCCCCAGGTCAAGGGATGAGTGGGAATTGTTTAGGCCTCTGAGTATACAAGAGATACAATTGAGTAATTTAAGGAATCGTGTGGTATAGCCCTTCATGCAGCTCTGCCACCTTAAAACGCACAGTTATTTTGAACAAATGTCTCCCCACCCATCTACATGAAAAACTTACATATCAGATGTATGAGAATATTCTAAAATAGTGGTGCTTTTGAACAAGCTATCCCCAATATATATTCCCTGATTAGGTGGAGGATTGAACCAAACTCATTGAATTTGTGTTGGGGTGAGCTTGTGACTAGTGATGCTTAATTATTATTTCCAATTCCAATTGGAAATAATGACAGGTTAGAGGACACGTTTCTGGGAGGTGCTGCACTAGGGAGAGACTGTAAGAGCAAATGTACAAAATGAAGAATTGTTTCATGAATGGTTACAATGTCAGTCATCCTTGCAAGCAGGTAAATATAGGATAACTTGCTCTACTCTGATCATGAGGACATAATTTGGACCTATGCTTCCTATGTGGGACACATTACACGGCTGGATCACATCTGGAAAGAAGTAATTTCTTCTTTCCCAGGTACTAACGCCTCCTTAAGGATGTGAACCCTGGCTGTTTCATCACACACTGAATCATACTATTTGTGTTATTTCCTTTTACAGGTGAAAATGTTTCTCTGTCCCCAGCAAAGCTAAATGGCAGTGACAGCTCCAAAAGTCTTCCATCCCCCTCCTGCAGCCCTCAGCAGAACTGGATCGCCTCTCCCAGCCATGATCCCCAGTGGTACCCCAACGATTCCACAGACTCTTCTCTCAGCAGCTTATTTTGTGAGTGCTTGTATGGGAAGTTAAAGATTGAGATGGTTGGCATTACTGGACTTGGACTGCCCTTCTTCCTTCCTGTCCGTGCAGGGCTTGTCAGTTCTGCCTATTGTCAAAGCCCATGTCAGGGCTCCTTGTTGAAACCTGGAAAGCCTATCTGATTTCATCTATCTTAATTAAATGTGATGAACAAAGTTTGCAAATATGTTGTTTATGAACATGGGTGGACATCACACAAGAATTGTGCTGATCCATAATCACTATGGTAGGCTACAGAATTAGCAGGGCCACATGTGACACAATTTAAAAACATACATAAATTGTATGTTTTTAATTTTTGTTAACTGCCCAGACAGCCTCAGCTATCAGGCAGTATAAAAATGAAATGAATAGATTACTCTTGGAATGTTCTGCAAGGTACAACTTTGCAGTATTGTCCTTCCTTTCCTTCTTTACTTCCAGCCCAGTTATGTTTTTCTCAGCTATGACATTTTAATACTTAATTGTGCACTTAGCAGTACATACCCACGTGCATTCTTTAAATTAATGAAAAGACTACACTTGGTCTGTGTAAATTCTGCACACCCAGAATCTAAATGATGCTCCTAGAAAATGCACGTTCTGAAAGCTGAGCACACTGGTATTTATTTAGTGAATGCCACCTATCTTGCTGTAGACATTAAGGTTTTGTTTTTTCCCTCAATAAAAAATGAGATAACTACAATATCAAATTTTGTAAACTATACTATGTCTTCTAATTCCATTTTCTTCAATATGCTGGGCATGGAATAATGGGATATATAGTCCCAGAACATCCAGAAGACACTGGCTTGGGGAAAGCTGTACTAGTGTATATTCAAAATGAATTACATTTCTTCTTTGTAGTCTCTGCATCACACATATGAGCTCTGCACATGTGTGGAGCCTGTTTGGGAAGATTCCATAGCTAAGATTTGCTCAGTGGGATCCCCTCCCTGGCCCCAGTCAGGCATGAGGGAAGGATTCCTGTGCAATACTATGTTCATCATCTGCCATAGTGGGTGGATCAGGAAGTTCCTCCTCTGCTCTCCATAGCTACCTACTTGCCTTCATTTTTTCTCTACCCTTTCTAGTAGCCTCTACTAAAAATTTTTGTCTCCTTTCCTTCATCCAATTTACTTCCACCCTACAAAATCTTCAAAAATATACCCACCTGCTTTCTATCTCCCCTCTCTCCTTATCCCTTCTCTCTTTCCACTCCACAATGGTGCTCAAACCTTCAGTTTAGGAGCAGTGATGGCAAGCTGCCCCCAACCAATGGCCCCTTGTGTATTTTCTGCTTGGAGCAGAGCCATGTGGTGGAAGCCTGCTGCCCTTGCCAAGCCTTCACCAGGCAGGCAAGGAAACACCAGGCCAACTGCCTGAAGGCTGAACTGTAGGGTGGGTCCCCCACAGCCAGCTGAGCACACCAGCACACCTCCACCTCAGAAGCCTCACCTCCTTCTTTGATATTACAAACTGCAGCCATAGGACCCTCAGAGGCTCCAACTGACTCCAGAATCCAAATCACAAAGTGAAGAAACTTGTGAAAAAGGTGAAAGCCATCAAGATGTTGGGTGCATCCAAAACAAAGGACCACAATAAATCTATCAAGAGCATGAGAAGGTGCCCCCTGCTGGCACTTCACATGCTCTCATCTTTGAACTACAGACTGATACGGCATGTCATCCCTGCGCTCTGCACTGAGACGACCTGGTGACACCCCAGTACCAATACACAGTGATGCACCAACTACCTCAGAGGAGGAGATGGAGGAAATATGGGAAGCCTCACCCCCAACGCTTGAATGTGCACCCTTTACCACTTTAGATCCAAGATGTGCCACACCTCCATCACCGATCCTGTGTGAGGCTGTGGCTGACTGCCACACCTTTGGCCCCACTCATTGCTGTCTTGACTGGCTACTTCCCCCACACAGAAAGGAATATGATTTGAAGGACTTGTACCAAGTGAATCAGCCCTGACTGCCTAATAGACAACCTGCACGAGGACCTTGAGCCCATCCTGGAAGCTGTCCTAAAACTGGCCATGAGACTATCCTACTATGCCAAGGGAAAAGCCTTCACTGGCTTTGCAGCACGACATGGATTCAAGCCCATCAACTGCCTGATGGAGCAGGTTCTCTTATTTTCCAGTGGCCTCCATCTGTGTCCACAATCTCATCATTCCATGAACCAATAAAAGGGCTTTCTGCCTTCTCCCACTTCCTCACATGCCAGTTCCTCAAGGGTTTCAAGAACCTCACCCCTTGAACATGGCCTCCAGCACAGCCTGGAGGCTCTCCATCATCCTCCAGACCCTCACAAAAATGCCAGTTGAGCCTATGACCACCACAGACTTACAGTTAACATCATGGAAGACGACCTTCCTGGTGTCGATCACTTTGGCCTGCTGAGCCAGCGACCTGACCACCCTGTGGGTTGATCTGCTGTACCTCATCTTCCACAGGGATAAAACTGCTCCTCCCTGACCCTGCTTTCCTCCCAAAACTATTCCCTCCTCCCATCTCAACAAAGAATATCATCCTACTGGCCGTCACTTCACAGTTGGACCCAACTGAGTTGGCACTACAGTCTCTTGATGCCTGAAGCTCCCTAGCCTTTTTCAAATTCAAGACAGAGTCCCTTTGCCACTCCCAGAGGCTGTTCATGTGCTATGGTGCCATAAACAAGGGTCTTCCTGTCTCCTCATAGCAGCTAGGAGGATGGTCGTGAGGACCATTTCCCTGGACTACAAATCTGCTGGACTTCAACCCTCAGGACCATTAGGGGCCCACTCTATGCACGCAACATCAACCTCCACATTTCTCTGTTCAGCCTCTGAAAAGCTGCCAGATGTTTGAACGCATCAAACCTTGGTAAGGTACTACTGTCTCAGCATCTGAGCTAGAGCTGATTGTGCCTTCAGTGAAGAGATTCTCTTACCCAGCCCTTCAAGACAGACACCACCTGCTTCTGTCAGGTGCCACAGGCACCTGATAAGCTCACCAGTCTTATGTGTGATGCACAGAGACCACAAAGAAGAAAGTAAGGTTGCTTACCTGTAACTTGGTTTCTTTGAGTGGTCACCTGCGCATTCACACAAACCCACCCTTCATCCCATCTTCAGTGTCACCTTCGGGCAGCACAGCTGTCTATACTGGGGTCCAAGCAGGTCCAATGGCCTACTCTTCTCACATGAGGCCACAATCACATTCTCATGTCCTTCAAACTGAGGACTGAGCAGGAACCCCTCCTTCATGCCTGGGCAGGGCCCAGGAAGGGATTTTCACAAGCAAATCTTGGCTATGGAATATTTCCAGACAGGCTCCACTCATGCACAGAGTCATTACCTCTCAAAGAACAATATGTAGTTGCAGGTAAGCAATTTTACTTTACTGCATTTGGGGAAGAGACAAGTTTTTTTAACTCAGTTAAATTAGATATGGGTTAAGTAAAATGCATCTCAGTGTACTGGAAGGTGGAAACATAGCTTGTAAGAAGCTTCTGTACTGTTTCTTTCACAAGCCTAATGAAAATCCAGAGTGACTTGCTTGATTATTTTGTTTTACAGCAAGTTTCCTGTCTCCAGAGAAGGGCCGGAAAATGCTGCCAACTTCCGTTAGTAGCACGAGCAGCACCTCCTTATTGGGGCCCAGTCTGCTAGATGGGAACTCACGGGACTCTTTTGTGTCTCGGTCACTGGCAGATGTAGCTGAGGTATGTCCATGCTTGACCCACTTCATGCGGTTTAGCCTTCAGGTGGAGAGGTAGAAGGTTAGAGTCTCCTGATGGGAAGTGCAATTTCGAGGCAATCCTCATTCCAAACAATCGAAGCATGCGGTTACTGCTTAGATTTTGAAGGATAAAATTCACAAATCCCATTGCAAAGTCAATATCTTCAGTGTCTGGTCTGCATGTAATTGAAAAGACCTTATTTCTCAAAAATGACATATTAGTTTGAGTGGAAGGAAAATGCAGGGTTCTTGTAACAGAAATGCTACCATCCTCGGGAGCCCTCTGGATCTTGCTTAACAGATGAAGAATAGTTAGGACATGTATTGTAGTAAGAATATCTAAGGAGTAGGACTTTTTCTGAATCAAAGAACCCAGCATGAGTGCTGAACAGGGATCTCTAAGTCCAGTTCTTCTTCCTTGTTGTTGGTGAAGAGTGCATGGCGGGGATGAGTGACCATATGGATTCGATGTGTGACTGTGCCTTGCTATTTAGTATTGTAAGCCGTCCAGAGATGAACCATATTGGATGGGATAAAAATATCCTAATTAATAAATAAATAAATATTCAGCAAACAGTTTAGAATTCCATTGATCTGTTTTTTCCTCCATCAGTGGAGCAGCGTATTCTTTTCCTGCTTGTTCCAATAGACACGTTTTCTGCAAATTCAGATGTAGAATTTTTATCCCTGTTGGTTGGCAAAGTAACTGTCCCAGTCATGCCGGATCTGCAGCGATGGGTCTTATAACAAATATTGTGCTGTCATCAGCCATTCTGTATGAATTTTGGCTGGATGCTAACTTTTCATCCAACCTTCTGTCAACAGTTCTTTTTTTCAGCTTTTAAGTGCCTTCTTCAGACACTTGACCCTGACTTTTCCAGTTAAACCTTCTTTACTTTTACATTCCTCTTAAACATGTCTTGTCTTGGCTTAAGCCTTCAGGCAAGGCAAAGACGTTTTGTCTTTTGTTAATCATTGTCCATTGAAGGTATAACTAACACAAGCTGGAGTCAAATGGCAAGTTCCAGAAAAGGATGAGAGAGGGCCCTCCCGAAAGATCTTAGCAGAATGTCCCTATATATGCCCCCATACAAAAACCCTCATGTTGAAAGGTTGGAGAAGAGTCCAATCTCAGCATTTCCTTATTTGTGGAAGAAATGGTCAGTTGGAAGAATTTTTGAACCTGTAAGATCCTTAGATTTTGCAGGGGTAAAAACCATGGAGTTCTTTCTAAATATGCCCATTTTTGCACTTTTTAAGATGAAAAAAGAATGTTAAAATTTGTCATTTCTTATATCGGTCACCTCCTTTGCTCTTGAAATTATCTCAGTTCAAGCATTATAGCTGTAATAAATAATGCAAAGTGATTTGGAAAGCAAATCTGCATCATCTTGGGGTACAGTGTGGCCACACTCAGTGCCGTGTCTAACATTTATGTACTTTCACAGAGAACACCAAACCCAGTCAGTGTGTTGTTAATCTGGGTATGACCTCAGTTCAGCTTCTTCAGCCCCTTGAAACTGTTCAAGCAAAGCTTGTATTGACAGTGAACAGAGTCAGAAATAATCCATGCTTTCGCCTCTGTTTTGCTGATAGGTGGTAGATTCCCAGCTGGCTTGCATGATGAATGAGAACAGCATCGATTACATATCTCGTTTCAACGACCTTGCCCAGGAGTTATCGATACCTGAGCCAACCCGCCGGGAGATCCTTTTTGATGGAGGAGGTGGTGGGCCTCCCATTGGTGACCTCTCTCAGTGAGCGCATTCAACCAGCTGGCTGGTAGAAACCACTGAACTGGCTATAACCTGGAGAGGTGTGACATCATAGCTATGCAGCTGATACCTTTGTTGTCCTGGCTGGAGCATGCTTCATGAGAAGATCAGTGTTTGTCTTCAACGATCTACCGTTCCTGGAATGTGCAATAGGCTAGGAACAATACAACTGGGAACAGTATTATAGGAAATGACGTATGTGAGCTGGTGACAAGCAGAGTTTACAAGACAGCCCTGGATTTTATGCTCTGGTGTGGTCTGGGCAACAAATCCCACAAGCTATGTTTTTATACAGTGAACCAAAATCATTGTTGTGGTATCCACATTGAAGCTGGGGGTGGGGGCTGGTTGTGATTTTGGTTTTTATGACTTTTACATTTTTTATTTTCATATACTAATGTCTAGATCTATTGTAGTTGGCACTGTTGACAAATCAGTCAACAAATCAGTCAAATTTATATTCTTTGCACTTTCCCTTCAGGCAGCAGATGATTCCACAACACTTTTACCAGATTCTTTTCACTTGCCCAAGTACATTAGCATTCCAGTCCAGCATGAAAAGCCCTGTGTCTGTTCTCACTTTACAAAAACCAATAGCGTTTGAGGGTCCCCAGAAACAATCAATCTTTTAATGGTTTGAAACCTTGGCAAAGGGACTTGTAACTGCACTCCTAATTAAAAATTAAACATTTTTCTTTCCTGTGGTATTCTTGGAAAATGTGTGCACATTTTCCCTTTTTAAATGCATGCTTCATTGTCTTAGTTTTGATTCCTCCTAGAAAAAAACATTTGCAGTACATTCTGCAGCAGCAGCAAAGTGCTAATACTTTAATCATGTCCTGGAAATGGAGCAAAGTGGGGTTAAAATCTCAGTTTTACTGGCTTCTTGCTACTCCCATGGTGAGCAGATTTGATATGAGGGCCACTCATCTTCATCATGGGTACAGAATACCCTTGCTTAAGTCTTTGACTCATGTTTGATTCTTAGTATTTAGTGCCTAGACTTCAGTCAACCAAATATTTTTAATTTTTGCAATCTTGCATTCTCATTTCTTTTTCCTCGTGTAACAATTGAGTCAGCACCCAGTCCCTCTCCTGTAAATGGATTTCCATATGGCAATCCTAGTTGTTCTTCAACAACGTCTGCAAGTAGATTTGTATAAATGCCATTCTTTATAAAATACCATTTACTTAAGATGGGTAAATTGAATCCTTTCCTCAATGCTAATGGCATTGTTGTTTTAGAAACATGCTGTACTCTCTTGGAGATAACCTTTCCCTCTTAAAAGTGTTTCTTAAAGGATTTGCTTGAAAATGTGACGTTGGAATCCTGTTCACATAGATTGGATACGCACACCAGAATGACTGTCTGTGGCAAAGAAATAAAAAGTGCTGCCAGTCACTACTGGCTTCTCTGCTTCTGGGACCTGCTCTCCCTCCTGTTTAGACTTCTATTGTACTCTGTCTTTCAAAGGCAGTCAAGCAATCATTTAGTAGTGCTGTACATTCTGCCTGCATTCTAGTCGCAGAACTGAGAAGCCTCTCCTAGGTTTAAATGTAGATTACTTTTATACTTACAATCTTGAGTGGCTGAACCAACTGGCCATTAACAAGGCTAGAAAGCTAGCCACAGCACAAATGACAAGATGGGTAAATCAAAGTGAGAAAAGTGTACTTCTGTGGGTTTTCATTTAAGCACAGCCACCCTCTGACATCATTGTTCCATCTTGATAAATAATCCCTTCTTCAAGAACTCCACTATAATCATTAAGGTACATAGGGTCTTTATTTCAGGCCAAAGCCATCCTTTACAGACCATGACACCGGGTATCATAATAGTGGTCCAGTGGCTCTGAAGCCTCTAGAAAGCTTTTTGCCTTTGACAACAGGAAAGCCCTAGCATGAAATGCATTTTGCATGCGGTGGGGTCTTTGTTGGGCAGCAGTGGTGGTTTTGGATGTGTACTTAGCAACCACAGTGCCAGAACATATTAATTCTACTTGTCTGTTGTTTTTGCCAAAGTGTTTCAAATGGAGCCTGCTTTTTAATCACTGTTGTTCTGACACATTAGCAGTTCTGTCCCTCAGAAGACTTTTTATCTAACCCCACATTTCATTCAAGTTTGGATTAGTCACTTTTAGTGATGCTAATATGATTTTGCCATTTTGTTACAGATTTGTTTGTTTTTCAACTAAAATACGCAGACAATTATCTCTTTGGTTATTTAATATATTTCCCTTGCTTCCCTATTTCTACATAGATGGATTTAGCAGTAAGTTTGTAACATCCTGCATCTTCAGTGTGTTAGCATTACAGTTTCATAGGATCCACCAGTCAGGCCTCCGCCCCTTATGTTCTGAGAAATTATCTTTCTGCCACCAGTTTCCTCACTTCTGGCAAAGAAAGGATGTGGGAAGAGCTATTAATATCAGTGATGAGGTTAGCAGATCTTAATACCCTTTTGTTACCTGAGGCAGAATGGGAGCATCAATAAAAGTAGGCAACAGTTAGCGAAGGGCACGTCTTCATTACTAAATTCTATAGTCTTATATTAGGTCTAGTTTGTTAGAAATTATTTTTTGCATGCAAATGTGAATTTCCTTCCAAGTATTCACTAACCATTTTCTTTGTTTAAAAAAAAAGATTTACAGTGACAAAACAGATGCATCAAATTTAGATCTAACTGCTGACAGAGTAATAATTTAGCTTTTTTCTCCTTTACAAACTTTCCCCCCATTTTTAGCGTTGTTGTCCTCAGAGCTTAAGACACTTGTAATTTGGCCTTTGTCATGCATATATTGCATCAAAGGACATTAACAAAGAAGGTTCTGCACTTGAAACTAATTATGCTGACTTCAATCAGTTATTTAGTATTGATGTTTCTTGATGAAACATTAATAGTATGCCGTCTTTGTAGACTATTATTGACTCTACCTAAGCATCCAAATATTTGTGTTGACTGTATTGATGCCAAGGAAAATGCTTGCTACTTTAAATGCAGGAGTAATTTCAACCCCGCTGAATCAATAAGAAACAATTTTTAATTTGCCACAAAGTAGATGTGAAATTTCTAAGTAACCTGCAGGCATGACTGATTCTGAACCAAATTGTCGGCCTGCCTTACTTCACATTTGCCTGAGGCATTGAGAAAAAGCTGACCTAGGATTAGCTGTTTTCCATTAATGCATTTGGTTCCTGAATAGCTTTATGTTTCAATAGTCTTTTGATATCACATGGTTGGTAGATAAGCATGTTATAAATTTGTCTACTTGAAAGCATGTATACAGTGATAACAAAGATTTGTTGTAGTCCCATAGGACTGGGAATCATATAGCTATGTTTCTAGTCAAATGTAAAGCTTAAGAATTCAGGCTAGAAAATGGAGTTGTTCCCACAGCATAGCAGCCCACTGTTGTTTATTTACCCCACAGTGAGGCTGCCATTTTGAATAGCCAACCCTCACTTGAGGGTTGGCATATGTGAGGGTTAAACTTACCCTCACATAACCCAGTGCCCATTGTAGGATTATGCAAGGGTTACTTAACCCACAGTTGACAAGTTCACACAACATGATGACCCCTGAGCAGATGTTGCATATATAATTTGATGCTGTGGCTCATCCTGGGTCCAAGATGAGCCATAGTTTGTTGTCCAAACTAGTCAGTATATCAGCCATCTTTTGAGTGCCTGTGTTGGATTGTGATAGCATCATCTTGCTTCCACACTGCATTTTGTTTGGCCAGTCAACTCACTCCCTAATCTTCTAGTTTTGTTTTTTATCACAGTGCCCTTTGAATTTAAATGCAAGAGCAAATTCCCTGTGAATTGTGTCCAACTCTACACAAAATGTTTTTTGAAAAAGTTCTTTTAAGCTGGCATTGCATACATACTTGATTATCGCTTTTTTATCTTTCTAGCCAGCTTAAATTACTTGCATCAAATCATACCTGCCAAGATGTCTTGTATACTAACTTGACAGATTCTTTGTGGAATTTTAGTATTGAATTTGGGGTTTGGGTTTTTTAAACATACACATGCACACGTAATATATACATACACAGATGTCAGATGCATTTGTAAGGAAAATACTGCACTTTTGAGTTACCAAACCCTTTTAAAAACTCCTCCTAACTTCTTGGTGAACTGTAAATGCTAAATAAGTGAAAACGTTTGCAAGCACTACAGCTGTGAGTTATCATTAGTTGCCAAAATGTGATAACTGGCTTTAGGGCTTGTGGATTTGGCAGCAGACTTCGTTGCTGTTTCTTTTAATAATAGTTAAGCCATATCATCTAAGGGTTTGTTTTGAGATGTGAATTTGTTTTATAGATTATATACATATAGTGTATGTATAAAGCAAGAATGCCTGTCCTTAACTGATTATTTTTTGTACCATATTGTAAATTATATTATTTATTCTTTACCAATTTTTGGAAAAAGACAAGGTGTTTGGGTTATTTAATATAATATACAAAAACTGTTAACTTCCTCTGTTTTCAATTTCCAGTTCAACTTGTAAAGTTGTTTTTATGACTGTGCATAAACACATACTAATCCTTCGTCTAATTATGTGTGATATTTGTACCCCCTTAAGTGATAATACCTTTACACTCAGCCCTTTCTCTGACTAGTCAAATGTTTTGGAGCATGGCACTTCCACGTTATTGGTATCCTTTGGAAGGTGTTTATGGGAGACTTACTGGCATTTGGAGTTTATTTAAAAACATACAGGTCGTACAAAGGTAAAGCACATCCCAAAACATATATACAATTGAAATTTATTGCTCCCACATCAAATTGCTAGGAAAATAGCTACTATTCTAAGATGCCCAATGAGCCTAAAAGCTCGATCTTTCTGTCCTCATTCTACCTCCAAACATCCTAAATGGGAGAGAGAAGAAAAGCTTGTCATATTTTCTAGCAACTGGAAAGTGGTCAGCAAAGTATTTTATTTATATGGCAACATGGAGCCTCTATTTTGCCTGTCCATAGAATATTCCAGGCAATAATTTTACTGAGTACTAGAGCCATCAAGCCTGATGAAAGTTCAGGAGAACTTGCTTATTTTGCCTTTTGTTCGGCATTAACAGGTTTTGCCCTTTTGAGCATTAGCCATTTTCCTCAGCTGCACGCTTAGCTATAGATTGTTCAGTCTGGGCACTAAACAGGGTAGAGAACAATGCATTCAATCTATCCAAGCCTTACTTCTGGCTTTTGTCCTGGGGGTGCTTGTCTTCTACCCCCAGAGTCAAGTTCAAGAGGACCAAGAATGGTAGGTTCAGTGTGTTCAGAAGTAAACTCTCAAGTCCTGATCTTGTCCCTCAGATCAGTAGAGAGTATTGCTTCATTGCAAGAATTCACTCATGCCCATCTGAGCAAATAACAGATTTTAAAACTCAAATTTTTGTTAAATAGCCTGAGATTGTCAATTTCAGTTTAGGAAGGCTTCATAGAGTCTACACTCACTTAAAATACTTCCACACATGCACTGGGTTTTCCTGGGTTTCCCTGCTAGTTGCAGCACCCTATGCGGTCTTTCAGTCCTACCTTAATCTGAAAATAAAGTAGATTTAGAAGGGGCAATCCATGTTCAAGTAATTTATGAAATAACTGGCATTTCCTCTAGAAACCGGAAATAAGGCAAGTGAAGCCAACAGTGCAGTTTTCCATCTTTCAAGTCAACATGTTTTGTTGAATTGATGGGTTTGAACTTACATTCTGAAGAAATCTGCCAAAAAGAACCTTTAATTGAATTTATAATATGGAAATGCATTTATGCTAAACTTGTCATTTAAAAAAGTCTGTGTTCCTGTTCTAGTTTTTTAAAAATATCCTACAGTTAATGTTGGATTAAATTCCCTTCTATTTATGGGTTATGGTGACAGGTGGCTACCACAAGTTTGAAATTTATCAGAGATGGAAGCTGACATTTTGTATTGTTTGAATTCATTCTAAATATCAGGCTAAAAAACCTCTCTGGAGCATATATGTTGCTTTAGAAACAGATATGCCTACTTATTTTCTTCCTTGTAACCTCTTCAATGTGAATATTTGCTTACTGCAAATATTGTTTACTGTGAAATGCTCCATAAGTGCCCAACTATTCCCAATTCAAGGAAATTTGAGTCTATTTAACTGCCCTAGAATTTCTCACCATTAGGAGGCAGTAGTTCACTTAGGTAACTTTAGACTCTGTACTTAATAATTGCTTGAACCCTCAGCCTTAATGTCTTGTGTGCTATTGAAAAAGCCAAGCTGGATGAGCCCAGTGATCCATCCTGTCCACCAAGCCTAACAGTGGCAAGCCAGCTCTTGAGTGCAAGAATTCTGCCTGCCCAAGCAGGAAGTAGCACATGGCCAAAAAAAGTACAAGCCACTGATAGTCTTCTCCTCTGTTAAATTGTTCATGAATTTGCCAATTCCTGTTAAAGTCATCCAAATCAGTGGTCATACTACTTCCTGGGACACATTCCATAGTTTTAAGGTTGTGCTATGTGAAGTACTTCCTTTTATCTGTTCTGAAACTTCCACCAATCACCTTCATGGGGCAACCTGGCATTCTAGGATGGGAGAGGGAGAAAAATGTATTTCCCTACACCATGCATCATTTTGAACACCTCTACCATGTCTTCCCTTACTTTCATTTTTCTAATCCCAAGTGTTGTAACCATTTCTCGGAGAGGAATTGCTCCAACCTCTTCATCATTTTAGTTATCCTTCTCTGCACTTTCCCAGCTCAGTAATGTCCTCTTTCAGGTGCAGTGACCAGAACTGTGCAAAATACTCACAGTGCAGTGACATCAATGATTTCTATAAGGGCAGTATGATCTTGGCCGTTATATATTCAATTCCTTTCCTAATTATGCCTAACAAGGAGATGGCCTTTTTCATAGCTACATAGTGGCTCAACATGTTCAAGCTGGCTGCCACACCCCTCTTGCTGCTCAGTAACTGCTAGCTCAGATTCCATCATCCTGTCCTTGAAGCTGGTGTCTTTTTGCCCTGTTGCATGCATTACTTTACACTTCCTTACAATGAACTACATTTGCTATTTTAATGCCTATCCTCTTAACTTCAAGAAATCCATTTTGAGCTCACAATATCCTTTTAACCACCCTAAATCGTTTGGTGTCATCAGCAAACTTAGCCACTTCAGTGCTTACTCCCACTGCTTGTTTAGATGGTAAATGGAAATTGCTGTAAAAAACTGGTAGCCAGCCCTGTTGCTCTTGTAGGTTTTTGCCCATTTTATTGAATGATGCCCAGGACTTCTGCCCCATTCCCCAAGTCCTGCCCTCAGTACATCACAGCTTGTAGGGATGTGTGGGTCATATTAAAAATGTCTTACTGTCCAACAATGCTATAATGAAAGGTATCAAAAGTAGGATAGGAAGCAGCAGCTGAGTACTCTTCCATTGCTCCTGGATGCTGCTCCAGTGACAGCCTCCTTTCCTATTATCTATCAGTTGTAGTTACTTGTGATTTCAAAGGAAAGGGAAGCAGCAGCCCTTCCACTGAGTCCATGAGCTGCTGAACTCTGCAACTAAGAATTTAGTGCCTGAATTTGTTTTCTTTCATCTTCCCTTCCAATGCGCTTTTGTATCATGTCTTTTAGATTGTAAACTGTCTGCCTTAATTTTGTAGGCTTCTTTCGGAGGCCTTTTTGACTAAGGGGCAGGATAAATATGCCATCAATAAATAAAGTAATAAGGAATGAACATGAAGATGCTTGACATGTTTTAGCCATAGTGAAATCAACAGGACTTGAGACAGTCATGTCACAAGAGTAAAGATGCTGAAACCACAAGTAATTGTCATTGTAGAAAAATATACATTTGACGCAGAATTCTGCCGTTATTGGAACAACAATCTTTGGCTGGTTAAATATGTATCTATGTAAAGAAGCCCACTACATTTCCATAAAACATGAGAGAGTTACAACACAGAATACAGAATATCTGACTTCAGATTACAAGTCTGTGAAGCCCAATTGGGCAGTGGTTTAACTTTTGCATTGGTGGCCCACATTTAATTCTTGTATCCATCCAAGTTCTAAGGAAATGGATCTGGCATCTATAAATAGCACTGTATTCTAAAAGAAAATAGCAGGAGGATTACAAAACACTTCACACTTCTGAGGTGCAAAGAAGGTGACAGTAATGATACCCATCATCCTGGATAGGTGCCACAGAATATTTTTTGCAATATATAGATGCTTACCTATTTCTAGCCTACCTATACTGAAACCATGAAGCAGGTAACTGCAGTTCTATCAAATCAGCATGCATCCACCCCTCCATGATGATGGTTTATAACTGTATGTCTACTGCCAGGAGAGTAATTTCCAAACTGGAAATGTCTAAGGGGCAGCATTTATTATATTTTTATAGTGTCCTTCCTCCAAGAAGCTCAAAGTGACATTTAAGGTTCTCAATACCAGAACAAACTTGTAGGATAAGAGCGGGAGAGAGGCTGGTCCAAGATTGCCAATATGCCAAGCTGACTGGGGCTTGCTGCGAATTGTAGGGTCCTTTTCCTGTCCAGACAGGCATAGGAATGGCACCTTAAAGGGCTCCCCATAACCATGGGTTATTTTGCTACCTTCATACACAAGTTATTTTCATGTTAATGTCAAAGTCTGTCATTTTAATGTCAAAGTCAAATTCCACCTGTTCCTGGTTATAAAGTATGAATTGTTTTCTAATCACCCTACTTTATTATTGTAATGGGAAGTATTTTCTATGCAGCAATTTCATGATTATTTATTTATCACTATTTTGAAAGCCATGTGGCATGTATTTTTATGTTTTGAAAGACTGAAATGAATTCCCCTGTACATCCATTACTCTTTTAAAGATTAACTTGTTGCACTTGTTGCAAAAGTTTATGCCACAATAAATTAGCTCATTAACAAAAGTTGCAATCCTATCACATTTAAACAAGTGGGTAAGGTCTAACAATGGCTGGTTAGAAGGAAGCTGGGAGAGAGAGCCCTTTTTTCTGCCTAAACCTGTAGACTACAAAGTCAATTAAAATAAAGTATATAGATTAGTACAGAGGTAGGCAATTTATAGACCTCGAGAAGCATCGTCTGAGAACTCTCATTACCTGGCTATGGTTGATGGGAGTTGTAGGCCAAAAATCTAGGGTTGCATATCTCGGAAATATTTACTTGTTTGTTCTTTTCGAAGATGTCACAATACCGTTCGGGACCTGTTGGAATTGTAGGTCATTCTATCTAAACCTGCAGAGATATCGCTCCCTGATGGTGTTTCTACGGTGCCCGAGAACAAAGAACAGTAATGGGTGGCACATTCGAAGGACCTGGTTTAAACCAGGGACGATAAATAATATGAAGTTTTAAAATCCCTCACGCTCTCGCCTCACGGAATTTTTCCCAGCTGACAACGCACGGAAAGCAGGCCACGGCCCTTTAAACCTTCTGCTCTCCCGCCTCCCATTTCACCCAATGAGCGCCAGACTTCTTTGGAGTGGCGGCCGCCCCTCCCAATAACCTGTGCGGAAAACGGAGGACCCGCCTGCCCGCAGGCGTCACGCGCCTTTCTTTTTCTCTTTCTGTTCCCCACCCCAGTCAAACCTTCCTCGCCCCTTGCCAGCTCGGGCGAGTCGCTCCGCCGCTACTGGCCTTTTGGATGAGTGGCGGTTTCGAAGGCCAATCGGCTTCCCGGGCTGCCCGAGCGCCCGGCCTGAGGGAGCCGCCGGCGCGTCGCCGCAACGGCGTTCCGGGCTGAGGCGAACCGTTGCTCGTGCTCCTCGCGTCCGCGGCACCATGTTCCAGGGCCCCGAGAGCGACGCGGCGAAACCCAGCTCCAGGTAACGCAGTCCGTCGGCGGGAGCGCTCCCGTTGCGAGGGCTGGGACGAGGCGCCGGACTCCTGGGTCCCTCGCCTGGCTTCCCGCCCTTGCGCTGGAGGGACTGGCTCCTCGTGGGCAAAGCCGCCGGCGCCCCGGTGCCGCGCCGCACGGCGGGGAAAGCGGGGAAAGCGGCGGCTGGAGTGTGTGCCTGCTTCGCAAATCAGTGTTCGCTGCAGCGGCGTGTTTCTCACGAAGGCTCGCTCCGCTTCGAGACGGGGGGCCTGCGTACAGGGCCAGTCCGGGCCGGGGCCTTCTCCGTCCCGCGGAACGAGCCTTTCCCGTAGCGTGGCGGCAGCGGTTCTGTGTGGGCTGGCGTGGGAGTAAGCCCGGTGAACCTCAGCCAAAATGTATGGCCGTAGCACTCATCTTACTCTTTTTATACCTTGTTCGACCTTTTTCAACAGGAAGAACGGTTAAGGGTGCTGTCCTGTTAGTTTAGACAAGAAAGCTCAGACTGGCTGGGGATTGTACGGCTTGTTCTCCTATCCAGCATGTATGGGATTGCACCTTAAGTGACTAGCAGAAGTAATGTAGAATACACATAATTCAGCAGGCGAACAACACTACTTTGCAATTGATTCCGTATGGTGAAATGCCTGAGGAACTATGTCGAGGCAAAGGTAATCCCACGTAGTATCTTGACAAGTATTTATAAATTACAGGACTTTTGCCTGAGCAAAAGGAGGCAGCAGAGTTGCCTGGCATTATCCTTGTGGTTGGAATAGTTTCTGTATGATGGAGGATTCTTCCTTCCTCTTCTCAGGTCTGACTATGCTAGGTAGGTAGAGTGAGTTGGCTCATGACAGCCTTCCCTCCAAGCTGGTATCTGGTGTATCATATTGGTGCAATTGGTTCAAGTTATGGCGGACATGTGGAACAATTGCATGAAGTTACATATCCACAGATTGTTTGCTGCCAGTCCCTTGCTGTAGATTGTTTAACTTCAACTGATAGCTAAGATAAAGACTGAGAGAGGGGGTAGGTGTGCTTAATTTTTCTTCCTGTAACTGGAGACTATTGTAGCTTTTCTGTTATGGGAAGAAGACTTAACATCTTCTAGGGATGTGCCCCTAGATGTTAAGATCCTATTAACAACTGCCTTGGATAGACTTCTTAGTCCTTAGCTTCTTTGGAGCTCTTTTTCTGAGGGGTTTAGTAGTTCATGTCTTGCAATACTCCAGAACAGATTTTTGCTCTTGTTGACAGATTATATGCCTCTGCATATGTGGGTTTACCAGGCAGGGTCTCCAGTGTTAAAAAGCAGGGCTCCCTTTGACCTGTTCCAGTGTTTCTTTTTTTAGAAATGAAATGGTGGAAATGCTCAGTAAATTTCCATGGGGACGGCCTTCCAAAATATGTGTTGCCACTGAGAAGCCCTATGCCTTGTGTTTGTTTAACAGTTAAAGATAAAGCTGGAACAAGATTACAGTTATGTGTTCTAATTGTTAGAAACAGGACATTGTTTGGCTGCTCTATTTTGGGCTAGTGGATACTTGAACTTTTTAAAAGGTACCCCTCTGCAGAGCATTACAGTAGTCTACTTTGGGCATAATGTATGGCTTATGGATGTCAGATGCATCCTGTCCAGGAAAGTCTGAAACATTAAAAAGTGCACCTGGGGAAAAGCCCTGGAGTACCTCCCCCCCACACACACAGCTGTATATCTGCTAATTCAAAGGTAAATTCTTTCCCTGTTTGAGGAGAACAAATGCATGTACTCCAAACACTAGAATAACTGAACAGGAATGCACTTGTCTTTAAATCAGGGGTCTCAAACTCGTGGCCCATGGGCCAATTGCCTGGACAGGCGGGGCACGGGAGAGGGGCCCTGTGGCCTTCAAAGCGCTGGCAGCGCCCGGGCCGGCCTCCGGATGAGCGGCCCACCACCACCGCGGTGGTGGAATACTTGATGCGGCCCAGCCTCACCCAGACTCTACTTCCAGCGGCCCCCAGGTAAATTGAGTTTGAGACCCCTGCTTTAAATGGTCTGGGACAGTTTCAAGCTAGTCCAGTCCCATCTATTGCTGAAGATGGTAAAGAGCAACAGAGATCTGTTTGGGTTTTTTTGTCATTAGCAGATGACTCTTCAACCCAAACTTCCTGAGGAATTCACAATTCACTCAGCAACTCCATACTTTTCAATAACTGCATGAGAAACTTTGCTGTTCCACCTTATGGCCCATGTGGTGGTACAGACTCCCAGTATTACTTCTCTAAAAATGAACAGAGCCATTTTAAAACAGTGGTCTATAAAAATATCCTTGGTAGCTGATCCAGAAAGATACCATAGTCTAAATTCGACTTTGTCCATGGGGTTTCACCACAGTCTTTTGCAGGAGCAAAGAAACCACATTTCCTCAAGGAATTTTGAATGTGTGTGTGTCAAATGTTGTCACACAGACTACGTTGTTGAGATGACTAGTGGTGCTCAAATGTTCTGGACAACATTCATGCAAAGCGTGCAGTGAAAATCCTCTCTGTGTGTACCGTGTCTGTCTTAAGCCAGGCACTCTCATGCCAGTGGTGCAGTACAAGTATATGCTGGAACTGTGCCTGCATGCTTGCTTCAGTGATCTCAGTTCTGAATTGGTCAGCTCTTCAGTCAAGTGGTGTGTGGGTGTGGGTGTGGGAGAGAGAGAGAGTGCGAACAATCTAGCAAATAGGAGGAATTGCCTTCATTATTTATCTCGGTGTTAAAGACAATATAATTTTTGTCTCTAATGTCTAGAGTCTTAATATCTGTTTACAGTAAATGTACAGGAAAGGGTGAATGATCGAGAACAAATATCTAGAGAAGATCTAGTTTCTGTTGCCTACATTAGCCTCTCCTCAACTGATCCTTATCAGTTAAATGAAGTAATTTTAAATTCTTAATGTTTTTATCTATTGTATTTTATTGCTTTTATACTTCATTGTAAAGCTGCCCAGAGCATTTTAGCTCTAGGCGGTATAGAAACGAAATAATAATAATAATAATAATAATAATAATAATAATAATAATAGCAACAACAACCTGTCAAAAATAGATGCTTGTTAACAGGAGTTATTTAGAATAGAAGAATGAAGTGTCATTCTTCAAATAATAATATTTGAAGTAAATTAAATATATAAATATTGTACTGATCATGTTATTTTCATACCCAAACCTTAGGAACCTGGTTTCTGAGATTTTCTGTTAAGTGTAAAAGGTTTGTTTTAGAGGCAGCGATTAAAAGTTGTATAGTTAAGGAAACATTCCCTAACAGTGATGCCTAATTGGGAAGTTTATTTAAAACTCTGGCAGTGTATGCCATAGATACAAAGTTATCTTAATGAAAGACATAGGTGGGATAACCTACATGATTCTAGTCACATGTAATGAAACTGATCATGACTTTGAACATCTATAATTGTCTGTCATCAAAATATGCATTAGATCATTTATTTTTACTAAGGAGTAAATTTTACATGCTAATCTTTTAAGAAAAGTTTTTCTTTTTCACTGTATTAGTAATCATTTAGGAGAAGTAAAAGCTGAATAGAAGTACATCAATACCCTGTGGTTCACATTTTATTCTTCATTCAAAATGAAAATATTTAATCTATAACAGCTTGATTTTTTTCTAATATTTTGGAATAGGGCCAAAAAAGTTCATCGGGGAAACAATATTTTTCTGGTTCTCCTCCCCACAGGCCTTCACATCTCTATTTCCACCTTCAAAAATAAGTGATTCTTTCTTCCGTTCCAGTCCTTTTGGATGGACTGGATCATTCCATGGAGGGTGCAAGGCTAAAAGAAATGCCTTGTCTGTTTATATTGCTCATTCCTGCTGTAGGATTTAAACCAGGGGACCCTAACCCTGGGGCTGCAGACCGGTACCAGTCCTTGGCCTGTTACCAACGATCCGTACAGCAGGAGGTCAGCAGTGGGCAGGTGGGCAGAACTTCCTCTGTAGGCGTAGTCTCCACAATTCCCCTCCTCCTCTCACTCACGGGCTGCCATGGCGCCAAGGCTCAAACGAAGAAGGTGGGATATCAAAAGTCCTCTGACCCACCAAATCCAATCTTTTTCAAATGGGCTAAAGCTCCTCTGACAGATTATTTGTTTCTCCAGTGGGATGACATTGCGAGCTGCCCCATAACCAATAGTATCCAATAGCACATGTAGATTGTGGCTCGGTCATGGGGCAGGTGCTCCAGTAAAAAATGGTGGAACAACTGAGCCTTAGACCAATGGGAGCAGTGGATTGAGATGAGGGGGGTGGGGTGGGCCTATCCATTTTTTTCTGGTTTTTCCGATGAGAACACAAACCCTACTGCAGACTGCACATGCGAGAGACCTAGGTTGTGCGCTGCTTAAGAGAATCCAGTGCCTGATGATCTGAGGCGGAGCTGAGACTGTGAGCTGCATAATTATTTCATTATATATTGCAATGTAATAATAATAGGAATGAAGTGCACAGTAAATGTAATGTGCTTGAATTGTCCTAAAATTCTCCTCCCCTCAGTCCATGGAAAAATTATCTTCCATGAAACTAGTCCCTGGTGCCAAAAAGGTTGGGGACCACTGATTGAAACAACGATGAGCAGAGTTGATGTCTGATTTGTCACTGATGTTCTATAAAACAGGGTACTGAAACCCCCTGGGGGAGCCTCCAGCAATCTCTTTGGAAGCCCAGAAGAAGTTTCTGCCTCTCTCAGGCCACACAGAATGGCATCTAACATATTTGGAGGGGCTGAAGAATCTCAGAACTTCCCAAAGAGAACAAACCCTCCAGGTGAGAAATACCCTATTCTTGAGGAACACTGTGGATAGGTGTGACTAGTTCGACACATAACAACATGTGTTTAGCTGTTACTGTTGTTCAGGATCTTTATATTTCACACGATTTCTGTTAGTTGGTAGGGCTACATCTAAATGTATTGTGGATTTCAGCCACCATTTTGTATAGAAAAGAAAATTGCCACTGTTTTTGAACTGATACAGTGCTATCTTGTTAAACTGCAGCCTTAAATGTCTGCTCATGAGAGGAATATAATGTTTGTCAATTTGTACAAGCTTTGTCCAGATTATTCCTTGCAAGTGTGGTTTGCCAGTAAAGAGTACTCTGGTAAGGAGCAGGCAGATAGCACAGCTTGCAAAATATTTAGATATGAATCCTGCACTTTGGTATTCTGGATATGCTTGTCTGTAGTGTGTGTTGCTGGATATTGTGATTGTGCTGCATTTTTCTGCCACTGTTTTATATTACTTTATAAATAGTTACATTATTAATTGTTAAACTGTTGACTTGTTGTAAACTTGTTGAATTCCTCAGATAGGTGGGATGTTTACATATATATGGTACTGTCTAGTTTGTTCAATACTAGTTTTTTAGGTTTTAAAGTGGCATTGGTCTTAATGTGAACATTGAGGTATGTCTGAGTCAGGTGGAGGAAGTATAAGCCTGTACTTGTATTCTCTTCATCATCTTTCTTTATTATGACCATAAGCAGTAAGGTAATCTTTCAATTATAGTTTCCAAACCACCTGACAATAAATGCTGGTTAGGCAGAAACAATTCCCAGTGTTTTGTCAGTGAGCACTTTTGCCAAAACATACTGTATTTGTGTTCTGGTCAAGTTCTAGAACAGCAAGATGAGCCACAATATTTCTAGGTGTATGTTCACTGACATCTTTGGAATAAATGGGTTCAAACAAATGCTCTTGTAAGTTATGTCGGCACTTGTTATAGCCTTGTGTGACATCTGAGAACCAAATGCAACAAATCTATCTGAAGTTGTTCAGTGTATGATAAATATTTCCCTGAACAGTAGTAAAGTGTGCATGAAGTGGAATACAGTAAATAAGAACTTATGGTCAAAACACAACATGATATTTCAAATTAAACAATTTGTTCCACCCCCCCCAGTCAAATCATTAACAATTCAATAAATACAGCATACATGCTATTAGATAGCAAAATTATTAGGATAACAAATCTTGTTCAAACCTTTCTGCTAGTGCTAGTTTTGTTTCACTTACAAGAGCCTCAGGAAGCTTAATTACAATTTAGATATCTTGGGGGCAGGTTTTTCTCACCTCAAATCTCTTGTAAGGCAGCCTGGCAAAAGCAAGGGGGGAAAAGGAGGGGCAAGAAGGACTTTCAGCCTTCCAAGTCATTTAACTGCTGCTGCTGGTCTTTAGGCACATTAGATCCCCTGCTTGATTGCTAATCTTTTAGGACAAAAGACATTCCAAGAGAAAACAGTAAATCTGAATCCATTTCACAACAAATTTAATGTTGATAATAGGCTTTCTTGGAGCTTCACAAAAACTTCCTTGGAGATTATGGGGAAAAAGGATCAGTTCCTTGTGAAGATTACTATTCTCTTTCAGGTGGAAAGGAGAGTGGCATTTTTGAGGGCAATAAGCCTAACCCTTCCCGTCAACTTACAAATCCACCTGGTGGAAAAACCAGCAATATCTTTGGATCTCCGCAGCCTGCCAGCACTACTAAAGCACATCCAAATAAGCCAAAGGTACTTACTGCTTTCACTCACTACTTTCAGTTTAAAAAAAAAAGGTCACAAGGAAGTTCAGATTGCTGCAGGAAAATTAATATAAAATGAAGCAACTATACATTTATCTTGGTTAGTGAAGTTGCTGAATTTGGAATTCCTGGGTACAGTCTTAGAAGTTCCTGGTACAATAAAAATAGCCTTCTTTTTGCTGCAGCATGTTGAGTTAAAATTACACCGCTGTGTATTGAAGAAATGTACTACAGTAAGTGATGGACATGGAGTCTAATCCCTTATAAGGAGCTGAAACCCTTCAGTTTCTCATATGGAGCTGAGTTGTCCCACATACACAGAAAGTGAAGAAATGCAAAGTACATGAGAGAAAAGCACCACCCTTAGCAGAAATTACCTGTCTTTCGTGCTTGAAAGTAAATCCAGAATAGCTTGTGCGTGTGTTTTAAAAAGGCAATTCATTCTTAGAAAGCTTTAAAATTGCTCTTTCTCCCTCCTTCCCTCCATTCCCCCACCACCCCCAGGATCATTCCAATATCTTGTTTGACAGAGGAGATTCACCACAGGAACCAAGATCAAAAGGTGAGCTTTGTAGTAAGCAGAGAAGTTCTAAAAGAAGGAATTTATATCTATATTGAAGGCTTTTAGGATACAGCCCTACTGGGTTGCTGCCTGGTAAGAGGAAACCTCTCATCCCAGAGGTTTCTGACTGTCCTGTGACCTGCAACACTTCTACTGGCAAGGCAGGAGGATCAACATAGGTATCCTATCATTTTAGCTTTACTTCTACATTTCCCACTAGGCAGGACCTTTAAGGCCATTTGGGGAAGTTGAGACTGAGGCTGGTGCTGGAAAGGCCAGAGGACAGGGGTGGCCAGACTTGTTCAACAGAAGAGCTACACATGGAAATGTCAGCTGTTTGAGAGCTGCAAGTGGGTGCTCATGGGTGGCGGCAGGAGGTGGTGAGTGGCAAGCAGGTACCCATGGGCAGTGGGCCGGGAGCTGCAAAATAATTTCAAAGAACCAAATGCAGCTCCTGAGCCTTGGTTTGGCCACCTCTGCCATAGGATTTTGTGTATCTTTCCCCTGACTCTTCCACTCCCAGCACAATGCAGAACATCTTTTACTGCAGAGATTACAAGCCCACAGAGCTTGTGTTTCTCATTCAGTTAGTCCTAACATCATCATAGTCATTGATTTTCTCCCTTGTTTCTTCTTCCCCGTTTTCCAGCATACAGATTTGTTTCTTTAAAGTCACAGAAAAGCCAGTTCTGAAACTTCATACTGGTTTTCTTCTTCATTTAATGTTTACTGAAATATATTAATTGTGTATATTAAATGAAAATATTCTGAACACTTTAATTTACAATATGGAAATGTAATTCTTTTTGTGGCCCTCAGGTTCCATGTTGAAGTCCTCACATGGTCCTTGAGGTACAAAAAGTTGGACTGCCCTGTGCTAAGACATGCATTCTACTGTGTTGTCACGGACTAAACAATAACTTTCCTTGCTTTCTCTTTTGAGGAAGGAATAGATAAGATAGACAGTTGGGTATCCTATAGCTAAGATTGTTTAAGTTGTAGCAATATGAACAATGAGATATATGGTGAGGGGGATATAAGATGCCAGTGTAGATGGAAAAGGACCAGTGTTATATGTTTATACCTGCCAGTCCCTGTTAACAACCTGGCAGCTCTATTCTGAACCAGTTGAAGTATCCTGACAGTCTTCAAGGGCGGCCACACACACAGCACATTACAGTAGTTCAGTTGGGAAGTTACCAGGGCGTGGGTCACTGCTGCCCGGCACTGCCCAAAAATAGGGCAAATAGGGCTGCAGTTGATGGAACAGCCGAAGCTGAAGGAAAGTGCTCTTCACCACGGCCTCCACCTGGGATTCCAGGGACAGCTCCGGATCGAAGAGCACTCCCAAACTGCGCACCCTATCCTTTAGGGGGACTGCAACCCCATCCAGAACAGGGTTAGAAACACCTAACCGGGAGGCTAAACTGCCTACCAGCAGGACCTCCATCTTGTCTGGTAGGTATCTATGGCACCTATTCCTGAGTCCCAGGTGCAAACTTTGCACTTACTCACATTGAACACCATCCTGTTGTCCCCCACCCACTCCCTCAGTCTGTCTAGATTCTTTTGGATCTAGAGTGCTTGCTTCTCAGTTGTGGCCATTGCCTCCACTTTGGTATTGTCTGCAAATTGGGTCAGCAGACTCCTCCAGGCCATTGATGAAGAGGTTGAACAGAACTGTTCCCACAACTGAGCCCTGGGGAACTCCCCTTGTCACCGGCTGCCATCCTGATGATTCCCTGCTGATAGTCACGATTCCCTGCTGAATGGGTCTTCTCATACCTACTAAAAGGCCTTTTTGTCCTGGTTGCTTGATTTAGAGTTCTTGTATTTAGAAATAAGTTGATACATGTGTTCAGTGCCATCTGCATGACCTACCATGCCTCTTGAAAAGTTTCTTTTTCAGAAGTATTATTGGAACCATGAGTTTGGGCAGGGGCACTACACAATGCTTGTCCAGCCTGTGTGGGTTTGTTTTTGTTTGTTTGTTTTTGTTTTTGTAATGGGCTGTGCTTCATTTGCATGAAACAGTCCATTCACTGGGGGCCAGGCACCAAATTCAGTCAGTAGGATGTTTAGGGCTGGCAAGTGAAATATGCTATAAACATACTTGTAGTTAGACTGGTTGAACAAAATAATGGTTACCTAACGACATGCCATCTTATGTAGCTACAGAAGACCAAAAACCACGGATGGAAGGCATGAGTGAAAAAGGAGAGCTACAGAAGGAAAATGAAAATAGAGCCCTTCCGAAGGAGAGTACCAAAGAGCCTGAACCCAAGGTGGATGATCATGAGCCAAGGCTGGGACCACGACCACGGTCACACAACAAAGTGCTCAACCCCCCCGGAGGCAAATCCAGCATTGCATTTTATTAAGAAAAGCTGTTTCTCTTTTTCTTTAATGGAGTCAGCAAAGAAACATTTCCCATTTTCAAGGTCAATTAAAGGGCTAGCCTTCTTGTGCTGGGAGGAGGAGGCACTTAGTGGTTTGGTTTATTCAGTATGTGGCAGAAGTCAACTTGAGCATCTGTATTTTATTTTTTTTTAAAATGCAGATCAGATTCCTGAGAGAATCCTTTCAGCCCTACACTTCTGCTGCTTTCTGAAAATATGGGCAGTAGCACACATTCCTGCTGAAGGCAGAATATTGCTTTCTTGATGTTCAGATTATGTAATACAGCTTTCTGCAGACATTAGCTTCGTTTGATAGGAACAGAGGCCGGCCTAAACTTTTGACTGAAGGTCTGTCTGGACTGTGAACTAGAGTTCTCTCTCTGTCTGGTTGTACAGAATAGTATGGAAGGAAAACCTTACCAAGCAAGTGTATCGTAAGAGGAATTGTATTTGAAAGAATCAAATTTTCTTGTACAGTCTCAGAAGCCTTAACCTTGTAGTTTTCCCTATGTTTGTTTCTGGTTTGTTAAAAAAGTTGCAAACTTGAATGGAGAAGAAATTTGCAGTCATGTGTGGCACAGAATAATCTATTGTAGCATCTCTGCCCAAACCACTTTTTGTATAGTTAGGCCTTGAATACTGTCCTTGGGGGTGGTTAAGAAGTTAGTGCTTTACACCATCATTAGCCTCCAAACAGAAGCTGTACTGGTGCTTGAAGGTTCTAACTTCCATTGTGCTCTTAACTGCCTCTGTCCTACAAAAATGTCCAGTTTTGTGTAATTCTCTGCTGACTCTGTTAGTCCATTTACATTCCCTCCTTTTTGGCCTTTGTTTGCCTTTGGTCACTTCTGCCTATCTTCTGGAAGTGGAATTGTCAGGTCCTTTTCACCCACACTCCACTAGGCAGCACCTTTACCTTGAACTACACTGGGTCAAGTTGCAGCTGCTGGGCTGCCCACCATCTTCTAGCCCACTTTTGTTCTCCCACCTTCATCATAGAAGATTTAGAATCCCGTCTCTGATAGGTAGGAGAGGGGAAGGGGGAAATGGTGTAGGAACTACAGCCCTGCTTATTTACACCTCAAGGTTCAGGTAACATATTCAGACAAGGACCTGTGGATCAAATTGGAAGGCATAGTTTACCCCATCTGATTGTAGCTATACATTGTAGCTGCCTTAAGATTGTGTGTGTGTGTGTGTGTCCCTGTTTCTTCTCTCCAATTGCAGATGGTTCCAGGATTTTTGCAATGCAATTCTTGTGGTGCACACACTATTTAGATTTGTTTGCAATAATTTTGTCATTTCCTGTAATTACACTGTTGGTTTAGGATGGAAGAGACAAAAGATACAGTTCTTAGGATGGATTTTTCATGAACTGTATTGTAGGGTTCATTATTTGTCAACATCAGGTGCTTAGACTGCAGTGGCTTGCCTCTTAACTCCATTATATGTGGGAATTCATCAGGCACACCAAAGACCTAGTGGCCTTCCTTACAGCAAAAAATTCAAGGGTGTTGCAATCTTGGTCCTGGAAAGCAAGCTCTGTGCCCAGTATTAAACTTAAAGAGTTCTATCCAACGTTAGGTGAATGGGCGCCTTTTAGACCAAAATGTACCTTCTGTTGGAGGGGGCTTAATTCTTCATTGCCAACTTTTTAACAATCTTGGCTTATAAGTGCCCCCCCACAACTGCCATGAGCCAGTGAATGTTTGGATATGAACGCTTGAGTCTTAGGAGGAGTTGATTTTAAATGGAAAAAGATGGACAGTTCGCCAAAGTTTGTTTCTCAAACTATTTGCATTGTGTTTTTGGATGTCTTTCCTGCTAAGGTATCAAGCTTGAACTATCTGGGATTGATGTAGTAAAAGGTGCATTTTCACCAGTGCCTGTTCTGGATAGCATTTTCCAGCTAAGCCTTAAATTATCACTGATTTAACTACTTGTGTGCCATTTTCCCCATGGAGTACTGTAGCTATCCAGAAACGTAAGGTTAGTTTTTATTCTTTCTAAATGGTGGTTGACAACCCCAAAATTTCAAATCATGTATTGTTCAATGAACAGCTGTGTTTTGATAGTTCATTATGGTGTAATTGATCGATCCTTAAGGCTCTGACTTAAAATGGTGCCCTGCTATGGTCCCATTAATTTTCATCCACTGATACTGGGAACATGCAATATCCAAATTTTCATTTAAAAAGAAGACAACCTTGTGGTGGGCCATCTATGTACATGGTACTTGACTGAGTAATTTGAAACAAAAATGACAAGGCTCCTGTCCACAGAAGTTTGTAATTAAATTCTGGATGAATGTAACTGTTTCTAGGCTGACAATGTAAGTTGAATACTGTGTGAAAGGGAACAATTGCCACTTTATTCTGGAGTAACATATTCAAATGATTGTATATGCAATGGAGTCCCTTAATAAGCTTTTCTAGAGAGAAGTTACAACGGTTGCTTTATAGCCTAAATTTATTGAGGGGCACATCTCTTCCTTCAAACTCCTCCTCAACCTATTCTTTAGTTCAACCCCTAGATGCTATTCTTTCCCTATAAACCCTACATATATTTCCTTAGCCTTTGTTTGTGTCACTGTGGCAGATTTTTGATTATAAACTTGTTGGGCAAGGGACTTGTACTCTGTAAAGTGCTGTCTACTTCGACACCAGGTAAATAATAAATCTCATAAATGGTTTTCCATGCTATATTGCATGAGTTTTGATTCATATAAGCTTTCACTGCTGAAAGAAAGAAGCAAGGTCAATAAATCAGTTTATTTGTGTTATCCTCCAAAGTCCATGAACTATACTACATTGACTTCAAATTCTTCCCACAGCTTTGAACAGATGTAGTATGAACAGTGCCTTTTCTCCGGATTTACAATCGATACAGGGAAGCAAACAGGAAGACCTTTCTCTCTGTTCTAGTTCTTACTATCTCCTATACGGGATGTTTTTGTTCTAGTGAAATGCCTTTTAAGGTTGACTTTGTATCATTTATTCGGAAAGAAGAGTTCACTTTATCAGATTCACCTCTATACCATCTGTTCTGTTCTCACATTAGTTGAAAAATAATAGCTGCCCTTCAAGACAATTGTCTAGTCGTCTGCAGATCTTTACTGATCTGATCCATCAAACGGATTAAATGATAACCTTTTGTCTTGCCCCATATTTAAAATTGAACAGTGTTGCCATTATAGTAATCATCCTGTGCCCTTCAGTGTTAGTCATGGTCAATTGACAACTGAAGAAACTTAAATAATAAAATGTTGTAAGACATAGTTGGTCCTCTTTTTGTTCTACAAACTGAAGTAGAAAGTAAAAGCAACTATTTTCAGCATTCTGTTAATTTTGTTTCAAAGTGGAATAGAAGTACTTGTTGATGTACTAGGTGTAATGGATGTGTTGAAGCAAGGAGAAACAACTGGAAATAGTTCTGAATAGAGTTGCATTTCAGTCAGGCATAGTTCCCTCTACATTCAGTAAGCTTTAACCCCAAACAATTAAGTCTGGGATGTCAGTCTCAGTCCCAGTCAAGTTTCTTCCAAGCTTTTATGAATTCAGGTGATAACACACTGACTAATCTATCCATCTATAACTCAGAAACATGGTCCTGTAATTTTGAGTGATACATTTTCCCTGATCATATTACTAAATTCCACCACCACAAAGGCTACATGGTACTTGTAAGAGCTACTGCTTCCCCTGCTACTGGAGTATGTTTGTGTCATATTAAATTTGCACGGCATGATCTCCAGTTTTCGTAAGATAAACACTTTGAAGCACAGAGCTGACGGCAAACTTGCAACTGGATCAAATTATGCAGTTCTGATCCAATACAACCAATGCAACAGAGCTGTGCTTGACTTATTCCAAGAGTGTTCAACGGTATTTAGGGTAGGAGATGCGAGTATTCCGTAACAGCCTTGCTAGATCGCTTCAAAGTGTACTACTTTCAAAAATGTCCTTCACTGTTTGTGTCAAAATGCATTATTTGTAGGAAATACGCCTCACCTGCAGCTGTCGGTAGTCAACACTGTAATCATGCACGCCTGTCTTTCAAAAAGCTCCAGCACAGTGAGGACTGCTGGCACCGTGACTGTTGCACTCAGTTCCTCACCCTTTGGTTGGATGAGTGAAGGAAATGGTGAAGAAAACCTGGGGGTCACATTTTACTGTTGTCCAAAGCATTTAAAAAGGTCAGTCAAGTATTAAAAACAAGTTGAAAAAAGGGGTGCAAGAAAGGGTACGCAAATTCGTACAGTGATAGCATTCATAATTGTAGAAGACCGCACCTTAAAAAAGGTTCAGATGAGAAAATGTATGAGCTGTCCTGCCAATTTGCTAATCACCCTGAAACTATTATCGGGCTATTAATGGAACCAGGCTCTGTCGTGTCATCTCCATACTGTTCAATAAGATGCTAGTCTCACCTATTTCATCACACACCTTAGTCAAGATGTCAAGAGTAATGATTCTCAACACTCCAGAAATACAATTTGAGGGATAACTGTTCAGGATCATTAACTAAAACACACACTTGTATAATTCAATACAGTGGGATCTGGCAGATGGTGGATAGGTGGCTACTGTGCTGGTTGGTCTGAAGTAGCATGTCAAGGTTTTTAAACTCCTAAAAATAATAGCAATAAGCATCGTATAAATTAAGAAGAAATCATGGTCTGTCGTAAATTTGTACTTGCATACAGAGGTCATCCCACCTGCTCACAGGGTATAAGCTGCAATTGTCCTTGCCACCTTTTACAGCTGGGTTGCAACAGTGAACCTTAAATAAAACCCAAGGAAATCCTACAAGCCTAAAGTAAATCCACTCAAAATTTACAGGATTTCACACACAAAGCAGGTTGTCTTTGGTGATGAAAAAAGCAGGGAGGGCCCTTGGTGGAGCCGATTCCACGTGAAAAGTTTAAGTCTGCTCCCATGCAGGGTTTGACTTAGGCTTCCTGTTGGTTTGTCATTCCTCCCTTCTGAAGTCTTGAAAAGTGAGGCTGCATATAAATTCAGGCATGGGCTGGGAGTCACAATTCCAGAGAGCTTTCATAACTGTCCAGGAAAGGATAAGTCCCTACTTCTCTTCACTAGAATCCCCAGGATGTGGCAAGGGCTTGGGAGGAGGAGGGTAGCTGATGACTAGCAATAGCTAGCTGTTGCACCTAATCAAAAGTTGGAGACCCTCTGATTATAAAATATTTTTTTCTTAAGAACTGGTCTGCTTATTGTAAGATTGCAGAGGTCAAGAGCAATTAATTGTGCGTTTAAGAATCTGACATTGCAGTATAGCATTTAGTGCATACAAAATGGATTTGTTAAGCATTTCCCCCCCCACAAAGAATTAGAAAAGACTATTTTGAAGACTTTGAGAACCAGTATAATCCAAGCAATTGTGTGAGTTTAAAGCACAAAGGCTTCCCTTTTCCCTTTCCCTAGTTACAAGCTAGAAAGTATTAGTGCCATGCTGCGTACTTTTTGGAAAGACTAGAAAACACTTCCACTGTGTAAAGTGCTACAGAAATTAATACTGCCATGGTACATGCACAGAGGTTTTAAACTTCAACCACTAGTACAGCAAGAGCTTAGTGGTAGGTAAGACAGTAATATTTTATTTCCAGCAACATACTGTGGCTGGAAAGTCCACACATGTGGACAATTGCAAACGGTGAGGCACACACTCATGTCATTCAGTTGGAGAAGGTAAGGCCGACACCAATGGAACTAAATTTACATCGTTGTGCTTCTCTGGTGTGAAAGCATATCAAATGCTGAACAGTCATTAAATACAGCTTTGCAAGCAATCTTTGGTGTGCAACACAGACAACCTCCATCACTCGTGGCATTATTTTCACATGGAGTATATAAATGTTTCCTCAAATGGGCATTGCTTCTCTACCAACTTATTGCAAGAAGGTCTGGGACTGATGCCAGTAGGTTTTCCTCCTACACATGCTGCCATTTGTTGCTGATGCACCACATTCAGGATCCAGAACAAGTCTGGCAAGACGTGATAGCATCAGGAAAGGTGTTTTATGTGGCTTGGGGAGAACTGACTCATATAGGTGGAGAAACTGTTTTCCATATTTGCTCAGTTTGTGTTTTTACTGTCTGCTGAGAATTTGCCCTAACAATGGTTGTGGTATTTTGCTGGTAAGGCAATCAGAATGGTAATGTGAAGCATCTCGCCTTCAAGTATATGCCTGCACAAGCAGCAAAGGTGATGTGTCTCGCTATCACTGCATGTACAGGCACATGCTAACAGCCAACGCAGCAGAACGTCCAGTCACGTTCTCCAAATGGCACCTTCCACACAAAAAAGTGGCAGGCATGGAGGAATCCCAGCATATGCAGAAATAATTGCACTTGGGGAAACAGTCAGAACCAACTCTGAACTTAGAAAAATGTTACGTGTAATGAAGAAACCTAAAAAAGGTTGTGCATGGAAACCTGAACCACATTGTAACCTTTTTATTGTAGGTCCCATTTGTTTTAATTGAAATCAAGTGTTGGCAAATGCTTGAGGTTGTTTGGTCTTTTCAAAACCGATCAGACGATGCTGCTATCCCAAGCGCCAGTCTGAGAGAACAGTTTCTCAAGTTCCCCAGTAGATAAAATTGGCTTGTGCTATACTTAGAATGGATGTCTACTATTCCTATGAGCACAAGTATTACTATAGCACCATTTATGCATATGACACTTTACAAAGAACAGGGCATTGCAATCTGAAATAGATACAGGGCAACAACAGAGGAAGGAAGAAAATATTTCTGTTACGTATAGTTTGTTGTCACTAAGCCCGACCTGAGGGGCCATGGGATGAAGGCAAGGCAAGTTTTTGTGGGAGTGTTGTGGCTGTACAGAAGCACTCCTTGGGACAGTTCCAGGCTCAATGGGCAGGATAGGAAATGGGGCAGTGATAGAATATATAAAAATGCAGATGTACACATTGAAATCCCATTGATGTGAGTAGAACCATCAGGTTGGTTTGAGTGTTGCTTCCCTGTGTGATTTGCAAGTGTTCACATGCAGACAGTTTCTACCTATGCAATGGAGTCAATAAGCTGGAAGGAAAACAGTCCTACATTAACCAACTGCATGACAGAAGGACTACTTCAACTATTTCAACAAAAACTACCTTCCTGTTAAGGCATTATTCCAAGACCAGAAAACCTAAAAACACCTTTAGGCTGCATTCCTATACACTTTCCTAAAAGCATACTTAAATTAAATGAACCAGACTTAAGCATGCCTAGAATTGTGCTGCTGAAGCAGTAGCTGCTTCCCTGACGTGGGCATTAAAGGCCTCCTTGGCAGGACTTTAATTTTTTTAAAATTTAAATTTAAAAAATTATTTTTTATTTTAATTTAATTTTTTGACAGACTGCAGGAATCTTCTGTAGTGTAATAAAATCGTGTTCCTACTGTAAGCCCAGCATACATGTGTAAAAGTGCCTTGAGAGGGATCTGTACATGTAAGTTTGGGCTTATATTCTTTAAATTCCCTTATTAAACACAGGCAATGTTTTAGAAGAAAGAAATCCACTGGCACTTTGGGTTCTACCACATAGCTCCTGGAGAAGCTTCTTAGTTGATGGATCCTTCGTCTTCCACCTCGTTGAGGAGTGGGGCTGCATCCACAGGCTGCCTGACCACTTGCTCCGTTGATGAGCGCTTCGTCAAGCGGTTCAGTGTTCCACCCTGGGCATTCATAAAAGCAGGAAATGAAACAAAACTGGAGTTATTTGAGGTGGTTGGACCTTTCTGCAAAGGCCACAGAATCCCACTGCCAGCAGGGTGTCAGCTGCCCAGAAGAGCAGTCAATCACAGTCCATCTGGCCTACCTGAGGAGGAGCCTACCTCCTTGTGGTAACTGCACCCACTGTCCTTGGTAAGAGGCCTCCAGGAGTGGGGCAGGGTGAGGGATGAGGGAGGCAAGGATAACAGCAAAACAAAGATGCAGGGGAGAGGAGAAGGTGTGGGTTTCCTTATGCTGCTGAACTGCCAGCATAGCCAATGCTGAGTGATAGTGAGAGAAGCAGTCCAAGAAAGGAGCTCCTGCGTGCATATATGCCCTCCTGCCCCCTGAGATTGGCGACAGAGGCCCTTCTCCGGGAGCCCTCCGTGAGGGATATTTGGAGGGTGAGTACCTGGAGGAGGGCCTTCTCTGCGGTGGCGCCCCACCTATGGAATGCGCTCCCCAGAGAGGTCTGCCTGGCGCCGAAAAACAAATAATGACGGCACTATTTGTTATTTGTTTTTCGGCGCCAGGCCAAGACCTTTTTATTTAAAAGTTATTTTAATTGTTAATTATTGATTGTATTTATTGGGGTTTTATGCTAGCGCCGAGATGTTTCCGGATTTTTAATGGCTAATTTGCAATTGTTTATTTATTTTGTAAGTCGCCCCGAGGCTTTTTGCAAATGGGGCGGCATAGAAATGGTCTAAATAAATAATAAAATAAATAGACAGACACCTGGTGAGTCACACATCCCCATCCCTGCTTTGCCATCACGCTCCCGTAACCTCATCGTCCTCGGCCATCCTACCAGCAAGAGAAGTTATAAGCCCCCTTACCGATAGATCAATCACAGAAAAAAGTATAAACCTTTAAGTGATGCAGCAACGGGGGAGAGGGGCTGAGGATTTGCCCCACTACCTACACACAGGAGCAGTAACAACTGTGGTAGGCTTGAGTCCTACCACAGTTGTTGATAAGGCTTTGACCTATCTTGAGTCAAAGACTGAATTCTATATTAAAACATCTGCCTTGCCTTGGCCTACAGCCCTTAGGCTTCCTCATGAAGAAACACTTTGGGAAGCGAAACCAATTCAAGCAACTCCTTTCCTCTTTCTAAACAGAAACTACCTTATTTTGAAAATGAAAAATACATTAATAAGTTTTAATATTGTTTCCTATGTTTTTAACTGCAGCCAGTGTGGGCCGGTAATTTATTTATGTTATATTTTATGTTACTTCATTTATGTAGGCCATCCTGAGGCTTTCGCAACAGGATGGCATATCAATATTTTAAATAAATAAATATTAAATAAATGGCAGAATTAAGTTCATGTGGGGCAGTTGCTCCAAAGAACAATTCTTACCTGCTTCTTATCCACTATGTTGAGGCTGACAGAAGCAAAAATGCAAGCGACTGTGTTTGCCAGCATGAAGATCATCATCTGCTGCCAGCGCCATAAAGGAATCTTTAATTCACTGGTAAAGTCAAGGAATAATTATACAGCAAGACAGAGAACGGGCAAAAATTTACATCCTCTCATACAGCATGCACATAATGATATGGCAATATGGGTTATATAACCATGCCCTAAACTGGGTCCTGAGATTTAGGTTCTGGGTATTGGCAACACTTTCCCATGAAGGGTTCAAAATTTCCCTATTCCAGTAGTCCTGAACCATTACCATGTGACCTGCTTTGTTTAATTTGAATATCTGCAAACCCCTTTCCCCCAATTCCAAGCAGATGTGACTTCACAGCCAAGTCATTAGTTTGCTTGGACTTTTTTAGTACAGTGGTACCTTGGCTCATGAACTCAATCCGTTCCACAACTCTGGTCACGGCCCAAACTGGTCGTGAGCCAAGTCAAATTTCCTCTTAAGGTTCAATGTAAATAAGGTTAATCTGTTCTGTAACTAATTTTTTAATCACAGGGAAGACAGCAGGATTATGGGCGCGCTTGGGGGGGAGACGGGCGCGATCACGGCCATCTCCCCCCTCAAGCACGATCACGGCCATCTCCCCCCTCAAGCACGATCACGGCCATCTCCCCCCACCCGAGCATGACCACGATCGCGCCCGTGCAGGGAAGTGGGGCGATTGCGACCTGAGGAAATTTTTTTTCTAAAATTTCTGTTCATGACCCGATTTGGTCGTGAACTGAGGCGTTCGTGAGCCGAGGTAACACCGTAATTATTTGGTTAGCTTAATACAGGCATTCTAATACAGTTTTGGAACTTTCTTATTTACTGGCACAGCTGTTGACAGTGTAGCAGAAGGAAGGAAGCTACTCTTACCTGGACTTTGTTCCCAGAATCTGTCCCACAATCACATTGGAGACACCAATTCCAATCATCTGTACGGATGTTGCAAGACCCATGGCTGTTCCCAAGGTTGCCTGTGGGACCACGAGGGGGATAGAGGGCCACATACTAGCCTGACAGAAAGTGGTAGAAACAGAAATCACACCCTGTGTGACAGCAGTTAGTTTTCATCAAGTATGAACAGCCAAGCTGCAAGATGTTTTGATAGGATTAGTCTGAGCCATAAAATAGCTGATACAAAGCATGCCCAAATTAATCTGATCTTACATATAAACTTTGAATATTTCTCAGATTAGAGCAATTCATCCTGAATCTTTCTCCTGAGTATGTTAAACTAACATCTGAGTTACAAGCTGACTCAATGTGTGTTGAACTGGTCCTCTAATGGCTCAACGCAAGGAAATACAATGTCATAGTCAACAACCTAGTTCACACATAACAATCCAGAGCATGGACTGAGTATGGGTTCTTCAATCCTGGAATTGTACTGTGTGTGAACCTGGAACTATGAATTCTTAACTATGAATAACCCAGGAAGAGAACACATGATTTATTGCTGAGTTCTGAACTCTCGGTTATCTTTAGCTTTGTATTGTTCCATGTGAACCCAGAACTACAGGTTGTTCATGGGTTGTTTTCACCATGCTATAGAAATGCAGGAGCCAGTACTACAGTACCACAAATGCACTTGGGATACAGGCAGCAAGCAGACGTCGGAGCAGGAAATTAAATAATCCACAGAATGGGAAAAAAAAGCTTGTGTTTTGACTGTCTGACACATAAATCACAGGTAAGCTGTGAGTTGTCATTATGTCATGTAATTATGACATAATATAATTATATTTATATATAATTATATATATAATTATGTCAGTTGTCATATGTAAACCAGGTCAACATATGCTGACTTCAGCAAGTCAACAGCAGTTATGAGATGGTACTTATGGACACTGCATCAGGTTTCTCTAAGTCTTCAGGACTTGGATGAAGCATCTTATTGGAGTAGTTGGGTGGGGCAGATTTAGAGTTAGCAGCTTCCATCTGATTTATGGCGAACGTTTAATGTCAAAATACTGAATCCCACACTGGCATGTGACCTGAAATATGGGACTGCATGGGCTGGAGATCAAATCCTAATTAAGCAGAGTGTAGGTTTATCTTCAACCCTCTTCCAAACCCCCCTCTCTCAAATGGGAAACCTGGAAACATCCCTTGGTGCAGCTCTATTATGTGAAGGAAACAGCAGCTGTCCAATAGATTTTCATTGCACAGAAACCCGCTACCCACCAATCTCGGGCATTTCCATTGACTTACTGCTGCAAAGGAGTAGGTGATGCCCAACCAGATGGTGGAGACAAGCGGTGGAACAAACGTGAAAGCCAGGAGGGCAAATACAGGCAATGTCAGCACTGCGCAACCCACAGCAAATACACCTCGAAGTCCAACATAATCCTAGGCGAGAGAGGAAAAGTGAAGATCTATTTCAGACAAAATCAAGTCAATGAGGCTATTGGGACTGGTTACAGATGATCATGAGCCATTCTATTTATTTTTCTTTAATTAGTACCTTTGTATACCACCCAGTAGCCAGTATCTTTGGGTGGTTTATAAAGATTAAAAATCTTAAATACTTCATGCGACAAAAATATATGCATATATGAAAAACCAGACACCCCCAGAACAGATATATCCAAACCATTTTAACACAAATTAAGAAATCCTACAGCCTGATTAAAAATGTCATTCTATCCAGCCGTATGCTGCAGTCTTAATCTGGCCCTAAATAGGAACAATGGTGGCACCAGGCAGTCCTCACTGAGGAGCCTCTTCCATAATTGGGCCACTAGTAAGGCCTCCTTTTTACTCCAGCAGCAATTGAGCAAGGTACATGGGGATTTCCAGTGGACAGAAGGCAGGTCCCTCTCGGTAAGGCCCTCACAATCAGGATCTGAAACAGCAGAGGAAGAAAAGGCAGGGCTATGGCTGTACGTAGTATGTTTGATTGGTACGTAAGCCTGAAACCCAGAAGAGTTGCCGCCAGTCATAATCCACAATATGACCTGCATGCATCCACAGTCTGATTCAGTGTAAGGCAGCTCTCTACATTCCTAAACTCAAACTCCGTAGAAAGCATTTCAAGAAATGTTCCCCAAACCTTAAGCTCACATCTGTGCCAGTTACTTACAATTAGTATGCCAACTACTGCAGAGAGAACAAGGGAGCTATCATAGACAGCTCCGGCGATATAAGCAGCTGCCTGTTGACTGTAGCCAGGATACTTATCTTGGATAAACTTGCTGGAAGAAAGGAGGAGGCACCAGAGGGAAAAGTCCATTAGATTTCTGGATTCAGTGATTCTGCTACAAGCATTAGGACACAAAGATTTCCCTATTCGTCCTTGTAAAAACAATTTTGTCTCTTCTAGCCTGCATTGCAATGTGTGCAGACAATGTTTTCTTTGTGCTGAGATAACACAAAGTCAAACAAGACTGTATAGCCCAAGGGCACTTGAGGCTCGCAGAGGTCTTTGGTCAGTCTTGCTGTAACATACCAGACGTTCTCATACAGCGAGCAATTCACCATCACTACTGGCATGGGTATGCGGTGTAGGGATGCTCCAATGCTGAAGCCATCTGAAATTTGGTGGCTGGACACACAATGGAACTTTCACAGTTGCTGCACTCAAATATGAAAACTCAGCCAAAGAAAGCTCTGCCTGGGTGAATCCTTTCCCTGCCTTTCAATGGGCAGCTAAACTTGAGGATATCTGTACCGGCTATAAACTCAGAGATTATATACAGTATTTTTTCTGGAAACTGTTTAGCTGTAAAAAGCACTACCTAGAGACAGTTCACCTAGCTAGAGGCAGTAACAACCACTGAACTTTTTGTGACACATTCACACTTGGAACAATAGGGTTCCAGAGGCCATTCCCATCTGGATTAGGGTGTACGTTATTTCTGAAAATATTTAAGTCATGTTGCGAGAGGGTGGTTTGCGCTCATGCCCTGTCTGTGGGGTCAGCTGCTGGGTAAAGAGAACGCTGGACTAGATAACCCCGTGCTCTGAGTCAGCAGTTCTCTTGTGTTTTGAACAAAACAGGAGAAAGCAGAGAACAGCCCAAGTGTCAGTGGGGCACGTTTTGAGTCTGTTTCTAGCGACTTAGCTGGCAAACTTGTGGGACAGCAGGCGGCAAAGTTTCATTCCATCGGACAGAGTAGAAAGGGCAAGATGGGCCAAGTCGAGCCATCACAAGCAGACGTGATTCGGTCTCTGACGCCTTCAGCCTCCATGTCTCAGCCTTGCCTTTCCTACAGTCAAGCTCAGTCACTCCCACCTCAATCAATATTTCCATTTTGCTGATGTGGGATGGGGGGAGAAACAGGGAGCTGGCCAAGGTCATACCATCCAAAGCAGTGGCAGGACGGCATCCGACCTCACAAAATCCTTCCTTACTCAAGAAGGACACCGGCCCCTTCCTTTGGGGAAATTGTAATGAGTACGCAAGACTGTGTGAGAGAACACTCCTGCAAATTCTCAGACTTTAGCACAAGCAGACCGAAATGCTTATTTTAACCTATGGGGAAAATCCGCAAATTTGGGATTTTTTTATTTTTTATTTTTGCAGACCTTCAACATTTGATGGCTGATTGTTTTGCACAATTTTCCCATTTGCACAAAACAAATGGAAATCACAAATCTCAGAACAAGCAGAGGAGAGATGAGCAGTGTGCTAACGTTGGAGCTTGCCAAAACTCCTCCAGCATCACTTGTTCACCCATTGCAGGGACATCCCAAATTACCTGACAAAAGGGCAGATTCTTCCAACTGCCCTGTCAGAAAGAGCCTTATAATTAATCATTAATGCTACATTAATGCCTTTTATTGATGTTTTTACAATTAAGCCACTTGGAAGGATTTTACCCTGAAATGTGCGATACAAATATCTGAAATAGATAGCTACTGGGGGAAACCATTTTATGCAAACAGGTGGCAAACATGCTTACCGCCTTTCTTAGCTACTCAGTTTTGAAACCATCAATTATGGAGTGCGGAGGAAGAAGAGGAATGTGAGGGTGGAGAAAGTTAAACCTATACTGTGTCCTCAGCTAACCCTCAGGATAAGAGCCATCAAGTAAGGACTGAGAGGGCAGGAAGCATAGTGACAATCTTCCCATGGCGGCAAAAGGACATTTGCCAAGGCTATCATGCACCTTCCTCTGTTGTGCACTTTGAGTCCCCATTTCCAAAGGGACTCTAAGAACCAAATGACGGGGGCAGGCAAAAGCTACGTAGTCAGAGAGGATTCTCCCACCCAGCCAGTCCATGTTAGATGGTGCCATTTTGCCTGTGCTTCCTGTATCTCTAACATTTGTGCTGTAATTCCTGCTTCATGCCAACATCAGCACTGGGTCCAGTTGCTAAAACTGCCACCACAGAATGATTTACCTGGCATCAGCCACAAAAGGGAAGACCCCATTGTAGAAGAACATGATGGTGAGAACCAGAAGCCAATAGCGAAGTGGCAGGTGTCGGACATCCTGAACCCGCTGCCAGTGAAGAGAGAGAAAGAATGTACATGACTTGTCCTCATGCAAAGCTCTCAAGTTTTAAGGCAGTTTAAGGGAAAAAAGGTGGCATGCAACCTGTAGCCTGAAGCAATTGCCACAGCCCAATGCAACACCGTAGTGTTGTTCTAAACCATCTCTAGAAATCCACACCACTATCAGTCAATTCTTTCTGCTACCAACTCCATGGAGGAGAAACGTCAAGGGTCCTTCCAGAAATGGACTCTTTTCTGTTCTCCAGCCAAACACTAATGCACTGAAGTTGCAAAACAAGGGGTATCCTTACAAAGAAGATTCCAATTTATCCACCGCAGTGGAAGCCAGAAACCAGGTCGTAATGGACTCAAAAGCAGGGGTCCTGGCTGGATTCATAAGGCTGCCCTAGGTAAGCCGAAAAGCTACTAGGAAAAGGAGACTAGGAATGTGATCAGAAGGCATCCAGGATCATAGGCTGTTCAAGTCATTCCTATCATCTCCTCTCTGCATGTACCGAAATTGGACTGCTGCAGCAGGAAGACTTTAGCTCAATGGCAGCAGCTCCCTCTCCTGGCCACCAACGCAGAATGACATCCTTGAGCTCAGCAAGCAAAGCTAACAATGGGGGGGAAAGCTAAGCCTACATTGAGTGGTGCAGCTTCTGGCCCACATACCACTTTCTTGGACTCTTGCTGGATCATCCCATCCAAGCCCAGCTGCTTTGTGCCCACTTTGTCCAGTATGCTGACCACGACAGCCGAAACAAAGCCCAGCACACACAGCACAGCGCCTGTAAAGCAGAGAACGGATGGCACCTTACTGGGAATTTTCGACAACGCGTTACAGAAGAATTTGGTGGGACTCATTTCTGAGCCTAGGAATAGAGCATCGTTTATAGAAATTAAATGATAAAATAAGGTCCAGGGGTCAACCTCCCCCCAACTTTCACCCAGCACGAAGCTGGGTGCAACTGGCAGGAAGTTTCTTATACACAAATGCTCTTACCGAGCCTTGAGACAAGCCAGTTTCAACTCCTTTGCGACGTCCCTCATTACAGGTTGAGCAACTCCGCTACCGCCAGAGCAGATACTGGGAGGAGTGCAAGAGTCGTGCTGCTCATCACTAATGAGGTCATGGCTTATCACCAATGGCATCACTACCACAGATCCCTGCAAGCTCATTCCAGACAGCGAGTCAAACCACAATGGTCCAGCCGACTGGGAAACGAATCGCATTTCGCTCAACCTGATACTGTGAATTTGCATTGAATTTGGGGAAAGTTTGGTACTTCCGATGCAGACGTGCTTCAAACGAAGAGAGGAAACCTCCCTATACCAAATTAGACCATTGACCACCCAGGTCAGCACTGTTTACACCAAAGGTGCAGAACTGCAGATCCTGGAGGAGTCCAAATCTGGCCAACCCTCTTCCATGATGCCACTGCTTTTCCCCTCATCACCCATTGTTGACGGGTTCCTGGGTTTTGTTCAGTGTTTCCTCCACCCTAGAAGAAAAGGGTTTTACTCTAACTCCTCGTGTTTAGCTACTGGCAGTAAAAGTTTCAAATTAAAATAAGCTGGCAGGGTTGTCTCCATGGATTGTGTCTTTGCCAACCAGCAGAATGCAGCCCTCCAAAGCTTCTTTGGTGTGTGGAATTCAGCCCTTATGCTAAACAAATGCAGCACACCTGGCCTGGACTGGCCAGCAGTGCCGCTCCAGAGATTCAGGCAGGAATCTCTCCAGTCCTACTTGGAGATGCTGGATGCAAACCATGGGCCCTTTCCCTGAAGCATGTTTGCTGCAATGTAAACCAGTATGTTCTGGAAGGGCTCTTGCTCACATGACTCATTAAAAATATCCAGTGCCAGTGCTCAAAGAGCTACTCACCTCCCCAGAGAGTCCACTGGATACCATAGTGACTTTCAAACTGCTGGGTGAAGAAGAAGTTGAGGACACTCCCAAGCCGAGAGAAGGAAAGGGTTAGCCCAAAAGCCAGAGCCAGCTCCTTCCCCTTGAACCAAAAGGCAGTGATGCGGTTCTGCACAACTCAAAACGGGGAGAGAGACCAGAGTTATTACATGCACCACTGCATCCAGAAGACCCAGGGGCCAAGAATGATGTTGCAGGGGGACTGCCCCAGAAAGGCAAATGTCATGAATCGCATTAATTTTACCTCCCATCTTTCTATAAAATGCTCAAAGCACAGAACTCTATGAATGGATAACACACAGTGGCCATGAGACATAAACACTGAATGAACATTAACAAAACAGAAAAATACTGCCGTTACAGGAAAGAGTAACCTCTCATCTGGATTACTGAAACATGTTCTATGCGGGGCTGCCTTTCAGTGGTTCTGAAACCTGAGCTGGTTCAAACTCGGGCAGCAAAAGTGTGAACAGGAACTGGCTGCTGTGTGCATATGACACCAGTACTTCCCTTGTGCACTGGCTCCTGAATCCAGTCTTGACGGTAATGTCCAAAGCTCTAAACAGCTGGGGGCAACTTAAGTGAGGCTTCCTTCCACAAATGCTGGGCCGGACGCTAAGACAGTCTCCTGGGACCGCCAAGGGAAGTCAGCTCCATGGTTCCGGAATATAGGCCCTGTTCTGTTGTTGCACCCCAACTGGCAAAGGAGTTTCCCAGAGAAGTTTGCCTAGTGCCTAGCCCAGGGGTCGGCAACCCGCAGCTCCGGAGCCGCACGTGGCTTTTGAACCCCTCTGCGCTGATCTGCTCGAAGCTCCACTCAGGAACGCAGCTAGTTAAGTAGATCAGCTAGTTAAGTAAATCGTTACACTCCTCTGCTAAACAAGCTTCCTGCAGGCTCTCATGTTACACGAAACAAAACACAAAATGAAACAAAACACAAAACGCTGCTGAAAGGGAAAGGATTCTCTTTGTTCCAATGTAATCTCCTTCATCTGAATGTTAAAAGTTGAGCTTGGGACCTGTCACAATTCACAGCACTTGATGGTTTATCTGCTAATCAGTCACTAAACACACCTGTATCTCCCGATCTGCGGACCCAGCCATTTACTGAGCTCCACCACCCCCAGGCCAACCATGGATAAATCGAAGAAAAGTTTCTGAAGAAAACCGAACGTTTAATGGTACGTGGGTAGATTCATTTGCTTTTACTGCTGACGAACTTATGGGGTTTGGTGTTTAACGCATGCAGCCCTTTAGCACTGACTTTGACTCAGCAGGAAGCTGTTCTCCTATTCAAAATAAATGACAGGAGTCCTATTAGTTTATAATGTAAGATTAAAAATAACAGTTTTTAGTGACTGAACTGAACAAGAGCTGCAGCTAAATCTTAATGAAGATATAGATCTACGTCCTTGTTTTTTTTAGGAGTTCAAAATGTTTTTGTTGCATGCAGAAATAAAAATTTGTTTTCTCTGTAGCAGTTCATTGATTTCATAAATGCAACACACTATAGTTTTTTTATACATAACATAAAGGTAAAAAATGATATATGCAGTGTTATCTTCATTTTAGATTCAAAAGGGTGTTGCAGCTCCTGGTGTTCTCTGTGGGAAATGGGTCCAAATGGCTCTTTGAGTGTTAAAGGTTGCCGACCCCTGGCCTACACTGTGCTCTTTCCAGTACCAAGTGAAAAGACATTTTCCTAGGCATTTTGGTTCCTCATATTCTGTTGGTGTTGCTTTAAATCTACTACTGTATTTTAAATCCTTGTTCTGCTGCCAGATTCTATTTTGATTTTATGCTTGCTATTTTATCTTGCAGTTTCAAACTTTTATATTGTATTTATTGTGTTGTATTTTATGGTTGTAACTGGCATGAACTGCCCAGAGAGAATTCACTAAATAAAACAGGGGAAACACATCAGAGTGTGTTGCACTCAGCAGTACAATCTCTGCCTAGCGAACTCCATATCCCTTTCCATTTGATTCAAAGTCCCAAGATAAATAATGGAACAATTAAAATCCACAATAGTAAGCCAAATCTCCACATGCTTACTTAAAAAGAAACAAGCTGCCCACCAAAGTTCTCCAAGGAGCTTATCCAACACTAAGCCACAATGTGTGGAATACTTTCCCCGGTCATATTTGCATAGCACCAACACTGTTAATTTCCAGTTGATGAGCTGAAGCTATTTTATTCATCTAGGCATTGAGTAGCACAGAGTTCCGATGCTTCTGCTCTTTCTTTTCTATTTGTATCAGGTTCCTATTTATTATTGCAACCCTAAATGGTTATCAAGACCCATACCGACCTCACCATGAGATTTCTCAAACATTAAGATCACTGTTAGAAGTTCTTTTCCAGGTGCTTCTGCCAGGTAAGACATGGCAGGTGACAACACCTTCTCAGTGGTGGCCTGGTGGTCCCAGTCCAACATTCTAACACAACACCACTCTGACTGTTAAGAGCAAAGCACTCAGACCCTGGGCCTAGATGGAGAAATCTATCAATTTCAGTTTCTGGTTTCTTTTTTTTAATCCCAAATTCTTTCTGTGCTATTTATGAAAAAATTTGCTAATTTTAGTGAGGACTTATTAAAAACCCCAAGCCAAACAAAATAATAGAAACGCCAAATAAAATTCTCCAATATTTTTACCTCTTCCCCATCAACAATTATACCCTATAGTTTATTTAAATGTCCCTTTTGACTTTGCACACAATGTAAGCCAGGATTTCATTCATTCATTCCTATAACACCCAACAGCTGAAGTTCTCTGGGTTTAGCCAGGATTTAGTGCCATATCAAGACTGAGTGAAACCACAAACTCACATGTTCTTCCCTCCTTTGGAATGGCTGGGAGGAGAATTTAACCAGGAGTCAGTTTCCTGCTCCCAATTCTTGACTTGCCTTTATGTATGAACAAGGATTTGTGGTTTAAAGCAAACCTGAGTTTGCAAAAAAAAAAAAAATCCAGCAATTGACCAGATGGTTATGAACCACAATTCCTGGTTCATTAACAAACCAGATATAGGGTAAAGCAAAATTGAACCCATGTCCTTCTTCCAGCTGTGCAGGAAGACAAGACGGGGTGGAGGAGCAACCAAGTGCAAAGCTTCACATGTCCTCACAGAGCTTTATTTGCACAGTACTAAACCAGGATTTTGCGACACATCAAAAGTAGCTGCAGCCAAACAAATAAGATTCATTTCATTCCTTACTTGTTAGTGACCCGTTTCCTGAGCCAAACAGCAACCTGCCTGTCAGCATCAGTGGCAAGAGGTACGGTGTTCCTTTGAAGTGCGAGCCCAGAGCAAAAATGGATGACCCCAAAACAGTAAGGAAAGAGAAGAGAAAGACCCCAACTAGAAAGAGAAAGAGGAAAATGTATGTAAGACTAGAAGCAATTACTGTTTATCTTAGCACATTAATATACTTTAATCATTCTCAAGTCTTTTGTGCCAGAATGAGCAGGTGGACCAGTGGTGAGGAAGAAAAATGGGCCGAAATTAAGCTTCCCCAAACTTACAGCGATTTCCTAGTTTATCAATCAAGAAGCCAGCCACGATCACCACCAGTGCATTGCTATGAGGAAGAAACGGAAACACAAGAGGGTTTTAAAAGTAAGGCTTTCCTGCTATTGATTTCCCCTTCCCCATATATATAAAAGAGAGACTCACGTCCAGGCATAGATGGCATACAAAAGGTTGTATTCTTCAGGTGTCATCCCCAGACCTTCCACACAATCAGCTGACCCGTTCTGTCTTGTGCCATTGTGATGTGTTCCATTGGGACAGGTTATATTCTGAATAACAAGTCAGAAACAAGAATTCTAACAAGCACCAACTGGCCAGAGTAGAAGACATTCAGATTTAGCCAAATCCCAAATGCTTAACTATCTGCTTTCTGCAGATGGCTAGCATTTTTATGACACTGACCAACCTCAGTACTACGGGGGCAGGACAACGGTACAAAACCAAATGCCCATAGACCAAAGTTAGTTTGAATGGGGCCCATACTGGGGCTTCTGTGATTCTCCGGGTATCTACAACCATTTCCCTAATCCCAATTCTCTAACCTCAGCCAACTAGTGACTTCCCAGTTTTTCTGCAGCCTATCAGAAAACTGATGGCTTCTACTGCTGTGCAGAAGTCTCAGGCCACAAAATCAGATGAGGGCCCTTTAGCACCTGGTTGGCTTTTCCAGGAAGAGTCTTATCAGACTACACAGGACGTTGGCTTTAACTCACTGTGGAGACATTTTCCTATTGTCTCAGCACAGACCTGGGCCACATCCGGCCCGATGGCTGACCCTGCCTGGCCCGCAGGAGGTCCTGGCAAATTAAAACTCAACCTTACTATGTTAAGCACTGGGAGATTACCTACGTTGTAAATTTGCGCTGTATAAGTAAAACTGAATTGAATTTATTGCTTTTCATGTAATGTTAATGTTTTTGGGAATATTCGTTAAATAGTGTTGTTCTGTGCTCCACATTTTCCTTGTATCATTGTAATGTTTCATTTACTGTTTTTATAGAGATATATATTGAGCAGCGCTGTAAGTGTATTGGTCCGGCCCTTAACAACTGTCAAAGTTTCTCATGTGGCCCCATAGGAAAAGTAATTGCTCACCCCTGTCTTAGCAGGAGAAACTTCCGGCTAGTAGGACCCTTTGGAGCCATCCAAGGTTCTGCTTTCTACCTACTTTGACCTTTCTACCAGTTTCCTCTGCATACAACAGAACTAGACAGACCAAACCAAAATTCTCCTTCCTTTGCCCACCCTATTCTCATATAACAGAAGGGATGGTTCAAATATTTCTGGGAAGGGGTTACTCAGAAGAGTGCTTGCATGGGTGAAACTTAACAGTGCCACTGGCTGCTACTTTTTATTTCCCACAGTGGTGGCTTCCCAGCTTTTCTGCAGTTTATCCCCATTCTAATAGCCTGAAGTGACTCTCCTAAAGTTTATTTACTAGCAAGAAGAGCTTTAAGATAAAATGCACTCGTATTTTGGCTCCATCCCTTTTGCCTTTGCTCCCACCACCACTAACAGGACAGGGCACAGTCCTCAAGAGCTTCTTTGAAACTGCATTTGGTCCTCAGACTGAGAGAGAGTCAATGCTTCTGAAGTCAGAGGCAGCAAGCCCTCAAGTAGGGAAAACTCATGAAATACTGATTTTATTTTCATTCCACATCTATGCCGCCCCCTAACCTTGAGGCTCTCTGGGCAACTTACAAATGCTGGAACAGTATATAATACAATTGATAAAATAGATAAAAACAGTAAAATTAACAGATTACAACCATCTCACAAATAAAACCACGCACAGTATGATAAATACAACCAATATATTAACAGCCAAAATTAAATACATAGTCAGTAACAAAATATACATCATGAATTATACATCATCATGGTTGTTTAAATGATTGTAAGCCACCCTGAGATGCTATGCATAAGGGACAGCATACAGAAGTTTTAAATAAATTAATTAAATTAACCAAAAGCTTGTTTGACCAAAGAAGTTTTCACCTGGCTCCTAAAGAAAAGCAGAGTTGATGCCCGCCATATGTCCCTGGGGAAAGAATTCCAAAGTCTGGGTGCTCCTGCTGAAAATATCCCCCTCCTAGCCCTTCCCCCCTTGATCTCATGGGGGGGGGGTATTCAGAGGAGGGGGAAACTCTAGTGTTGGAAACTCTACCAGAGATCCTGGGCTAAATGGATCTGGTATTATCTATTCATGTTGCAAATTCTTACCCCCACTTCCCCACTCACACCAAATACAACATCAGGGCAGTTTCCCATAAAGTAATGCAAACACCATAAAATAACAGTATGTTTAAAAACAATCAGCGAAATGTAGCAAATTTATATGTATTAGTCATATTTTTAAAAGCACATCTCCACTTAGTAAGCAAATGAGGCAATTTACAATACAACCATAGAAAGAGTATAAAAGCAGTACCAGAAGGACCTGATTACAACAGCTCATCAAAAGTTTTAAAGCCTGGGAAAATAAGAGGCTTGTTTTCTAGACATCAAAGCAAGTTTCTTAATGCAACAGGCCAGACTGGAAGAAGTCGGTTCACTGGGCCAACAATCTCATGTACTACAATGTCAACCTGCATCAGTGGAGAATGCAGAGCTGGGTAGTTTTTATATTGGAAGTAAAAACAAAATTGAAAATTCTGCAACAGGATATCCAAATAGCTGGAGTTGGATCAGATGAAAGGAATATTCAGATATGATCTTACTCATGTTTAGAGAGCAGAAGTCATAAAAATCCCTGAATCCTCCAGCTCACAGAGGTCTTGGAAAAGGGAGAGTTTTTATCTTTCTCACAATAACAGAACCTGGCTCATCCAGTCAGCTACCTCTTTTCTCTGTCCCTTTTATTTCTTTTCTTCCCTGCAAGCTAATAGATGAAAGATAGGTTGCTCTTGCCAGAGATCTGAACAGACAATATAAGGGTTATAACTAGTGCTTGATTCCAAGGCCACCACATACAGACTAGGCTATAAAGTGTCATCCATAGAAACAGTTGTACATTTTAACAATATATTTGTTCTGGTTACAGAAAAAAACCATCCCCAAAAATAGCCTTGGTAGGTTCAGCTGCTCTCTTGTTTATTCTGCACAACGTGAAATGATTTGTACTCAGACACATTTTTCAGCTGTGCCTGAAGGCTTCAGCACAATGACCTTTTGCAGAATATTGTGGGCCCTTTTCATCTAAACACTTACCCCTTGAAACTGCTCTTGCAAAACACTGGGGATATCAAAGCAGAAGTAAGAGCCAAATGTCAAGAGGCAATTGAAGAAAAGCACAAGGAACCTGTAGTAAACTGCAGAGGGAACAAAGGTACAAAAGAGATAGAAAAGGTTGCACATGGCGATTTACAGAACTGTATTCCGCAATTATATTGTACATGGAAGAATTGACACCAACACCAAAATGCTCCATAACTGGCACACATACAGACTGTGATTTTGCTCCCTGCTGTACTTATGGGTGAACTCTGTTGCCTTTCTCAGATTGAGATCCCCACTTCCATGTGATTCATTGGTACAAAGGTGGGGAAAGATCACAAACAGGCACTTTGCATGGGAAATTGCGGGAAATTTAGGCTTGCAGGATTGGGAGTTGGAGGCACTGCCTTGCAGTGGTTCTGTCTCAATGACTGATTCCAGAAGGTGGTGCTGGGGGACTATGGCTCTGCGCCATGGCAGCTATGCCATGGAGTTCTGCAGGGGTCCATTTTGTCCCCCTTGCTATTTAACATCTACATGAAACCGCTGGGAGAGGTCATCAGGAGGTGTGGGCTGCGGAATCATCAGTATGCATTCATCTCTTTTTCAACTAACTCAGGTGAGGCAGTGGCTGTCCTGAACCGGTGCCTGGCTGAGGTAATGGGCTGGATGAGGGCCAATAAACTGAGGCTTAATCCAGACAAGACGGAGGTCCTGTTGGTAGGTGGGTCGGGCTTCGGGATGGGAGACCTGGAGTCCTGAACGGGGTTGCACTCCCTCTTAGGGACAAGGTTCGCAGCTTGGGAGTGCTCCTCGACCCAGAGCTGACATTAGAAGCTCAAGTAACAGCGGTGGCGAGGAGCGCCTTCCTTCAGCTTTGGCTGATCCATCAGCTGCGTCCTTACCTGGAGAATGACTGCCTGGTGACTGTGACACATACGTTGGTAACTTCCCAATTAGATTTCTGTAACGCGCTCTACGTGGGGCTGCCCTTGAAGATGGTCCGGATACTTCAATTGGTGCAAAATGTTGCTGCCAGGTTGCTGACGGGGACTGGGTGTTGTGCTCACATAACCCCAGTCCTCTGCCAACTTCACTGGCTTCCCATTGAAGTCTGGGCCCAATTCAAGGTGTTGGTTATCACCTATAAAGCCCTTAATGGCTTGGGACCTGGTTATCTAAGGAGCGCCTGCGTCCATATATGCCCTCCCTCCCCTTGAGATCGGCAGCAGAGGCCCTCCTCCGGGAGCCCTCCGTGAAGGATATTAGGAGGGTGAGTACCCGGAGGAGGGCTTTCTCAGCGGTGGCACCCCACCTGTGGAATGTGCTCCCCAGGGAGGTCCGCCTGGCGCCGTCATTATTTGTTTTTCGGCGCCAGGCTAAGACCTTGTTATTCAAACGATATTTTAAATGTTAATTACTGTTTTTAATTTATAGGTTTTAAATTACTGCTGAGATGCTCCAAAATTTTTACTGTTATTTGATATTTGTTTATTCTTCCTTGTAAGCTGCCCCAAGGCTTTCTGTGGTGGGGGCGGCATAAAAATGTTATAAATAAATAAAATAAATATAGTGCACACAATTACTGCACATTTGTTATGCATTTTTCTTAGATGTTTTACATACTTTTTTCTCCTATGGGTTGATCCTGTTCTTCATTGAGCTGAGGTACAATTAAGATTTCAACTAAATGAATTAAATCCTGCAATCCAATGGGGCCACAAGAGCAGATCTGGTAGATAACCAGCTTCTGAGAAAAACAGATAATGGAAGCTCTCCGAGAGGCAAAGCTCAAAACACTCCCACCCCTCTAAATTACCCAGGAGATATTTAGAGCTGTGGTAAACCGCCCCCAACACTTGGGAAATTAAGGGCAGAGGCTTACTTAGCTTCAAGTTTATCAGAAGTGAGCTGTTTTTAAATGCCAAATGAAAAAGGCTCTCTGCGAATGCGAAGAGGGAGCTTCTGACTGAGCATGTACAAAGAGCCTTCTCCCTTTTTTCAGTGCACGGGACTAGGGAAGCTTTAGCCCCAGCACCGCTCAAGCACAGGAAAGGAGGGCGACAGAATGCACCGGGAACAGCCTCTGTCCGTCACGTGACTTAACGGCAGTCACATGACAGCAGCGGCCCGCACTCACCTTTCTCGGCCGCCGCCTCCGCCATGGCTCCCACTTCCGGCCACCTCCGCTTCGTACGCCCAGAGCCAGGCACCTGAGTCTCCGCCCACTGGTCGGCCACGCCTCTCCTCGCGCACGGCACAGCCTGGCACCTCCGAGCACTGCCCGATTCCTAGCTCCGCCCACTCCGTGTCAAGCCGGGTGCCTCGCTCACGCCACAAGCCCCGCCCACGACTTTTCGGAGTGCCACCCATCTCCACCTCCTCCTCCACTCGCTCCTCCTACCGATCCCTTTTTCCGCTCGGCCACGCCCTCTTTTTCCAAAATTCTCGGCCTTTTTCTCCGCCCCCTGCCCTCGGGCTGAGGCACGCCACGCCCCGCCCTTAGAGAAGGCTCTTGGTCACGCACTGCTTGAGGCCTGTCAGAAGCCCCGCCCCCCTGGGCTGGCCTTTTCCCGCCTTAATGGGGCGCGAGGAGCGGCGGATTTGTGGGTGGGTTAGGGCGGCTAAGGTAAAATGGGTAAATGTGGTCACCTTCAGAGATATTCCAACCCCTTTTCTGCTTTAATTTGTTCAAACCCTGCAGCCAGTTTTAAAAAAAGTAAAAAATGTAATACATATGCAAAAAATAAAACAATTTAAGGTACAGTTCTACGCTTACAACTCCCAGTTCAAGAATATGCTGAGAGCAACGGACAATTTTTCTGTCTTCGCATGCATAGTATTGTGTCCTAATATATTTTTTTCCTAATCTTGCTTTAATTCCTCAGCCTTCCCTTCGTTAGAACCTGCCTTGTTTCAAATCTTGCACACCAGAGTTTTTCTACCAATTAAATATTTTCGGGTAGCCTGTTACCCATTAAACCACCCTGTGACGAGGAAAAGATAGACCTGAATGAAACACAAAAGGTTGAGGGGGAAGATTATGAGAGGAAGAGATGTTGGAAACAAAGGGGAAATAAAGTAATCGAGATGTTATCCTGTGTAAGTTTACTCATTGTTTGTTCAGGTGAATGCAAACACAGCAACATGAAAGGCCAGCACAGCCTCCCAAGCATAACCCAGAATAAGATGGAGGAGGAGAATGATGTAAGCTGCCTTGAGCCCTTTGTAGGTAAAAGGCAGGATATAAATCGAACAATATAAATATATATATAAATATATAAATATAAATATTTCCTGGATCCCAGAATATCTCTTAAAAGATTCTTATTTACATTTATTTATTTAGCAAGTTTTATATACTGTTCACAGCTTAAATCACCCCTCCAATGAGTACTTGAGGTGATGAGAAAATAAAGCACATTTTCACTATTCACTCAGAATCACAAAATAGTAGGGCTGGAAGGAGCCATGAGGTCCAGCACCCTGCTCATTGCAGGCCTCCCAGTTAAACCATCCTTCTTGGATGGCTGTCCAGTTACATCTTGAATGCCTAGTGTGGTAGAGCCCACAACTTCCCTAGGCAATTGGTTCCATTGTCCTACTGCCCTAAACAGTCAGGAAATTTCTCCTGATATCTAGTCGGAATTCTCTGCTTTGCTACAGAAAAAATGTTTGCACACAGTCACAATTCTATTGCCATTGTCAGTGCTGTTCTGAGATGGGAACCTATCTGACAGTGCTCATGGCGTCATCAGTGATGACTAAGCCTATTCTTTCCAAAACCTAGATCATAGTGTGACTTCGACAAATCATTTATTCAACATTTAATGCTGTGTTTAAAAATTCTATAGAGTGTGAGCACTTTGTCACTCTATTACTCAGATTCAGGAATGCTCATATGGCAAATGTGGCAAATACAGGCATTCTCCCTGCCTTTTCTGTTGTTCTGCTATTTCAGTGAACTTTTTTTCTCCTCTCTGCATGTACACTGTTTGACTTTCCTGGAGCCTTGTCCCTGAGATCTGAGGATGCTTAGGAAGAAATAAAGAAGTTACAACTACCGAAGTAATAGAAGCAATTAAGCAACAGAAGAATGACAAAACTCCTGGCCTGGATGGACTGCCAGCTGAGTTTTATAAATCTTTTGAAGCAATTTTAGCTACACTTTTAAAAGATATATCCAATGAAGCACTGTTAAATGCTAAACTACCAGCTACTTGGACTGAGGCAAATATTACATTAATACCGAAAGAAGATACGGACATAGCGCAGATTCAAAACTATCGACCCATATCATTATTAAATGTGGATTACAAATTTTTTGCTTCTATATTGGCAGAAAGACTAAAGAAATTACTAATAGATTTTATTCATCCAGACCAAAATGGCTTTTTGCCAAAAAGACGAATGAAGAATAACTTGAGAACTATCTTGGATATTTTAGAGTATTATGAGGTGCATACTGAAAAACCAATGGCTTTACTGTTCATGGACGCCCAAAAAGCATTTGATAATGTTAATTGGCAATTTATGAAGCAACAGATGATTCAAATGGAGTTTGGTGAAAAGTTTATGAATGCGATATTAAGTATTTATCAAAAACAGTCAGCCAGGATTTTAATTAATGGAGAACTTTCAAACCCCATAGAGATCCAAAAGGGTACTAGATAAGGATGTCCATTATCACCCCTGCTGTTTATTATGATTTTAGAGCTACTGAATAGAAGTGTTAGGGATGACGAGGGCATCAAAGGCACTAGAATTAGGGATGAAAGTTATAAACTACAAGCATTCACAGATGATTTGGTCTTCATAATGGAGGAACCCTTTGGAACAATGCCTAAACTTTTATAACGGATTGAAGAATATGGTGAGGTTACGGGAATGAAAATAGAGAAAAAATGAAACTGCTAGTTGAAAACCTTACGTGGGAACAAAAAGAAAGACTCCAGGAACAGGTAGATTTGCAGATTGTTAAAAAGGTTAAATACTTGGGAATCTATCTTACAGCCAAATGTACTACTTTGAAAGAAGATAATTATGATAAATTATTGAAGGATACTAAAGGGGATTTGGAAAGATGGGCCAAATTACAATTATCTTTGATGGGAAGAATAGCACTTGTTAAAATGAATATAGTACCTAAGTTTTTGTTTCTGTTTCAAATGATTCCTGTAAAAATTGATAAAAAATTCTTTGATGATCTAAACTTTCAAATTTCAAGATTTATCTGGAGAAAAAAGAAACCAAGGATTAAATTAAAAATGCTTCAGGGGACTAAAAAGAATGGAGGTTTTGGTCTCCCCGATTGGATGTTATATTATCAAGCGTCTGTTTTAATGTGGTTAAAAGAATGGATAACTTTGCGAAATAAAAGAGTTTTGTATCTTGAAGGTCATGATGGGGTGGCTTGCTTATATGTGGTATGAAAAAGCTAAGTCACATGGGTCTTTTCTGAGTCATTTTATTAGAAGATCTCTAATGTCAATGTGGGAAAAACTAAAGTCAAAAGTGTATAATAAATTACCAAGATGGCTTTCACCTATGGAAGCTTTTGTATATCCAAATGTATTGAACTTTGAAAAGATCATAATATATGATGATATCTTGGATAAGGATGGTGGCTTGAAACTGGAGCAAGAAATACAAGAACAGGGACTTAATATTTCCTGGTGGTATAAGGTACAGATGCAATCGAGGTATGCTAAAGATTGTAAAACATGGAGGTTTTATAAAGACCTAACAGAGTTTGATCAAGTGATGCTTAAAACAGATGAGAAAATTATTAAAAGACTATATGATTTTTTACTTGACAGGAAAATGAAAGGGGAATAGGTTAAGGAAACTAAGATAATTTGGGCACAAAACGTTGGATTTAATGTTGAATTAGAAAAGTGGCAAAAATTATGGGAAAGAAACATCAAGATAACATTAGCAACTTCGTATAAAGAAAATTTATATAAAATGTTCTATAGATGGTATTTGTCGCCAAGCCGATTTTTCCAAGATGTTTCCAGATATGTCAAATAGATGTTGGAAATGTAAACATAAAATGGGTACTTTCTATCACATGTGGTGGACTTGTGATAATGTGAAAAAGTATTGGATTAAAATACATAGATGGATGGAGGAAATATTACAGAAACCCTGTGTTTTTAAACCTGAAGTTTTCTTGTTAGGCATTATACCGGAAGATGTCAACAGACAGGAAATGTACTTGATGTTGCACTTAATCACAGCGGCGAGGATTGCATTTGCTCAATATTGGAAAAATGAGGAGCTACCCACCCATGAACTGATTGTAAGAAAGATCTTGGACTGCACAGAAATGGATATCATTGACTTTATCATTGAAGGAGAAAGAGGATACTGACTTCTATCGAACTTGGGACTCTTTTTATAATTGGCTGGAGAAACGGGACTTGGCGTAATTTTAATTTAATTTTAGAATGTTAAAAAATGTGTGTGTGTGTGTGTGTGTGTGTGTAGTAGGGGGTTGACCCAGTGAATCTGATGTATGTGATATTTGATGTTTTTATTAGTGTTCGTTTAAAACTTTTAATAAAATATATATAAAAATAAAAATAAAAAAGGAAGAAATAAAGACACCTGTGTCAAAGATGATACACAGTATAGTGAATGAAATGATGAAATATGAATGCAGAATATAAACTAACAGAAAGAACTCCCCTTTTCTGTGGCCATGTTGGCTCTTTGAATTCACAGGGGATGTTCCATTGGCCTCCAAAGCTGGCTGAGTGAGCAACACATCAGTTCCTCTCTGCAGATCAAGGACAAAAGACAACACCTCTAGCTGTGGATTTTTTCAAGCTGCTCTGTCAATATGCACATAGTCTCGAACCCTTCTCCCTGAAAGATGGTCCAGTGAGGCAAACAGTTTTGTTCTCATAGCATCTCATCTGTCTAAAGATTGGGAATGGCAGATTCAAAGCAATTATCTTTAGTGTTCTTATTTATTTATAACATTTGTATGCCACCCAATCATGCCACAGAACCTCTGGGCAGCTCACAAACACAAGATAAAAACACAAGCCTTAGCATGGCTTCAAGAAACCGTCCTGCCTTTGGAATCTAGGCAAGGTCACCATCCTACCAGTTGAACCTTAATAATCACTTCACCATCTTTCAGTAGACACCATATAATACTCTTCCAAAATCTAATTAATTCTCCCTCTCCAGTACAAATTTCCTCTGATATCTTCCATACAAAGAGAACTGGTATATAGCTATCCTCTGTAG